AGAAAGGCTCCGGAAACTAGAGGAACAAATAATGAGAGATCCACGATTTAAACTGTCCTATTTAGCAGATGAGATGGGTGTTTCAAAACCAGCAATTTGTTCCATGTTAACTGAAGACTTAGGTATGAAAATGGTTTCCGCCCGTTGGGTACCAAAATTGCTTTCAGCATCTCAAAAACAGGATCGAGTCGACTTTTGCAATGCCAATTTTAACCTATTAAATGAAGACTTGAACCTGCTCAATATTTTATTAGTTGCATATGGTACTTGGGTTTACTATTATGACCCGGTGACCAAATAATAATTCCCTCAATGGAAGCACGAGGGGTTGCCACCGCCCGTTAATTGAAAAGTGCAAAAATCTGACAAAAAAATGATGATGACCACTTTCAAGGATACCAAAGGTCCCCTCCTTATAAAATTTATTGCTGTAAATACTACAATAAATGGGGCCGTGTATGCAGGAACCCCGAAGGAGCTGCGTCCTCCGGTTGAAAAGAAACGTGGGGTCAAAATAAAGAGTTGGCCTTTTTTTAGACGACAACGCGCCACCTCATACCTGGCTTTTTGCGAGGGTTAGTGCAGACGAAAATCGCTTTACCTGCACAAACCACACCCCGTGCAGTCCGGACTTGACCCTTAGTGATTATTATTCGTTTCGAAACTTAAAGAAAAACATCAGGGGAAAACGGTTTTCGGATGATAATGAAATCAAGTCGTAAATTTTGGCAAATATGCCAAAATTTACGACTTGATTTCATTATCATCAGGACAGTTTAAATCGTGGATCTCTCATTATTTGTTCCTCTAGTTTCCGGAGCCTTTCTGTGGAAGAAACGGATTTTAAGCGTCCTGGCGACTTTTTGCCCGAGACCTCGTTTCGCCATCATTTAAAATTATTGACCCAATTGAATTTGTGTTTTGTGTTGGGCAGTCTTCATCGTAAATTTTAAGGATTCAACCATAAATCTGCGACACTTATTACCCATCCAGCATTAAAAATTAAATCACACTACGATATTTAATTTGCAAATTTAGCATTTTTTCCGTCGAGGTAAAGTTTGCCGATTTATTGCTAGTGTTTATGTTAACCCACAGAGCTGAAAAAATCACAGCCTCCTAAATGTATTTGAAGTTTGTTATTTCATCAAAATTTTGGTCAGAAACAGTGCGGAACATACCTTTTGAAAATTAATAGTAAAGCACCTACGTATTTGTTGCACAGTTAAATTTAGTAAAATTTAATTTACTTTCTAGGGCCAACTGGGACAATCTGACTGAATATGTCAGTAAGGATTATCCGAGGCGGGTACTCATGTACAACGATCATTTGATATTCTACCGGTTTCTTTATCTACAAAAGAAAATCTTGAAGGGGCAATATAAGTGTTTTCTTATTCCTGACATTGCCTTATACCAGGGAAAGTTTGCCGGTGTTAGCAACATGCTCAGAGTCGAGATTGGCCAGTGTATCAAAGGTCTTGACCAGGGAGGATTTTCGAATTTATGGATGCGGCAGATAAGGAATTTCTATAACTTGAAGGCGATAAAGTGGCCATCAATGAAAGTGGCGTCACCTTATATTTCCACCAATACGCTGGCATCATTTTCTAGCACAGTGGGAATAATTTTGATCCTGCTTTGGACGATATTTATAGCGGAGCTTTTGTCTTATCCGGAAATGAGGAGAACACTATGGAAAAGGATTAAGGGTTATTACATCGCTGTATATCGTGGATTTGGAGAGTTGTGCAAGTATTTGATAGTCAGAAACAAAGTCGAGGGGAGGCAGAAATATGACAAAAAGGGGCGAAGTAGCCACAGGAAACTTACCAAAGTTTCGCACGCCAAAAGTTTGCAAATCATCTCTCCCATACATTTGGACAGTATATATGTCGTCGGACAGGAAATCATCTAACTGATTTTTCATTATTATGTGACCAAATACATATATGTATTTGGTCAAATGCGTCACATTTCGTATCGGATATGATAACATTAATAATTAATCCAATCATTTCCCAGGAAATTAGATACGAGGGGCAGCTCATAAATTATGCATGCGAAAAGAGGAGGGCGATCTACGGGTTCAATGATATCGTGCATATTTATGTCACACATTTTAATGAGATTAGGGGGTCCCGAAAATCCCGATTTTTGCCTTTCATAACTTATGAACGACCCCATAAGCTGTTTAAGCATAAGCAACCAATTTTGTGAAAACAAGAACAAGTTGTTTGCCAATTACACGTAAATATGTATGTACATACGATTCGCACGTATACATATGGGGCCGTTCATAAATTATGTAACGCAAAAATCGACATTTTTCAGACCCCTCCCCCCCCTCTGTCACACTAGTGTAACGCAAGACCACTACCCCCCCTCCCCCTGCATAACGTAACGCAAATCTCATTTTTCCCAGAAAAAATGAAAGACCCAAAAGGAACGTGCAAAGACTAGATGTTAGTGTGTTACCCCCATTTCTTTGTTAGTTAGGATTTGATTAACGTTTTGCTTTAGTTTCTGTTCTATTTTGTTTTAATTAAAAATTTAATTCAGAAATTTATTTCATTAGTTTTTTAGGAAGAAATTGTGATCTAAAATTTGATTTGATAACTTTTTAAGTTAAAAATATATGCTTTTTTAAAGTAATGCTCATGTAAATTTCACTGTTAGTCTTCAGTGAAGATGAAGACTAACGGTGGTGAGCTAATTTTAAGTTCTCCTCAAGGGAACATGAAGCCTCATCTTAAGGTTGCCATGGATGACGCATTGGCGGTAATCTCACTCTGCCCCTATCCAATGTCTTCAAATGCAATTTCTAAAATCGAGTCAACTCCATTAGCTTTGAGATAAATGCAACTTTCGATATTTTAATCTAAAGCTAATTTTTGGTACTACAAACAAGTCGATTCGAAAAAAATTAAAAAATTAATTTTCGAGGAAATTTAGTGAGAAAAATTGGCAAACGAATTTTTTGATTTTTTTCAAATCGATTTGTTTGTAGTACCAAAAATTTGCGTTAGATTAAATATCAAAAGTTGCATTTATCTCAAAACTCATGGAGTTGATTCGATTTTAGAAATTGCATTTGAAGACATTGAATAGGGGCAGAGTGAGATTACGCGCCAACGTGTCATCCATGGGAACCTTAAGGTAGCATTGTATGCGGGTTTCGAAATGTAAATAATTGTGTCCCAAATTGCCCGTTTTCAATGTATTCAAACGGCGATTTTGATACATGTTAATCTCCGTGCGTTTGTTCTTAAATGAAGATCTAATTGCACTTAAAATTCGATAATATTTAGGTTTGCAAAGCTATGTTAGAATTTTGATTTTTCCTTCCATGAGAAAATATTTAAGTTTTGCTTCTTAATTTTTATTTACTTTATTTTTGTTTACTCTTGGAAGAAAATGTGAACATACTAACCTCGCATCTTAGAGATGCGAGAAAATTCGAAAATTATCGACTTTAACGTGCAATTAAATCTTCACTTAAAAAACCCATATAGATGAACAGGTTTCAAAATCGCCATTCGAGTGCATGCAAAACGTGTACAAAATTTTACATTATCTGCATTCTTAAAATTTGTACATACCAGAATTTTGCCCTAAATTTATCAAATAATTTCTTTATTTCTTATTTACTAATATAAACACACTCTACTACCAAGATTCGAGTGCATGCTTGCTTAACACAATGGATTTTTCCTATCAAAAATATATTTTAATTTTAACTATAGCCAGTTCCAAATCTATCGCAAAACCAGAAAAATTATTCGAAAACTTTTCCACGGTACGATTTATCCTACCGCAAACCGATCATAATTTTCACCTCCAAATTATTCCTCCCTTTTTCGAAAAATACTTCAAATTTGCAGTAAACGTATTCGGAAAACTGAACATCTCCCTTGACTCGGACCTGAATTTTCAAGGCGACCTCAATTTTAGAGACGACCACACCCTAAAATAAATCCGTTTCGCGACACCATCTCTTCCAAAGTTCCCTCCACATCCTAGTTTTTCTAAAACGGGTCGAATTTTTCAATGTGGTACAAAAATCGGGATTCAATTTCCCAACGAAATCTTGGTTCATCTGGTTAATCCGTGAATCTAGAGATTTGAAAGCTTTGGGACAAAATCCAGATAGGGATGCAGAAAAATGTTTAATATTATGATTGAAACTAAAAGTTGCGCAATGGTGGCAGGAACAGTATTTGCATACACGAAAATCGACAACGACCAGTTCATAACGCTGGGGGTGAAATGTTTCTTATTACCCCAGACGGAATCCGTGAAAGTCAATGTTTTTGCCGGGCTAAAATTTTTTCATGCTGAAACAGCCGCCAAAATTGTGCAACATATCGACGAGGCGGGAATCTTAACGAGGTGGATTGGTTTCGACAACTATGCAAAAATGAAACGTAACGCAAAAGGCGGAATTTGTAGGGGTGGATGAATTTCATAAATTGGACTTAGCATCCCACCTACAAATATTATTTTACTTGTGGATGATTTCCCTGCTGTTGGCGGGATTTTGTTTTATTTTTGGGTTTGCGTCTGATGTGAGGAACTGGGTGAAATTTTGGGGTAAAAAAATTATACGAATTTTTAAGATGAAATGGTATCGGTTAACGTTTGTATTTAATAATTGCTGGATAAAAAAATATGTGCAAGAAAGGGTCTAATTTAGAAATACAAACGATAGTTCACAATGTTAGAGGTAATGTAAATTAAATATTTTCTCTATTTATTAAACACTTGATAGTAAGGATTGTTAAGTGTTTAAGGATCTGGAAATGATTTATTGGGGAACGAAAATATCTATGTAAATTTCATAAATATCATATATCGTGCAGACTGACATACTTATACATTCAAAAATATTGTGCTTTCCTCATTTAGATAAAACTGCATGCAAAGCTTCATGAAAATTTTTTGCATGAAAAAGCTTGGAGACAAACAAAGGTTTCACGTTCCCCTTTTTTTCTTGGGACGAAGAACTCAAATCAAACTTCGGCTGATCGGCCGAGAAATATTTTTTCACAACAAAAATTTATCATTTCACAAGAAATAAATAAAATATTTTCCAAATTTTCATCATTAAGTACAAAATTTATTTCGTAATTTAACCCCAAAATGGATCACGTCTTCCCAGCCGATGAGGAACTAATTTATCCAGAAGAAATTAAACTGGAATATAAAAGGTATATAAGTTTGATACAAAATTTAAGTTTCTGGACATAAACACATAAACTTTCCCATAAATTTTGTAAGTCATTTCAATAAATAGCAAATCGACCTTGTCCCAAATTAAGCTCTCCGACTAATCAGCAATTCTCCAATATATTTATGTAAATTAAATTAAATTTACTTAAATAATTACCCTCCCTACTGAATATTTTTAGCATAAACGACTTATCCGACCTTATTGAAGAGATGAAATTCCTGGAGGATACTTTTCTCTCGGCGGAAGTTAAACTGGGGACAATTACGGCCAGGTGGCAAACCTGCTTTGAAGGTTAATTAATTAATTAAATATTAAATACCACAATTTAAAATTCTTAAATGAATTGAAATTACAAATTTTCTGCGTAGACGATATCTTACACAACTTCAATCTCGTTGGGGACTGGTTACAATCAATTAAATCATGTTTGGACGAATTAACGCAGAAATTCAGTACAAATTTGGAAGAAGAATACTTCCATGACCCATTAAAAATCCAGCCAATTGGAGAAACTGTTATCGAAGAGGAAGATCAAGATAACCACAGTAAACAGGATAAGATAAAAAGACTTAGAAGGTAAATATAGATATTTAACTAAGTTCTTTCCCTCAGTAATCCCACAATTCACACAGTTATTGGCAACTTTGTAAAATACATGCGTTTTGCTGCAAAACGCATGGTGCAAAACTTTTGCACCATGGATAATTCTACAAAATGACGAGACACCTTTGATCTGTGTATGTACGAAGTTTACAAAAATTTGTGCTGTAATTTTCCATAGAAATAGTTGTACAATTTTGTCAAGGTTTGTAAATAAGTGCAGACACATAAATATATTTATGTTAAAATTTTAACATGTTACCAAACCCTGCGTGAATTGCCTCAATATCGGCATTTAATTAATAATTACTAATTATATATCTATCTCCCACATTAGGACGAGACCGTCCCGTAATGTGACATCTCATGAAACCGATTCCGACCAGGAACCCTCCTCCCCCAGAAGTATTTCCCCCCTGCATGAACCAGATTCCAATTGGACACCTGCTCAAGAAGATACACCAAACCCAAGAAGTCGTCCTTCCAAAAAACGGCCTACAAAAGTTCCCAAAATATCAAAAATACCCAAAGTTTCCAAAACATCCCCCCAAACAAACCCCACTTCCATCCCACCCACCCGAAAAAAATACCGGACAAAAGGCTCACCCCCACTTCCGGCCAAGTTAGAATGTCACATTTGCCACAAAATCGTCTCTCGTGGTGTATTAACCTCTCACATCAAACGAGTCCATGAACCCCACCTCCTAAAATTCCCCTGCCCCACGTGCTCGTCACGTTTCCCAACTCAATATCTACTCACAGTCCACACCCAAATCCACTCAGCCATCAAACCCTTCACCTGCACCGTCTGCGGATGGTCCTTCCACCGCGCCCACAACTTGGCCGCGCACATGAAAAAACATTCGGAAGAGCGCCCTCTCAAGTGCGACCAGTGCGACGCCACCTTCAAATACGTCCAATCCTTCAAGATGCACGTGGACGCGAAACATTCCTCTGGGAAAAAGAATCAGTGCGCCGAGTGCGGAAAATTGTTCGCGACGACCACCAAAATGAAACAGCATAGCGAACAAGTTCACCAGAGTTTGAGGCGATTTGAATGTTCCCGCTGCGACAAAGTTTTCAAAAGGGGGCAACATTTGAGATATCATGAAAAAACGCATGATAATCCCAACACGAAGAATAGGGGATTAAATAAAGAAAAGCCGTGATTTTTACACGGAATTAACTTACATGAGTTTCAACTTTGTAAGATTTGTTGTTTAGGAGAGTAAATTGTTTAGTTAGCAATAAAAAAAAGATTCGCAAAATTATTTGATTTGAAAACTAATTCACCGACATTTCCATGGCTAGTAAGTATTTAATTCGCAGTGTTGTTGGGATTCAAAAACATGAACTTGTATCCAATTAATACTCGTATTATGTTTGTTGGGATACGTAATGTTTGTTGTAAATATGTACTACGTACTTGAGTTGAAGGATTATAAAAATAAATGCTTTAATCGTGGATTTGGGTAAGCGATTTAGGGGCCGTCCATAAATTACGTAATGCAAGAGGGTGGAGGGGGGGGGTCTAATCCTCCAATGATATCGTGCCTATGTTACCAGGGCCCGTTTAAGGGTCAGGCGACCTAGGCAACTGCCTAGGGCGCAAAGCGGTCAAGGGCGCCGCGAGGCGCCCGGCTCAGCACTAGATAAAAACGACAAATGTAAAAGTTGGCAATTGATTTATTTATATATAATGAATGATCAATCTAATTTGTAACCTATTAATTTAACATTATTCATAAGGTGGGACACAATTGTGTTTCTCTTTGTATTAAAATTTGCACAGAATGGAAAACAAATATTTCTACATTTTCGCTTCAATTAAATTTGACATTAATGAACAATATTATTATACATACATGTATGAATTTATGTATTTTATGCATTTAAGTTTGCATGCATATCTATCTGCTTTAGTTAATAGGTTGAAACGGGGGCACCCCTTTTGTAACGCCGTTGTTCATCAACTTTTTCGCTTTAATTGATGTGACCGAGCAACATCAAATATCCCAAAGTCCAATTTCATCGGAAAATTGTTCGTGTTCACAGACACTCACATTTTTTATTAATCACGTGAGTAAATAAGACTCAATTTGACACATGTTGGCCATAGAAAATCTGAGTGGCAAGTTCAAACATATGTATTTTCTCATGCACACTCAGCAGTGCTGAGAGAGCACTCTATAATTGATAATTATTTGCAATTAGCGTGTAAATTATAATTTGCTGAGTTTTTAAAATGTCTACAAAAAAACCAAGCGGCCATGAATTTAGGAAGCGTAGAGCTGATGCGGAAACGAAGAAGCTAGAAGCAGCTGAGAAGCATCAAAAACTCACCAAATTCTTTGGGACGCCGGCAGAGATAAATGCTTTGGAGAATTCTCAACCCTCCAGTACTTCGAATAGTCATGCGACTTTATCCAATGATAATTCCATAAAAGCTAGAAGTAAGGGGTTCACGGTTTTTAATTTTTTTAAAAGTTTGTTGATTAAGAATCCATTAAAGATTCAGCTTGTATTGATCATTCTTTTAAATAATGTACGCTTGTTTTCAATTATTTTTTATTTAGGTACCGAAGAAAATAATTCCGACCTGATTAATATACACACATTGAATAATACACGCGACTTACCTGTGCAATTTGAGGTGTCGAATAATGAGGACGAAAATGAAATTGGTAATTCATGTTTACAATTCCTCAATTTTAAAACTAATCCAGATGGGGCAATCCCTAACCCCCAATCCAAATAAATTTTGTAAATCAATCTAATCCGAAACCAATTCAATCCCCGAATCGATGTTTAATTCTAATCCCAAATCTAATCCAAACATTTTGGTGACCAATCCCCAGTGGATAGCCCGAAAACCAAAATTAGCTACTCTTACAGCTCTGTTGTCCACAAGATATCATTATCTTTGTTTGTCTTGCAGTTCCTGAGGAAGGGTTTAAAAACAATTCACCTCGTACAGATGAACCCAGAAACTTTGATTCTCGTGCTCAATCTGATGTGACAATTGTGGGTATCGAAGATAAAATTGGTAAATTTATAAAGTATTATCGCATGTTCCTGTATTAATTTATTTAATGAAACATTCTTAAGATGTGTCTGCTTGTCCCATGACATGACGAAATCCATGTAGCTGAGTAATGAATGGTTAATATTTATTTCATTAACTTCCGAAAGGAAAGGGTTGACAATGTAAAAGGTATAATTCGCAGAATCTAACCACAATCTTTTAAATTTCAATAGATGGGGAAGACTTGGCCTTTCGCGTTACACGTATTTACATATGTATCTATGTATATATAGTACCGATCACATGTGCTAACAATCTACATTTATGTCCCTAAATTCCCTGAAAGTCTATCATATTTATTCTTAATGTCTACCAAGGTTTGCTAATATTAATGCAAGTTCCTTTCCTGAAGTATTTTAGTTTAATGTACTCTGGGCAACAAGATTACTAAAACGAGTTGTGTGTACATATGTAAATTTTCATATGCATCACAAACATACATATTTAAGTACATATGTACATAATTCTGCAAAAATTAACCATGTCCATTTTAATCATGGGATAACCAGACGTAGCTCATTAGTTGTTTATAAAATTGAAATATAAAAATATAACTTTCCCCGATTTTCATGAATGTTTAGATCTGGACCCCGGAAACTGGCCAACTCGGTTAAGCCTGGCACAAAAATCATACATTCTAAATAAGGGACCGCGATCTGGAGCTGGCCTTAACTACCCGCAGAATGAAAGTGGGCGAAGATTTAATGATTCGCATTTCTGGAGAAACCTTGGAAATGGGGAGAAAGTTAATCGCAACTGGTTGGTATACTCCAATTCCGCTGACAACGTATATTGCTTCCCATGCAAAATATTCGGTGGACACACGGAGTCAACTTTGCATTCGACTGGTTATTCTGACTGGAAAAATTTATCCTCAGCGCTTAGATCTCACGAGGATTCAAAATTTCACAAAGAAGCCTGCTTTAGTTGGATTGGGACAGAAAAATCGATTAAGAATATTTCTGGGATAGACGCTCACATGCAGGCTGGAATTGCTGCAGAACGACAACGATGGCGCGACATTCTCAAGCGGATAATTGAGGTCGTACGATTTCTCGCCACCCACAATCTTGCATTCCAAGGTTCAGTAGAAAAATTATACCAGCACAATAACGGTAACTTCTTAGGAATCATCGAGCTTCTTTCAAAATTTGACCCATTGTTAAATGAGCACGTCCAAAAAGTGGTCGGCGGGTCAAGTAAATCTTGCAGACCTCATTATTTCAGTCATGACATTCAAAATGAACTTATTCAAGTAATGTGCTCCAAAGTTTCGGACAGAATTATTCAGGAAGTCAAAAATGCTAAATACTTTTCCATAATTCTGGATTGCACTCCGGACATCGCCCATCATGAGCAAATGTCAGTTATTCTCAGATATGTGGATTGCAAAGAGAAAAAAGTAGTAATCTCGGAAAGCTTTCTTGGATTTGTGGTTGTTCACGACAAGACTGGAATGGGGCTTACCGATGCCGTACTGAAGTTCATAGAAGACGCAGGACTTGACTTGAAGAATATTAGGGGCCAATCTTATGACAATGGCAGCAACATGAAAGGGAACATTAGGGGTGTTCAAAGCAGAATTCTCGAAGTTAACCCTAAGGCCACTTTCATAGCATGCGTTAACCACTCCTGCAATTTGGTATTGTCAGATGGAGCTAAATCAGCGACGCAAACAATCACATTTTTTGGAGTCGTTCAGAAGATCTTTACATTTGCATCTGCGTCTACAAATAGATGGGATATTTTCCGAAAACATGCCACGCAATTTCCCGTGAAACCTTTATCAGCAAATAGGTGGGAAAGTCGGATTGACAGTTTGAAGGCGTTGAGGTTTCAAATAAGTAGAGTGCGGGACGCACTACTCGAAATAGGCGCCAATACAAACTTTGACGTCGACACAAGATTTGAGGCCAACAACATTTGCTCGCAAATCGAAAAATTTGAATTTCTTGTACTCTTGTCCGCTTGGTATGACCTCTTACATCACCTTAATGTCGTTAGCAAAATGACTCAAGAGAAAACCGTAAACGTTGGTGCCACATTGCAACTCCTAAACAATACCGAGAAATTTCTTGAAGATTATGGCAGAAATGGATTTGTAACAGCCCAGATCACTGCACGGGAGTTAGGTGAAGAACTTGGCCTGGAGGAGGATGAAATGATATTCACCGCTGCTCGCATGAGAAAACGAAAATCACATTTTGATGAGGAAAATTCTGAAAATGCAACCAACAACTCCAACAATGACCCCGCTTTGAAATTTAAAAATTCATGTTTTGATAAACTTGTGAGCTGCGTTCAAGACTCGATGACTCGTCGATTCACACATATGAGAAAGAACCTCTCGGACTTCCAAATTATCATTGACGCTGATTGTAGAAGTACTTGTGATGAAGGGGAGCTATTAAGAAATTGTAAAGATTTACATTTTAGGTTTATGGACGGCAAGGATAAGGATATCGAAGGAAGTCAACTCTTCGATGAATTTAAGTTATTGCGTGATTCATTTCCTGAAAAATTTAAATCAAATCCGCATGCTTTGCTTGACTTTATCGCTGGATCGTGCTTGGAGGGAGTTTTTCCAAATATTTGGATTTCTTTGCGTATAGTTATGACACTTCCTGTCAGCGTTGCTTCAGCAGAACGCAGCTTCTCAAAGCTAAAATTAATCGAGAATTACTTGAGATCTTCAATGAGTCAAGAAAGATTGTGTGGATTAGCAATTCTATCAATTGAAAAGGAATTGACTTGTGAAATAGATTTTGATGATATAATCAATGAATTTGCATTGAGGAAATCCCGAAAAGTACTGTTTTAGTCGTCACTTTAGAATGTTCGTAGTCGTTATTTGTATTTAACCTCGTGTACCTTCTAATTAAAAAACAATCCTAGTTAGCTACAATTTATTTCAAGTCATATTTATGAAATAAAGATGAATAAACAGGGTTATTAAAAATATAGAAAGACCAGTTTTTTATGTTAAAGGTTCCATGAAATGCGCAAAAAACGAAGGACTTTATTTTATTCATATTGGCAAATCTCGGTTACGGTGCGAGGAAGTAGTCATTTAATCAAATAAGTTCGATGACAGGAGATAAACACTTATGCGCAAATATACAAATTTTGAGTTTTGAGGAGACATAAATTAAGATTAAAGTATAGAACGGTATGCGGTGAATAATTTACGCTTACTATGTAAATTGTATTCAAATATGCAAATAGGATTGACGCTTACAAAAATTAACAACATCTTAGAATAACTTAACATCTCACAAGGCGGGCGCAAACCATATTCAGCCCAGAGAATTTTGTGATTTTTTAGTTTTAGAGTAACTCTTTCCAAACTACAGTAGTTCCGCACTTGCGCAGATGCTACAAATTCAGCTATATCAGTAGGCATGCCTCAAGTTCGCCAAAATACATAATTAATTTCTCCTTCCTTTTCCGGCCCAACGTATGATTTTTCTCGTTTTTTTCCTCGATCCTTTTCACTCCCACGTGAGGACATTACCGATGCAACGCTTCATTATTCAGTTTTCATCACAAATTCAGAATTGTTATATTTTAATTACAAAGCTTGCCATTATTGCTCCCCTTATTTAAACCCCTTATTTCTCCCCTTATTTTAAAAATGCTAAGAGCGAGGAGTAGTCTGGGCGCAAACCTCAGTAATGGCAGGTAGTTGGGCGCAAGAAAAATGTTGCCTAGGGCGCAAATATGCCCAGCCCGGGCCCTGTAATGTTACACATGTTATAGGGGAGGTACGTAATTTATGGACGGCCCCTTATTATTACTTTTCAGAAAATTATCTCAAAAACAATCATTGATTAAACTGTTTACAACGGGATGAGGATACTATGCATTAGGGTTACTCCACGAGTTATGGTAATGGACCTGATGTCGAAAATCGATTTTTTTGAAATCCTTCAAATATGTGATAGAGGACCTTAAAATATGTAGAAAAATCATTTTCCCCGAATTTTTGAGGTTTCAATGTGGCTGCTAGGAGGGGTGTGGCTTCCGTTGAGATACCACCTTTTCGCAGCCGCTATTGCGCGCAGGGACTCCAAATTTCACACCAAGCTATCATTGGCCAATACAATTGCGGGTCTTTTTCTCTTTTTTGGAAATTTTGTCATGGTGACCGTTTTCAGGTCAAAATGTGCGTTATGTCGATTTTTTTCGTAAATCGTCTCACATAACCCCATAAATGGGGCATCGTTAGATAGGTCTAGGCAAGAGGATTCAGAATATATATACTTTGTCCGGCATATAGCTGCCCCCTGACCTTCCAGAAGCAGTAGAATGAGAATTTTCATTGCTTCCACATTTTAACACAGTAGCAGATTATTGGCGAGCTAACATAGAAATAGATGGGACAAACTCAAAAATATTTGTCAGCCTCAGGAAGACTGGGGAGTGGTCGTACACCCTACAAAGTATATATATTCTTAATCCTCTTGCCGAGACCTTTCCAACGATACCCCAGTTATGGTGATTTGAGACTTTGAGTTTTCAGAGAAATTTGACGTTTTGTGAATCTTGACCTAAAAACGGTCACCGTGACCTAATTTCCAAAAAAGAGAAAAAGACCCGCAATTGTATTGGCCCATGGTAGCTTGATGTGAAATTTCGAGTCCCTGTGTGCAATAGCGGCTGCGAAAAGGTGGTATCTCAACGGAAGCCACACCCCGTCCTAGCAGCCACATTGAAACCTCAAAAATTCGGGGGAAATGATTTTTCTGCATATTTTAAGGTCCTCCATCCCATACTTGAAGGATTTCAAAAAAATCGATTTTCGACATCAGGTCCATTACCATAACTCATGGAGTAACCCATTAGGGAACTTGACAGTTTAATCGTTTAATTCCGAATAGGTATGCATTTATCAGCTATTTAAATACATACATATTTACGCGTCGTGTCTTGGTCCAACACTCTTGGAGAAAGTGTAGAAATTGCGATATATAATTTCAGTATGCTGGGTATAATTCCGTACCAAATTAAACATAATAATAATAATTCAAACCACTGCCTCATTTTCGACAAGAAATACTCAAAAATATTTTTAAAGAAATGTATACATCACAATTTCTTCCTCTTCTCCAACATCGCATCCGCGTTGGTACGATGCTGAAATGCATTCCGTTTGTGTTCGACCAAACGTTGGGTAGATTCGTCCAAAATCGGTCACCATGGCAGCTTCGAATCTTCAAGGTGCAATGCGTCCTCTCAGTCTTGTATGCCGGGGGAATGTTGGCGAATTTGTGCTTTGGACCACTCACGACGACCGGACGGATGCAGGGGGTCGGATTTTTCATCGTGTACTTCGCCGCAACTCTGATGCAGTGGAATTATTGCGTGGATATAGGACCGATCCAGTTAATAAATTCGGTCCTGGATTTCGAAAGGGGGAGGATGTCAAGTAAGTAAATTCTGTGGAATTAAAATCAAATGCAGGAACATAAGTCCATGCATTCTCTTGGCATAATAATAATAAAAAAATGATAATAATAATTTATTCTTGAAAATTCCTACAAGCCGAGAGTTTGCATGATCTTACTCGTTCATGTATGTATTACATTAACAAAACACGATTTTTCCACCCCTCTGCCCCTCTTTTATTACCAGTCGTCAGCATTTGATCGACCTCCCCTCACAAATCCAATGTTGACGGAACCTTTTCCTGATAATGAGGAAACAAGAGAACACATTTTGTGGGGAACATACAAGAATAATTTAGTTGGAATGCTATTTACAAAAATTTAGAATACATGTTACTTCTTATAAAGAGTGGAGAATAAATTGAATACGGGAAAGTTCTATTTTGCATTCATTCTATGACGAAGGGTTTGTACATGAAATTTCTTTAAGAAACTTACTGATTTTAGGGGATACCAATAATCCTTATTTCGTTCCTTAATTAAACCGAATAATCAATAATTAGTTAAATCGATTTTATCAAGCTGATCAAATGGATTGGTGAGAAGGATAATATCGATTATTTCTACATAGCTTTACGGATTTAAGTAAGTATCTTGACTAAATACTTGAAACCTTTAGTTTTAACGAACTTTATGTACACACTTAAAAACAATGTTGCCATTTTAGTAGGGAGGTTTATTCAGACTTGTTAAATATGGCGGCACGACAAATATGTAACCGACATTTGTGTAAACGACAATTATGTTACCCGACAAATATACATATTTATAACGGATCTCTGTTTAATTCTAGCCACGAAACCCGTCCGCCTTTCACTTGGTGCCAAAGCCATGAAAATATTCATTCAAATTGTCGAAGTTAGCATCCTGCTGTACCCGGTTCTTCAATTTTTCCTGTTACGATTTCTCCCTTGTACACCGCCCTTCATCCTCTCAATGTTTCCCGGCTGCCTTAAGGGCAACGATGAAACCCTGACCGAGTACATTCTCAAAGTTGTCGTTCAAATCTTTGAATCGTGTCTGACTCTGACCGCAGTTATTTCCGGGACGACGTGGATGTTCTACGTGCTCTTCGCTGGGATCGTGTTCATTCTCAACTACTTCAGGATACTGAAAAGGTTACTAAAGTGTTTTCACTGTGGCTTTTCACTTTTTACTTTTTTCAAATAAGAAAAAAAAATCAACCAAAATCTAATTCAAAATAAACTCAAAAAATTAATTTTTTAACAAGTTTTAATTGTCAACAGCTTAACGTTTTTTGAATTTTTAAATAGTTTTTAAATAGAAATAGCTTTAAAATTTCAATTAAAAAAAATAGTCGTGGGAAGTAATTCTTAGTAAGCCTGATGTTTAATTTTTGAAATCGGTCTAAAATTCGAAAAATGACATGTAAGATCCTACTCTTGGCTGAAAATGTATGTAAAAATTCCGATATGGGCGAAAACAGGCACCTTCTTAAAAAACAATAAGCGTTCACGTTTCTGGGCGTGAAATTACTCCGGTCAAAATCTGAGATAATCACCTCAAACCTCTCCATTTTCAATATTATTTTTAGTGAAATCTCTTCAATCCTCTCCGACCCTGACAAGGACGTCTGCATCAATTTGTACCGGTACGTTCAAATTTTGGAGAAGTCATTCAACGCATACCTTCTGCCTGCCGTCATTCCCGCGACCATCTTCTGCGTCCCGATCATCGAAATAATCGGGTACTTTGCGTGCATCACGTTACACCAGGAAGTCTCGATGCCCGGCTTTCTCATCTTCCCCCTGATGGCGACGGAAGCCGGAATCAGCAACATTTTCGTGATCACGTTGGCCTCACAAGTCCACGTGGGGTCGCAACAGGTTAAAATCGCCCTGGAGAAGAGATCGATGGGCAGGTGCAAAATGGCCCTCGTCAAAAGGCAGATTCGTGCCATGGACGTGTTAAAGATCAAGTTTGGACAGAACTTTATCGATGCCGGGACTCCGTTGGTGATGCAGAATTTCTGCATTAATCAGACAATGTCACTCGCCCTGGTGAAGGGGAGGAGAGCTGTTTAACCTCCTTCGTACTACTGAGTTTTAAATAAAATTTCTCTTCAATATACTATCTACAATGTAGATAGTATATGATGATCATATGGTCGCACTTAATGGATTATTTAGAGGAGCTGCTCATAGAGAATGCAATGCTTCGTATATTCAAAAAGTCAAAATCCCTGTACTTATGCATAATTTTAGAAATTATGACTCTCACCTGCTGTTAAGTTCAGCAACGAAATTTGGTTCTGGGAATACGTTCGTTATCCCTCAAAACTCTGAAAAATTTATAGGCATTATTTGTGATAAGTTCATGTTCATAGATTCTTTCATGCATCTGCCCAAATCTTTAGATACTCTTGTAACAAACCTTCATGCAAAACCCGAAGGCTTTGACGACAAGTTTGGTATAATGATACAACATTTTTCAAAAGAACGGGCTGTAAAACTCTCAAGGAAAGGTGTCTATGCATATTCTTATTTCATTTCTTGGGATAAATTTAAGGAAACCAAATTTCCCGATATTTCAGAGTTTTATAACACCCTCACTTGTGAAGGGATTTCACAAGAGGATTATGATTTTGGTAAGTCAGTGTTTGAAACCGAATGCACTGACCTGGGTTCGTACCACGACATATATTTAACAACAGATGTACTTCTCTTGGCATGCGTTTTTGAAAGCTACAGGGATATGGCAATTTCTAACTTAATACTGTAGAATCTGGCATTAAAGGAGGAGTATGTATGATATCTCATAGATATTCTGAAGCTTACAACAAGTATATGGAAGATTATGAAGAAGGAGTCAAGGAAGACTCTTTTCTTCTTTATATTGATAAAGACAACTTGTACGGTGAGGCGCTTCAGCAGCCTTTGCCTGTTTCTGATTTTCAATGGGAAAGTCAAGAGTTCATTGATAATTTAAATGTAGATGATATTATGGCATGGGGTGATGAGGATGAAATCGGTAGAATTTTGGTTGTCAATTTAGAATATCCCTGTGAGCTCCACCTGTTGAGCGAACACGAATATTCACTAGCTCCGGAGAAAATTACAATTTCCATGAATCAACTCTCGAAGCATCAGTGGGAGCTTTTAACTTCCTATAACATTAAATATTCAGAAAAGCAGAAAACATTAGTTCCTCATTTAGGACCTAGAAAAATGTATCCAGTGCATTATAGAAATCTCAAATATTATTTGGAGAAGGGAATGGTATTAACAAAGATTCATAAGATAATTAAATTTGTTCAAAGGCCCTGGCTTAAAGATTTTGTAAACCTTTGTTGTGATTTACGACGAAAAGCTACAAACAAATCTGAACAAGACTTTTTCAAGCTAATAGTTAACGCAATTTTTGGACGTAGCATGATGAATGTTAGGAATCAGCAAAATGTATATATAGTTAATAGTATTGAAACAGCAAAATATTATTCCAGGCTTTCGAACTTCAGAAAATTTGAGATTTGTAAAGAACAGGTTTATTTTGTGAAAGTGATTGTTGCACATTGAGTGCAACACAATCAAGGAGAAGGTTTCCTTATGTGCAATCTTAATCAGATACATTTGTCACATTCTAGTTTTATATCGTGATCGCCTCTGGGCAGTGAGGCAATTATTGCAATTCATCTCATTGTTATCTCTCTCACTCTCTCTTTCAATATGTAGGTTAGAAATAGGTATATCAACCATATATAAACAGCAGTCACGGCAGTACACGACAGCAATGGGAGAACAAGTCTTGGGGAGCCTGGGAGATGGGCTCAAGACGAATCTTGCTGCTGCTGCCATTACTTTGTCCAACACTCAGTCGATAAGAATAAAACCTGTCCTGACTTTGTCTCACCAAATCTCACCCTGCCTCCGTTCCTCCAATTTATTTTGCGATGCACAACAACGACGACGATCAACTTGTCCATCATCTCTTCCCCCCTAGCCGACGATGTGGGGTCTCTGTGTGAACCACCGGAGTGGGACATAACATTGGTACCCACGGCTACATCGCCCTGTCATAGGGTGAAGCACCCCGCACCCCCTGTCTTCCCCCCCCCTCATCCCCATATCGGTGTGACGGACTGTCACCCAGGTACGTAATAAACTTTTTAATGCATTCTTAAATACTCCACTCTCCCCATCTCCACCATTTGTCGCCCCACGATTGGTCCGCACCCAGACAATTCATTCTCATACGCCCCCACCCATTAGAACAACTAAGACGTGCCGGCATATTTACAAATAAAAACTTCAGAAAAACTTCAGAAAACTGAAAGAAAGAGAAACAGAGATGTGAGAGGTAGTCTCTCGTCAAGGGTCGCTCCCTCATTATATTGCACTTTTGTTAGGACCTGTCATGCCCCGACTGTACAGCGGGATGAATTTTTATAGGCCAGAGTAGCCCCCCTTTTTTGTCCGATAGTGAGCCGACCTTTATGCATACACATACCGCCGTAGAGCGATGATAGGCCATAGTAGCCCCCCTTTTTGTCCGCCAGTGAGCCGACCTTTATGCATACACATACCGCCGTAGAGCGATGATAGGCCATAGTAGCCCCCCTTTTTGCCCGCCAGTGAGCCGACCTTTATGCATACACATACCGCCGTAGAGCGATGATAGGCCAGAGTAGCCCCCCTTTTTGTCCGCCAGTGAGCCGACCTTTATGCATACACATACCGCCGTAGAGCGATGATAGGCCAGAGTAGCCCACTTTTGTCTGCCAGGCACTCAGGGCAAGGTATATTATTCAACGGTAAAACGCCATATCATAATAATTTTGGCAACAGAGGGGACTCACCTCCTCACCAGGGCCCGAATGCCCAACAATATAATTTCGATAGCATATGAGATATAGGAAATATAAGTGCAGAACCCCCAATCTGCCAATTACCATAGGAAATATAAGTGCAGAACCCCCAATCTGCCACTGAAATAATAATAATGATAATAGGATATATAAGTACAGAACCCTCCATTTGGGGCTTATCCATATATTACGTGATCAAAAATTCTCGATTTTATCATACACCCACCCAACGTAAACATTAAGGGATTGGAATTTTTAACATGGGAAAAATAGGAAGACCAAAACCACCCACCCACTAAAATGATGACGTAATATATGTACGTTCCCTTGCCAACGTAATCATAATAATGATGCAAGGAAATCTCAGGATGGTAAACTCATGCATATGCTGGAGATGGGGGAGAGAGTCATCGACCCCCTCAACAACACAACTACTAGTCATGCAAAAACACCATATAACCGCTATTTAATAATTCATAATCCCGACCCGATAATACCCCTAACAGATTCTTTCTCCAAACTTGGTACTTGTTTTCATGAGTAAACCTAGTATTGTATTGGATAAGCCAATATATACAGCGTTTTCGGTTTTAGATCTCAGCAAGTTGTTTATGCAGGTTTGGCATTATGACAAGATCAAAAAATGGTATGGAATTAAGCCCAGGTTGCTTTTTACAGATACGGACAGCTTAGCCTATCAAATTAAAACCGCTGATCTTTATGCTGATTTAAGACTGGTGAAAAATGATTTTGACTTTAGTGATTTTGACCACACTCATCCACTTTATTCTACAGAAAATAAAAAAGTGATTGGTAAAATGAAGGACGAGAGTAACGGAAAAATCATGGATAGTTTTGTGGGTGTTTCTCCAAAAATGTATTCCTTTGCAGGCAAGAATATCCATAAGATTGCTATGAAAGGAGTCAAACAATCTTTAGTACGAAAACATGTAACTCATAAAGCTTTTATGGAGACTTTGTTTGAGCAAACAAAGTATATGTGCAGAATGAATTTGATTCGTTCAAAGAATCATAAACTAACAACTGCAAATTATACAAAAGTAGCTTTGCATAGTTTTGATTCGAAACGTTTTATTTTACCCGATGGAATTAGTACACTTGCTCACAATCATTTTTTGATTCCTACGTACAACAAGTAAAATATTTAAAATTAACAAGTACCAATTATTTATTTAGTGAATTATTGTACAGTTTAAACATAACAATAAAATGATTACAATTACAAATATATAAATAATAAATAAAATATGTACAGTTTAAGGTTTGAAAACTTTTGTTATTCCCTTAATTTGGCATCTACAAATAGGACATAGGTCTTGGGTAGTAGAGCATGGAAAGCAGGAGCAAATGTGACAACATGGAGTGAACATGTAATTAGCTTTTTCGAGTTTACACACCGAACACAGAAATGTTTCCATCAGGCTATGAAGGAGTGTAAGAGTAGCATTTTCTTGATTTTCACCATTCTCATCCTTTGACGAATTTATTTGTTTGCATAGACTCTGTAATAAAAAAATAATAAAACAATAAAATAATTATCTTGATAAAACTGAAAATATATAAAAGCATTACAAAATTACATTATATTTTTGGTAAGTATAACTTTGGTCTAAATCCTTCGATAAAATAGTCTGCAATTTAGGTTTGTGCAAAGAGAGGAATGGACAGTCACTTGAATGAATAGAGTGTTCAATCCAGGGATCATCACTTGGCAGCCAATTATGGATTATTATTCCACAATAATAACAAAAAAGCCGATCTCCATATCCAGTAGAGTAAAATCCTGCTTCACTAAAATTTTTGGGATTTTGCTTACATTTTCCGGTCCAGTTTTTGAATGTTGCTAAACGATCACTATTTAGACACATATCTTTGTTATCAATATCGTATGGTTTATAGACCAGAGTTGGAAAAGTTTCATCTTGGAGAACCATGTTTAGTATTTAAAATAAATACGGAAAACCTTATCTGATTAGAACTGAATCGCATGAGCTCTGACACTACAATGAACATATCACTAATATGTCGTACTACTTTAGCATAGTTTATTAAATTATTAAAACAATTTTTTATACAAACCAGACCTCCAAGTTAAGAAGGAATTTTTTTGTTGTTGTTGTTGTTCAAAAACGAATACCTCAGTCAAAAGCCATTCTATCATGTGGGAAACCATATGAAGTCTTCTGTCTTGATGTAACGTCCTTAGTGTTGCGGGGTCTTTGGGGAATTCCCGTTGGAGTACGATATGGGTCAAAGGTTTTATTCAGAGCATCATTTTGGTTTAACGGTTCCCATGCACTGAAGCTCGACAGCTTATGAGCACTGAGCGTAGCTGTTTGTTTTAGAGGAATAGAATCTAAGGTACCCATAAGATCATTTCTCACTACAGTTGAAAATAGAGCGGCAGGGACATTTAACATTTTACACACTCTCAGGAATCTGTTGATTCCGTTTGGGGATGTGGTCCATTTCAAATCTCTAATGGAGTAACTCATTACATCCGAAATGTTAGAGTCAGGTTCAAACTCACTTCCCCAGAAAGTTACTCGTCCTGATTTATCCCATTTTATCATTTCAAGATGACACTTTAAAAACCCGAGCAAATTGTGAGCTTTATTCATTTGAGTGGTAGGAAATTCTTTCAGCATTTTTATATCTGATTCAGATAACGTGAATTTTTCAGGGGAACCAACTGGAGTAGACTCTGTGCTAGAAGGAGTTACAGGTGGAGGAGTTTCATTAGTGGAGACAGTATTACTTTTTCCTATGGATGATTTATCTTCACCAGAAACCATTCTAACGGAAATAGGTTTATCTAAAATGTCTTTCAACTGATTATTTACACGTTTCATTAAACTACTGTACAATTGGACTTTAATATCCTCCGGAATTAAGGATCCCAAAACTGATGTAGCTTCCTGATCCTTGTCCGTAAAAAAGTGAGTTTTAGCATGCTCCATTGTGTTGGTCTTTTTTAGAAGCTGGGAATACTCGTCTTCACTAACAACTCTCATTTTTTTCGACATTTTAATATTTAGTTTTTAAAACCCTAAGTGTGAACTAATCGCTCGTCCTGCTATTGCACCAAGAGCTGAAAGCACGGGTGTTATTAAGAATGGAAGAAAACCTCCTTTCTGTACTAAATGTTCCTTCTTGCTTTTATGTGATTTTGACTTTTTTGATAATTCCCTGATTTGATCTTTGTGTTTGTGTAATTTCTTTCTTGTTTCCTCGTCTACTTGAAAACGACCTTCTAATATATTTACAGCAATTTCACTTAGTGCTCGTATCTCGTCCGGGGATGCTTCCTGAATGATCTTCTTCCTCTTCAACCCCCTGCATGTCACAAGTTTCTTCAGAAACGAGAGGTTCCGATTTAGGCAGTGACTCATTTCTCATGTAGCTTGATAAATCGTTGAGAATTTTTAATGCTTTAGCATGTGAGCATTGCGCGTTGTCAATATGGAATGAGAGCGGACATTCAATAGAATCTTGTATAGGCAGATTTTCAGAACAGTCCTCTGTATTTTCAACCAATAAATCCTCTGTGTTAATAACAGTCCAGTTAAATCCCAAATTCTTCAAAACGTTTGCCTTTTGTAGTCCTTTAGTGTATACTGTAGCATCATTTAAAGTAGACAAATACGCCAGAACACTATTAAACTTGTCCCGCCCAGCAAACCAGTATATTTTATGAAGTTTATTTTCACAATACTTCACTATACGCTTTTCATGTACAGTAAGAGAGTTGAAATGACAGGGGGGTTTAATAAAGAAATGTTTCTGAAAATAAGTGGGGTCTTCCGTACACTTAATATTACAAATTGTTATTTCTTTAAACACAAATCCTCTTGGAAGTAAAAATCCTTCAAATTCAATAACGTACTTCATTTTGGTATGTACAAGTATTTTGGCTCGTCTGAAAAAATTCCCTGGAGCACTCTGGTTCTGTCGTTACACAAAGGGTGTGAATTGAGGAATAAGTACAAGTATGGTTGCTCAGTTGCTCTTTTATAGGCATCAGATAGAAAATTCGTATTATGTGGAAAAAGCTGTTTACCTAAATATTGTATTTGAGATGCGAACGTAGGAGACCTCATAATTACCATATAATGACAATTTAGTCGTATATCGCGTCCGAATTTTCCTTGAGGATATAGATTTTGTGTTAATAGAATTACTGATACTGAATTGTGATGAATTCCTCTTGTGAATAACGTTTGAATTTTTTCATTCGTCAGCACATCCTTCATTTGATCATCAATTATTAGCAAAGTTGGGTGTTTGTTACCAAATTCGGACATATCAAAATCCAATCCTTGTCTAAATTCAATCCGATTATTATGTTTAGCCATGTCATCATAAGCAGGTTGATTTTCTGTGTAAGAAACAATTATCCGGCTTGGGCAGGGCTCAATTAATTGTGCATCATGAGTCAGTAATTTTTTAACAAACTCTGACTTTCCTGATTGAGAAACTCCGGAAATAATTAACGAGAAGGGATGTAAAAGCTTTAGAGAATGACCTTCAATTTCCATTCTGCTGTTTTCGAAAATGCAACGTTACTATGCACTGTCCTTTTTCAAACTGAAGTTCATCGCCAAATTCGTCACATAGAAGAATTTCAATTGTGTCAAATTCAAGTTCACTTACAAGGGAACTTACCGAGGTGTCCAACGAGTTAAGGGTCGACACCTATACCAAAATGACCACAACACATGACTTATTAAACAAACTGAAGGAATTTCCGTGTAAAATTCACTTTTCGTCAAGTTGTGACGATATTTGTGACGAGCGCATGACCATCGGGTTGCCAGAGAGGGAAAGGTCGGCCGCTGAACGATCAGGTCGACCACAGAGAAGCGTCGTCTTCAGAGATTTCAAATTTTTGCAAATTTTGAAACAACTTTGAAATTTTTAAGAAATTTTGAAAACATTTTTTTAATTTTGAAAACATTTTTTAAGTTTGAAGTAACTTTGAAAAACTTTTCGAAATTTTGAAATTTTGAAACAATTATGAAATTTTGAAAAAATTGGAAATGTGTAAGTTATTTGAAATTTGAAATATCTGAAGACGACGACGCTTCTCTGTGGTCGACCTGATCGTTCAGCGGCTGACCTCTCCCTCTCTGGCAACCCGATGGTCATGCGCTCGTCACAAATATCGTCACAACGTGACGAAAAGTTAGTTTTACATGGAAATTCGTTCAGTTCGTTTAACAAGTCATGTATTGTGGTCATTTTGGTATAGGTGTCGACCCTTAACTCGTTGGACACCTCGGTATGTTCCCTTGTTAGTGGTAAATAATAAGGACGAAATTCGTGAGTCACGGCTTCATTTTTCTTTGAACTTACATTAACCATTCTTAGTAGGGGACAAAGACAGTCTCCTACAATTTGTCTTTTAATTATATCACTATATATAAAAATATGATATATTCCCCTAAATAGGTTTGGGGTGTTCGTTGCTATCCTACTAACGTCAAATCGACACGTATCGTCAAGGGTATATAAGTCAAACCCCAACATGGTAGCTAAACACACATTTATATAGAATGTTCCACAACCCTTTAAAAAATGTACTCTATTTGTTTCAGGGTTATATGCAAAACTTGCATAAACTTCGTCATTAAGTACTAAGCAGAGATTGATTTCTTCAACAAGTGACTGTACATCTTGGTATTGTTTATTTTTAACCATGCGATGACCAATATTGTTTTCTGGATCATTTGGAAATAGTATTTTTCTTGCGTCATCTTGCTGAAACGTTTTCAAAGAATTTACGTAAGTAAACTCTGTAATAGCTACTTCATATTCGTTAGATATAAAATTCAAACGTTTTGGTAGTTTAGTTTTATATAACGACATCCTGTTATTAGGATAGTACCGTGGGCTAACATTAGAAGGTAGATGTAGGTAAAATCTAACTTCCATTATTCAACTGCTTAGCGTACGAAGCTTCATACAGTTTTTATCCTTTTTCCAGGGCACTACTAATAGTCTAAAAAATGAAGCATGTTCATGTATTTCACCACGAACACTATCACCGCGTGTTAGAGAATCAAATTGGTAAAGGCATACCCGTGTTTAGAGGTTATAGACAGAAAGGAGGTGTTCTAGGAAGTATTCTGGGATTTATCGGTCGATATGGATTACCGCTCATTACCAAATATATTCTACCTCATGCAGCGCCTGCAATTATGAGTACAGTATCTGATATTACAAATGGTCAATCAATTAAAACAGCCCTAAAATCCAATGCTATTGAAATGGCTAAAAAGGTTGGTAAATCTATTCTTAAACCCCAAGCAGGAGCTGGATTAGGTTCTAGAAAACGAAAAGCTCTACTAGGTGCAACGTCAGAAGAGTGTAAGGTGTTGCACGAATCACATCACTCGTCCAACCCAAAGAAATCTAAAGCTTCATCCGTAAAATCGGGCAGCAAGAGAAAAACACCAACTGCACCTAAGAAAAGAAGATCAATTTTTAGTAAACGGGATATATTTGGATAATGGCATTAATTAACGAATTCTCTCAACCGTCCATTAGGGGACAAGTAGAGTTATTTGGTCTTCCACCTACAGACACAACGGTTGAATCCAGTTGAACACAACGGTTGAACGGTTGAATCCAGTTTCTACGCAGAATATAAACCTGTTGTAAATATACAAGATAACGATGCAAAAATTGATTTTCGAATTACTGGAAATGCATCGCAATATCTTGACTTGTTTGACCATTTCTGTTATCTTAGAGTAAAAGTTGTTGCATCGGATGGAAAAGATTTACCAGCAGCAGCAGAGGTTAGTACTTCTAACTTATTTATGCATTCCCTGTTTTCGCAATGTGATGTTAGTATAAATAATCAACTTGTTTCAACCAGCAATAACTGTTACATGTACAAAGCTTATTTAGAAACAGTTTTGACATACGGAACTGATTACATAAATTCCCAAGCGACTTGTCCACTATTCTACAAAGACACTGATAATGGATCGCTGAAAGATACTAACACAGGCCACCAAAAAAGAAAGCAATGGATTCAAGCCTCGAAACCGGTGGAATTAATTGATAAATTAAAATTTGACCTTGCTTATCAACATCGATATATTTTGAATGACACAACAGTTACCATTAGCCTAGCCAGAGCTGTTGAAACGTTTTCCCTTTTGTGCGGGGCACTTGCTTCAGGTAGTCCCGCGATTAATCCCAAAGTAAAATTCCTTGATGCGAGTCTATTTGTTAGAAAACATGTTTTATATCCTAGTATTGTCTTGTCTCACCAAAAGTTACTTGAAGGAGGGCATAGTGCTCGATACCCCTTCAAAAAATCAGAAGTAAAATTTTTTTTAATTCCAAAATCGTCACAATCCTTTATCGAAGAAAACGTTTTCCTTGGTACAATCCCAACTAGAATTGTCATCTGTCTAATTCCGAGTAAGGGTTTTGTTGGGGACTATGACGTTAATCCTTATGTATTCCCCCATTACAATCTTAATTATATATCATTAAGTGTGAACAATGTTCCCTATCCTATTAAAGGTTTACAACTTGATTTTGACAGTGATATTAAGTTATTACCATATTATTTACTGTATTGTTCTCTTGGAACAGCAGGACAAGATCAAGGTTTGACTTTTGACAGAGAAGAATTTTGTAGTGGTCAGACATTTTTTGGATTTGACATTAATCAGTCTACTGGGTCAGATTCTGCACTACAGTTGGAAAAAAACGGATGTGTAAGAATCGAATTAAAATTTGCTAAGGCACTGCCTGAAGCGGTAAATTGTTTAGTTTATTCTGAACATTTTAAAATCTTGGAAATTGACAGATTTAGACAAATTTCTGTACAATAATGAATTCTTTACAACTTCGATATGCCTTAATCAACTCTATGAACCTTTTCATAGCTGTTTGTGCCAAAGATCAGTTAGATAGTATTAATTCAAAAACGTTTGCAATTATTAGTAATAACCAATCTTCAAACGAGGCAGGGATGCACTGGTTAGCTTTCTACAAAGAAACTGAATCGTCTGTTCTAGAATTTTTTGATAGCTTTGGAATGCCTTTAGGTTTTTATGGAAAAGAATTTGAAGATTTTGCATTAAGAAACGAGAAAAAGGTTAGACAGTCATCATCTCAATTTCAGTCAAATTCCAGCAATCTGTGTGGAGGGTATTGCTTATACTTCTTAATTAATCGAAACCGTGGCTTGTCCTACGATAAAATTTTAAATAAATTCAACTCAGAAAATACTCTTGTGAATGATAAAATAGTATCAAACTTTGTAAAAACAAACCTTTACTTTCCAAAATGTTCTAAATGTGGAATCAAATGTAGCGGAAAATGTGCAAATAGTCTCAGCGATATTTGTATTCAGAAAAATAGACATTGCGTTCGGATATTTCAAACAATTCAATCATGAAAACAGACAAACTTTTGAGAGAAATCTACTTTAATCCAAAACATATTGGAAGTTTTGGTGGACCACATCGGTTATCTGCAGCAACGGGAGTATCCCTGAAGGATGCTGTAACTTTTCTACAGCATTATGAAACATATACAACAAACAAATCTGTGAAGCATAAATTTTTTAGACGTAAAATGACTTCCCACGAAGTTGATTATTGTTGGCAAGCTGATTTAATAGATATATCAAAATATTCAAGATTAAACAAGGGAACAAAATATTTATTAACGGTAATAGATACTCTAAGTAGATTTGCTTTTGTTAAACCTATAAGAAAAAAAGATGGAAAATCAGTAACAGAATCTGTCAAGGAATTAATCCTAAACTCAAATCGGAAACCAAAATTCATACAAACAGACGAAGGAAAAGAATTTTTTAACAAACAATTTAATAATTTATTAAAGGAACAAGACATAAAATTATTTCATAACCATTCGCCACTTAAAGCAGCAATGGTCGAAAGGTTTAATAGAACTCTGATGACGAGATTACAAAAAGTTTTCACATATAGAAAAACAAATGTGTATTATGATATTTTACAAGAAGTAGTAGATTCATATAATGAGAGCAAACACAGAATTATTGAATGTTCGCCTAGGTCTGTCAACAAGTATAATCAGATGGATGTTTGGTTTCGGAGTAATAAAGATGTTCTTATGATGAAGCATCAAAAACCAAAATTAAAATCAGGAGATTTTGTTAGAATTAAAATAAATAAAGCGCTTTTCAGGAAAGGCTATTCCCCTACTTTTACAGACAAGATTTACAAAATTAGCGAAGCTCATAACGGCAAACCTATGACATATTCCATAATGGATAATTCAGGGGAAAAAGTGTTAGGAATTTTCTATCCTCAAGAACTATCTAAAATGTTAAGCTAAGCTATTTACATGCAAAATTATTTGAAAAATGAAAGCGGTCCCCATTTCCGCTGGTGCGGAAAAAGGGACCGAGATTCATCAAGTATATTTCGTACCGGATTTTAATCTGTAATAATGGTAAATATTGTATAGTATCAATTACATCTGGAACCATAAAAACGTTATCAGCGCGCATTTTAATTGCAAATCTGCATAAATATAGATATTTATTTGTATATTTAGTTAAACTTGTGTTCCTTGATCTACCAACATTTTCGAACTACTTATATTTCCTGACAAATTTTGTAATAATATGCGTGATCAATAAAGTAGGACCATAATCTTCTGTTTTCCCGGTTCGGATAGGACACCATTACAACTACTTGCATCCGTGGAAAGCCAGTCGATGTCAGCTTTTCCCTTAACATAAATCATAGACCAACGTCTCGAATACCAATGAAGGCCGTAGGAATGAATCCTGACGCCCAAAATGGTTAAATCCACGTCCAAATCCGGCCCCATTTTCCATCGACAGTCACGACTTGAAGGTCGGTATTGTCCGGCAGCCGGAAATTGTCTCGGTGGCAGATTCTATGAGAAACTATGTTTCCTTTGCAATACAATTCCGGCAATAATTTTCGACAGGGTTTTATTTCGTGCCATTTTTCAGAATTTTTTTTTACTAAATATACCGTAAAAAGGGCGATTAAATAAAATTTCATACTTTTAGCCTGAATCCAATCCAGATAATGCGACACCTCCGTAAAAACCACGGCTCTGTCCGGATAAGCACAGCCAAACTCATAACTCGCAATTCCCACTAGAACACCGTCCTATCCATGGATACGAGGGGACCTCCCGAATCCGCGAGGCACGTATTATTCCCGCCTTTTGTATACTGCGCTCATAACATGGTCTCGCGAATCGTCATCTCGGGATGTAACGATTGACACTTTTCGTCACTAATTGGATCCAGGATGACATATTCTGGGCCATCACCTTGACCTGGTGGGTTGCCCGGTCGTGGGAGACCCCACCCAGAGAGAATTAAGGTACTTTGGGTTTCCCAGTTTTGCTTCCCGGGTAATTCGATGGGTAAAACGAGATCCGTAAGTTTGAACGGGTTGCTAGACTGGATATGAAGAAGGGCAATATCGTTCGCTTCGTCATTACTGATGAGCCACGTGGACCCGTTGTAGGCTTCATGGATGTCGATGCTATCAATTTTTCTGTCCTGTTCTTCGGAATGGTGAAGCGTTTCGAAATACCGGCCATCAATTAGGCTGAGATGCTCGATTTCTTTGCTAACAACGCAGTGAGCTAGAAAGAAACGGATTGATAAATATTAAAGGTTTTTTGGTACTATGTATCATACATATTCAAAAAATATTTATTCATTCATACGAAGCCTTGAAAAAAATATTCATTCCTAAGTCACTCATTTAAATTTTGTAAAAAAATATTCATTAATTATTCAACATATATTCATTATTCACCATTCCTTCATTATTCATTTTATTAAAAATGAATAGGATTAAATGACTTTTTCAACTTTCCCTATGTACTAAGCATTGAGTAAAAAATGAATGATGAAAAAAATATTCATTCATTATTTATTTACACGAATTGAATCGATATTCATTCAATATTCATCTATTCAAAAATCAGAACAAAATATTCGTCCAATATTCATTCATTTTTTGAATATAATATTCAGAATATTGAATGAATAATATATCCATTCAACATTAAATGAATGAATGTGAACATGTATGCTATTGATTTAAAACAAATTACTAATTCGTTTTTGAGGAACGTACTAGGAATGACAAAATGGCAAACATTTAAATTCAAAATTTGATTGAAATATCTAAATGGTTAGTAGCAAAAACTAAATTTATTTGAAAGCATGAAGTATTTATGTATTGTTAAACTCCTAAAATTGATGCATATTTAGAAATCTACCTTTAATTTTTGTAGTCAGTTATTTACCTGCAGTAAGGGCTAAGTTGGGACCAATCAAGGCCGCACTGCAAACCTGGTATCCATGATACTCGAGTGCAAGCTGGTAGGAAAAATGACCAGAGAGAAGCGGGAGCTCCAAGAGGAGCCACCATAAAATTTCTGCTCTCTCATTCCAATTTAGTTTTTTACACACATTTTAAAGTATTTCAAAAGTATTTTATATTTTGATAATTTAAATCTTCTTAACTGTGATTATACTATCTCATATATCATCAGTATCATGAAATTAGTCACAGTGATTGCAATTAATCGACAGCAATTTTTAAGTGAGAAGACAGTACTATACTCAAAGTGATCTATTACATCTGGATTACACTCTTCTCCAAAATCTATCGGCGGAGGTCCTCATCTCATCTATAAAACTATACTTGCGGTTTGCTGCCGCCCAAAGGGCAGCCGACCTTGGTCAGTACCCTTCCGAGATTATGTTCATTACTGACCTAATATAATCATTAATTCATGCAGAATTGTACTTTGGACCTCTCGGCTCTCTTTTCAATTATTTGCTGTGGGCCTATCTCTACAATGCTTTCCCTACAATGCGAACAAATCTACCAGATACCAAATATGGAAACCAATATAATTATTGATGGTGGAGAAATAGTCAACATTAATGGGGATCTGGTCGACCTTTATAGTGATGATGTTGAGGACCTACTGGTTTTCATTGACTGGGGCGAAAATGCGGTGGGACCTGATTGTCATCTCTGTGGACAGGGAATAATTGAGGACACAAACTGCTTTATATATAAGGGAACGTCCTACTCAGTAATAGTTAAAGATTTTATTGTAGGATCCAGCTGGGATACTGGATCTTTACAATGCGTGTATTGTTTTAATTATTTCCACAGAAATAGATGCAACATTACAATTTCGGATCGATCTTATTTTAATATTATCTATTCTAAAAATTGGGCTTGCCCCAACTGTGTACCAATTTTTAAAAGTATGACGAATTCTGCTGTATTTTGCAATTCTATTGATTATGAAAAATTATTACATAAATTGGTGAAAGTATTAAACCCGTTTCGAGATCAACTTTCAGATCTGTATTTTACAATTATTGATTTTAAGTGCAAGTATAAGATATGTATTAGTATGCTGGAAAATCGTGGAATTGGTTAATCAAACTTGTTGACAACGATTGTTTTTGGTTATAATTCGGTTCACTTAATTATTAATGTCCAGCTGTTTGTATAGATTTGTTTTCAGATTCAGTACTTTATTTTATTTGTCATTGAGAGATTTTTTATTTTACTTTATTTAGTGTAGACAGAGTTTTTATTTGTAATGTGTTATAACTTGTAAACCAGTCTAATCGAACTTTCAGAATAAAATTACTTTTCAAATATTTTGTACTCGCATATTTTTTTGGTAAATGGGTAAAATTCATGTGTATGTACTTACTTACATATGTTCCTGGGAGGTTTAAACGGCTAAAAACAGTTTCAATTACAGTTAGATATTTTATTTCCACAATATGTATTTCTATACGACAAAGTCTTATACCCTTAGCATGAACGTTTTAATTTTGCCAAGTATATAAGCAGACATCAAAATTGCAACTGACTCCCCTGACTTCGTAAAGTTTTGAGATGTGCTTTCTATCTACTCGCTTTGCAGTACTTGTGTATTTAATTCCACCCTTGCCATGCTCACCTTATGAAAATGTGGCTAAATATCTAATAATATGAGGACAATACTAGTAAAATATGCAAAGCGTGTTGAATCAACACTGTTGATTTAATTCGTCCCCATTCTTATGACTTTTTGGGCTCGATCCATCTTTAAGCATAACTTTCAACCCTGCTAATACATCTTTTTATTTAAAATTTTACCATGAAGATAAGTCTTAATCATGAGCATTCATAAGAAGAAGTTTTGTCCGTTTTTCAAATATATTTAGGAAAAATCAGGACCAATGAAATCAGCACCCTTTATGTCGTCTAAACATACATAACTTAGGGTCATTCACGTCAGGGAATGTTGCATATATGTATACCTTAAGTTTGAGCAAAAAGGGTGTTACAATGGGTTCGTATGGTGGAATGTATGTATGTAAAAAAAATCAAATTTACTCACAATGGGAGGCATGAATATGCTGTCTTCTTTATTTTGGACCAGCCTAAGTTCATTCACACCTAAATATTAGCCCTAGATGGATTCAAAAGGGATATCCCGTGGTATGCGATGGCTTAAATAATCCACTACATATTTTTAAGGATGCACCGAGTACCCGGCGAGCGTTTTTAATACTATGTAAATGTTTAAATGCGAGTAAATATTTCCTTAATTTTGCTGTCATCATGTAACACATTATCCTGTCCATGAAATTTATTTAATGAAGTTTTCTTGCATTATACATGGGTTCCATGTCATTATCTAGTAGCTTATTTTAAATTGGAATTCATAACTCACGACGATTTTAACGAATTTTTTGTACTGTGCTAAACGCTAATTGAGTTAAATTTAAAATTTAAATATAAATTTTTAAAATATTTAGTTATCAATCCGAGAGGAAGTTTTACTAGGTACTTAATCATGCCGTTACACCGTAAATATGTAAAAATGTATGACTTTTAACGGTGGACAATCACATGCTTAGCAAAATGAACATGTGCGTAGGGGCCGTTCATAAATTATGTAACGCGATATGGTAAGAGGGTGGGTGTCTACTACCTATGTTTGTATGGTAATTATGTCAAACGAGGGAGCGAAGATGTACACATGTAGAAAATCGCACGTTTTGTGTCAAACAATTGATGCACGGCCCCTTGCATTTCACTCAATATCATCCTTCTGCCATGATCTCCAGCCATGAACTCGACATGCTCAAACACGAAAACATGTGTTTTTCACACGTCGACTTTCTCCTGATTTTCTGTTCCCACAGTAAATCGCTACATTTAAATATCTCTCCATTTAAATGGCTTCCCGCCACAGGAAAATTGACCGAAAAGAAATTGACCACGATGGTAACACTAACTTAGAAAATAAAAGTAACAAAACTAGAAAACAAGGTTCGAAAAATAAGGAAAAATCAGAAAAGACATTTAAACCATTTAAACCAATTATAACCGCAGTGGTAGTAATATCCGGAATTGTTTTGTTATTCGTGATTGCCCTTAAGTCTTACAAATACTATGAGGACAACTCCACTCGGACACCTTTGAGTGCTAAAATACGAGAATTTAGTGAAGTGATATCTAGTCTGGTGGAGCTGGCGGAAACGGTAAGACAAAATTAAAATAAGTATGTCAATTATAAATTACGTTCTTAGAAATTTAACATCCCCGGAAATATATGTAAATGCACTTTGGACTCTATATTAATTGCGTTATACAGGATTCAGTGTATGTGACTCTATCGGCATGGTTACAAATTGTCACCGAGTAACTGCAGGGCTTTCCAATTATTCACTTTTCTAATTAATTAGCAATTAGCAGAGGTGGGCAATATACATCAAAATGTATATTGAATATACTTTGCCAATATACTCAAATTTTCGTCTCAATATACTATACTATATACAATATACTACAAAATTTGAGTATACAATATACAAATATACGTATATAATATACAGGATTTTAGCTTCAATATAATATACATGTATATTGAATATACAATTCCAATATCAGCAGGACTTAGATAGATGCCGACTCTCAAATTTTATCCCTCTGTATCAATACCTCCGACCTGACGAGAACAGACCGTCATACCTTAACCAAAACCTTTCACTCCCTATTGTCCAACTATACGCACAACTCAGACTTAACCGTTTCAGCGTTAAACTTGGGCCCCACTACATCAAGCTTGAAACAAGATGTCCACTTTGCACGTCTCACGCCCCCAACAATGTACAACATGTTTGATTGTAGACCCCTCAACACCGAACGCCAAACACTTCTAAAAAACTACATCACCGATGAACCCTGTTGCTCCCAGGAAAAACTAGTCAACATTCTCACCATCACACCTGATGACCCCAATAAGTACTTTTCAACTATATTTCTATTTTGGAATAATGTTGCTAAATACCTCGATCTATGCACTGACTATTTATAGAATTTTCTCTCATTTTGAGTTATAATAATCTCTATATATTTGTAAATAACAAAATGATTGTGATTTGCAAGGGCTAATGGCCATTTATGCAATAAAGACATACATACATATTGAATATACAATTCCAATATACTTTGCAAAAAATGAGATACAAAGCATAATTTAGTGTTTTCAGTTAAAAAATTTCCGTTGAACCTTAACGAATTTTAAGGCGGTGACTGGCAAAAGTCGCCAGCACAAAATTAAATTGAATTTTCACTTATCGTTAGATACTCATGCATATTTGGAAAACTTCGGGTCGGCAAAGTTTCCGGGTTTCTCGTATTGTGGCCGTTGCACAATGTATTCAATAAACAATAATGCAATTGCATTGCATAATGCAAATGCACCGAACTATAATTAAAAACATTAAAAAATGAAAAATTTTGACAAAGATTGGTTAATATGAAAATGTTGACGTAGGGCTTTGTTATAATGGGTGTTCCAGGCATGTTCCTTCCAGATTCTTTTAACATGCAGAATTCAACACATCTACTATTTTTTTAAATTAACTCAAAATAACTTTTAGTTCATAACTCGGACCACTACCCAAAAATCGCTGATTTATAAATTGCCTCAAAATTAAAAGTTCGCCCTTCCCAATAGCAGAATCATTATACGGGTTTGAGGACCTTTAATCCATCGATTCCAGTCTGGAAATGTGAGCGCTTTGTATTTTATACATAGTTAAAAAAATCAGTGGTTTTTGTGTACTGGCCCGAGTGTTGAGCTTAGAATTATTTGTATATTCTAAATATCTTGAACTATATAAATATGTGACAACAATCTAAGGAAGGGCCAAGGAAGCCCGATACACTCAATATTAGAGCACCCGCAAACGGATATAACGATTTTACAACTTTGACGTTTAAAATATACCGCAGCACAATTTTCAAATATGCATTCTTGTCATTCGCCACGCATTTTATACCTAATTGTATATTGTATATTTGCTGGACAGTTTTTTGTCTAATATACAATATACAATATACTTTTTTTCATTATACTTGTATATTCAATATACATGTATATTGCCCACCTCTGGCAATTAGTAATTAGTTCCGAAAATTTTTATCTAATTAATTGTTCAATTAGTAATTACTTCTGAACCAGCAAACTATAATTACTTCTAATTACTAAATAAACCGTAGTAACGTTAGAAGTAGCTCACCCTGCAATATAAATAAGGATGTATATAATTTTGCACCAATGGTGCCGAATAAGTGCACAAAAGAAGTATAAAACTCTATAATTTGGTTCCAATGGTGCATTATAACCGAAATATGTAGGTGTAGAATTTTGAGATTTTTTGCATCAATAGTGTAGAAGAAGGCGCAAAATAAGGTTCATAATGATTTGGACATAACTTTGCACCAAAGGTGCGGAATAAGCCGACAAAAGAGATCATATGAAAAAATATGAAAAGCCCGACATAGTATGCACCACCTGCGCAGCAGACGAAGAGCCCCCTTTAACTTTGATAACTTTATGCCAAAATTGTTGGATTATCTTTTCCGGATATTCCGCACTATTGGTGCGTTTTACATCGCTTTCCCCAATTATTTCGCATCATTTTGTGTTACCAATTGTTAGACACCAATGGTGCTATTAATTTATAATAAAATGGACCTGGTACATTTTAATTAGCATCAATTGATGCAAAAAGGTCGTTAACAGACGGACGGACGGACGGACAAGAGGAATTCAATAGCTCCCGTGCTACGCAGGGTGAGCTAATAATTAAGTTCGCCATACTCTTTTTATGAATTAATTTCACAACATTTCAGCATGGCTAATGCCTCGAATAAGTCGTCTTTCAGCGAATGTAAAATGTTGAATTATTTTTAAATTTAAAACAAATTAGGCACTACCTTAAGATGGCTGTGTAAATTAAAGCTGACCTTAGTTGTACGGTACAACTAAGGCCAAATAAAGCGATTACCGGTACAACTTGTACCGGTAATCGCTTTATTTGGACAATATTTACGAGCAGTCGTTACTTTGTCACTGTCAACTTTTTTTAAAATTATGCCATCCATTCAAATTATCAAACAAGTTTTTGAGGTTCTATGCAAGGGAGTCCACTATATTCAAAGATATATCAAAATATATTGCTATCTCGTTGTTTTAATACAAAGGTTTAAAGTTGCAACTACAAGTGTAAAAAACGCCAAGAAGTTGATAAAACACGTATGGTATATTTGCTGCCGACAAAAAATTTTTTTAAAGACTAAACGAGAAATATGCATTAAAAACTTAATTTTGTTTGGAAAAAACAAATTAATTAGTAATTGGTTTGTTGATCATTTTAATTGATTAGTAATTTTAATTAGGTAGTATTCTACTAATTAACTTTAATTAGTAATTAGTAATTAGACAGACATTGCTATTTAATTAGCTAATTAATTAGATTGACTAATTAATTAATTAGAAAGCCCTGAGTAACTGTCAATTTTCACCGATTCGATATTAAATTGTCACAAGAGTTAATAAATTTCCCAAGCAACATTAAAAAATTCCTTATCAACGTTAAAATATGCCTATTTATCATTGTATATGTGTTATGTTAATAAAAACCTCATTCAAATATGCCTCAGGAACGTTCAAAAAAATACTTACAATGCAAGTCTTTGACGCGTACAACGCAGATCTGGTTGGGGCTAATTTTATTTTGTTCACCACAAAAAATAAGCATACCCCTATTTTTCATTTTTATAATGCGCTAATTTGAGCGCGAGGCGCGAATTTTAAAACATCTTTCAGCCAAAACCTCGGTTTTTAAAAATTCTGTAAATTTTCGAATTTTAGCGCGAATCCAAAAATTCGAAAACATGTCTCTTCAGAATGACTTACATGACTTGTAAAAAATCCACATGCATTATTTTTGAAAAATTATAAATTTGAAAGAGTTTATAATTTTAATGAACAAAAACTGGCAAAAAATTTTAAAATTCAAATTTCGAGACAATTAGATTTTTCATAAGTCATGTAAGTCATTCTGAAGAGACATGTTTTCGAATTTTTGGATTCCAGGTAAAATTCGAAAATTTACAGAATTTTTAAAAACCGAGGTTTTAGCTGAAAAATGTTTTAAAATTCGCGGCTCGCGCTCAAATTAGCGAATTGGGAGAAATGAAAAAACATGGGTATGCTTATTTTTTGTGGTGAACAAAATAAAATTGGTCCCAACCAAATCTGAGTTGCACACGTAAAAGACTTGCATTGTTAGTAACGTGCAAAAAATTACTTAGAAACATCGGAAAAATGACTTACAATGCTATGGTGTGCAATGTAACCCTCCGATTTGGTTGAAATTTTGAAATAACATAGTCCATGTCAATTCGACCAACGTTTATTCATGCATTTTGTGTGCTGGTCAGAATTTGCCAAAATATTCGAGATAAAAGTTGAAAAATAAGCGATTTTTAGCACGGTAAGGGAATGGAAGTTGAGTTTGCTTCCTCCGCCTGGTAAAAATCGGCCGTTTTTCAACTTTGCTCTGAAATATTTCGGCAAATTCTGACCAAACTGCTTGGAGAAACTGTCGTTGTATTGACAGGGACCACGTAGTTTCAGAATTTCAACCAATCGGTGGGGTACACTTACCGAGCCGTGGCGGAGAGTCACATATCGTCGTACCAAATAATTCAGAAAAGACCTAAGTGTACAGAAAAAAAGTAAAAAAGACCTATGTGTAAGTTTGTATCTACTTATGGCTAAATCTTGCCAGAACGATTTTTCATATATATCGCGCGATTTAGCCATAAGTAAATACATACACATAGGTCTTTTTTACTTTTTATCTGTACACTTAGGTCTTTTCTGAATTAAGCATCGACTGCACTTCGGTCGTTTCTGAACTAAATGCCGACTGCACTTAGGTCTTTTCTGAATTAAGCATCGACTACTCTTCGGTCGTTTCTGAACTAAATACCGACTGCATTTATGTAGGTCTTTTCTGAATTAAATAGCGACTGCACTTCGGTCTTTTCTGAATAAAGTATCGACTGCACTTAGGTTTTTTATGAATTGGTACATATATTATATGTAGTCACCGGCCGGTGACAAATTTCTTAGAGTGTGCATTGAACCTGAAGGAAAATGTTTTTTTTTAATCCAGATAAACAGTCAAGCCGAACCTGATCCGATCGACGTTCTCCTCACGAAACGACTTGGTCCAATTCAAGCACGTGTGTCCAGCCTAAGAACGCAGATAAGACAGAATGAAGAACTGTTGGGAAATATTAAGGGTCCAGGAGGCGGACCGACGAATTTTATTGAAACGACGTTACGAGAACTTACCAGTTTTTTGGAGATATCCTTCCCTCAGCTGGATGACGAGGTTAGGCAAAATTCATTGTTCCAGTTCAAAATTTGATAAAAATTAATTACATATATTTGTAACCCATTGGCACTATTTTGCCCTTAATGTGTGCGCATTCATTGGGAAACCGCCATTCTGAGTGTGTTTTGGGGTCATCCATATATTACGTCATCAAAAATTCTCGATTTTAGCACCCACCCACCGAACGTAAACATTAAGGGATAGGGAATATAGGGATAGGGAAAATAACATGGGAAGGATAGGAAGACCTAAACAAGGATAACAAGACCTAAACCACCGTGGGTGGTTTAGTAATAATTCGGATAATAATTCGGTCATGTGCAAGATTCGTTTGTAATGTATACAAATATGATTCAATCAGATAATATTAATAATGAGCTCAAATGGTTAGTGTCTAAAAATGTTGTCAACTTCGAAATATGTAAATTAGCAGTTAAAATGATGAAAAATGAATGTCCGAAGTATTTCAATAATTATATTATCCAGGAAAGTGTATGCACAAGAAATACATGCATTTATTAATTTGCGAACACAATCTGATTTTTCAACAATTTCGCAACAAAGTGCGTCATTGATTCTATTTTAAAAACTTATTAAATTGCAGAATTGTTAGTAAAGCCCTGTTACCATATATTATCCCGACTACCCGTAGGTAGGAGTACGGAAGGCACCATATAAACTACATAAATACTTACTTAAATCCGATAAAACATTAGTCAGTTACCAATTACATATCATATTATTTTTTGTAAACAAGATGCGGTCCAGGGAAATCTTACAATTATGTAGTGAAATGTGCATCACAATAATATTACTATACATCACAATAATACGCCCGTATGTATATTTTGCATTTCAGTAGCTTAATTTTAGTCAGGTTTTCGTCTATTCCAAATAAATATCAGCAAAAAATTGAGTAGTAAGTAATTTAAAATGAGTGAAAAGCTTCTGAATGTAATATTGAAACTTAGTTGATAATTTATCTATCATAATTTCCGCGATCAGGACGAATAGATCTATTACCAAACACATCCCACAAAGATAGAAACCGGTTACAATCTTAAAGTTAGAGTTAAAATCTAAACGTGAAACTGCTTCTTTCTTGGGATGTGTCCAATTCGCATAGTAATCTAGTAGTTTTTCAGGTTTCCATAATTTATGTAAAAATTCCCAGTGTGCCAGAATTCCTGATGATCTCATTACCTTGAGTCGTTGCTCGGCATAGCTGTCCCGTACCGGAAATAAAATCCACGCTGTCATCTCATTAAAGAATGAGTCCCCAGTTCCACTGACGAACACTACATTTTCCGGATTATCATTCAGGAAAGGTGTAATTTTCTTAATATTCTCGTCTGTGTCCAGCAATGCAACTTTTCCACAACTCGACAAAGTTTTCAGTATTTCGTAACTATCTCCCTGATTGTATTCTACAGGTTGGATGGGGAAGTTATGTAATAGACTTTTGTTATAAGGAGGTATTCCGTTTTCATCATAATCAAATTTAAATGTCCGGTCCAAGTTGACAATATTTAAATTCGAATCCATCCCAAAATGAGGGGCAAGTAAGTTAAGCAACCTTGTAGCTGTTATCTTGTAACTCATTTGTCGTTGGTTTTCCACATCTGATTGTGCTATTTCGTGACAGCGCAGTAAAATATTATCGTAGAAATCCCTATAGAGAATATAGTCCAAACCAGGATATGCATTGGCAACATCTTCGCCCATGCGTTGGAAAGGCATTAGAATTTTAATTCCCTCAACATCCATTACGCTCGTCCAAGGTGAATGGTAAGTTGTGGGAACAATCAAGTCCATAGTGAAGGATGTTTTGTACCAATTCGTCATAATAGTTCCAACCAACAGCACCCAGACTGAGACGAGGGTATAAACAAAAATTAAATTATACCGGTTGCGCCCAATTTTAGCCTCATAAATGGTTGGAGATGCCAGCACCGAGTTTTTCAAAGATATGCCAATTACTATGAATACTCCATTTGAGGCGAACATTCTATGCTTTGCGGCTAAAATTAGGACAACTAAGATGAAACAAATCCATAGTAGTGCCCAACTTGCCTGGTCCAATGGACTGGATAGCACGGTTAGAACCTGAGAATTAGATTTTACTTGGTAACATGAAACATAGCTGAACTTACGAACATCATGGATTACATAAGTAAAAGCTCTATAACCCCAACGACCATAAGCTTCAATAGGTAAAATGTTGTGGAGTGGAATTGGATTAACAGAGTCAGTACAGCAAATCTTGTAACACCCAAAAGCCCAGGAATCCATTAACCGAGGTTAAATTTGCTAACTGCCGGTACCAATCGTGCGAGTGACGACTCTTTGGGTAATCAGTTTGATTTAGCAGGTCAATAATGCTATCCTCCTCGAGACCAAGAGGATAAGGTATCTGCCAAAAGTATTTGTTTTGTTTAGATATATTTTTACCTAATAAGAACAGGTTGGTGAAACAGTCGGATGGCAAACATTCTACAGTATACCATTCTTCAGAGTGTTGTGCTAACTGCGTTGATCCCTTAACATGATAAATGTTTTGATAACTCATACGCAAGAATGGAAAAGTTTCCACGAAATTGAACGTATCCACTATAATTACTTCCCTCAGACTGGGATAGTTTGAAACGGGATAATACACAAAGTATTCACGAACCACATCTGGAGTTGATGTTACCAAAATGAAATATTGTGACCATATAAGTGCATCAAGAAAGCGAGGAGATAACATCGATATTAAGTGATGCTTGTTTTTACGGTCAAGCAGGCCTGCATTTTCGGGTAGAATGGTAAACGTTGCCCAGCAATGTGGGGTTAAGTTACGGCGTAGCTGGACAGAAAATTTACGGAATATTATTTTTCCATTCACAGATCGTAGACCTGTTTCATACAAGAATAAGATTATAGGTCCCCAATTGATCTTGCTGATGGGTCGCCAAGAAAACTTTTCTTCTGTGTAAGCCATTGTGGTACAGTGTTCGAATGGGTGTAGGTATTCGCCAAGATTTGCCGAGACTGCCTGGAGTAACGTATCCGTATCTTTCGCTCTTTTCTGAAACTCAGAACCAACAGTGAACATAAATAGGAAAGGAGTAAGAATACATGAAAGACTAAACCTAAGCAGAGAAAACATTTTTCATAGATTTTAAAAATTCAAACTAAAAGATGCACGCTTCCTGTATAAAATTCTTGTGTTAGAATGAAACCGTGATACACTACAATTTTCAGTACAACTTGATAATTTAACTCTTCTCATAACTTTGAAAGTTAAAAAAGTGTCGTACTCGGGTTAGGAGGTTTACTATAAGGAAAATCTTGAAAAAAACTCCCGATAAACACGAATAAATATTTAGGTGGCTTGGGGTGCGATGCGATGATCCCCCTAACATATGTGTAGTCCTTTCTAATACATTTTAATTAAAATATCAGTATATTGGACACATAAATAAATTGTCAGGGGACCGAAGCGATACCTAGAACGTTTGTATAAAGGAAAACATAATAATTCCACATTGGCAAAAACCTGTTTCGTTTTGAATACTTCGTCCACCCCAGAAAATGATTGACTGTCAGCCTGCCGTGGTTTTAACGATTCCTGAGGAAAACCAGGGTAACAAGAAGGTCGTTATAAAACTTGAAGCTTACATAATTATTTGTGGTTAAAAATATTATTGCAGGATGAAGACAATTATGTTGTTTAGATAATGATGAAGTTCATCGGATAAATGCTCACTAAAAAATTTTATATGTACCTAAATATATTCACGTAAGTCTTTCGTTTACATAAGTGATGGGATTGTTTGGCGCAAATAAGTGAGAATTAAGCCAATTTTCTAAATATTTACATAATTTTACCATAAGGAAAGAGTAATGGATATTCTATGTTTCGAAAACTATGATTATTGTCCACGTAATGGTGTCTGCATTATTTTCTAGTTATGTGTTCCTACATAACTATGCCTATGTCTACATATGTATGCATTTCACATATTTCATTTGCATGCTTATGTATGTATGATATATGTGTAAGAGTTTTTTTTATATAATTCCATCCAAACCTTAATAACGGTAAGATAATTTTTGGTTACGACCTTACGAAAGTTACTAATCTAATGTTAAAAAGTAGGATTTTGGTTGGCTAAGAATCTCATGCATACTAGTAACAGATTAGTGAATGGTGACGTGATTAAATAAGTTTATATGTGAATAATGTACGCATAATATGTAACACACTCTGAATAAAGTAAGTAAAATTTACTCAAGGTTGAGCAAAAAACGAGGACGACACAACCGAAAAGTAAAAAAAAATTGTCCAACCTTTGTGCAAAATTTGTATAGCGGGTGGATAGATTTTGCACATCGTTGGATGAATTTTACATGTTGGCTGTGGCATTCTCGTTTTTTCTCAACCTTTAGTAAATTTTCTTGTATGTGCTTAAAGTGCAATATAATGATTTTTGAATTCCATTTAAATAATTTTTTCGTCCAAACGTCCCTCATCCCATTTTTTTAATTGAAGGTTTGCAATCACTTGTCACGACATCAGTGCTTTTACACTCCCCTCCAGCATATGTAAAGTCTCCGATTGGCTGTTCTATTTTTGGCTACACACTAAAAAATATTACGTTGGGTTCTATACTATTCAACGCGTAGAGATCTGTTTCCAACATATTTACAATGTAATTTTTTGTATTAAAGGGAATTACCTAAAGTTATTTCGAGTAAATTTCGCATTTCGCACTGTATATTTAGTGTTTTTTAAATATCTGTTCCTGCATGTGCGGACCCGGAACAAAGCTAACGCCAAAATGTTTTTTTTCAAAATTCATCACGTCAAAATCGAAGAAAATTAATAAGAAGCGATAAAATTGAAAGTCTGGTTTGACACTGAAAATCTTGATATTAATGTTCAATTTTCATAATTAGATCAAGTATTCATTTTATGAGGACCAAATTAAAATCGGGTAAATTTTTTTCGTCTGAGGCGGCGTTTACTTAAAATACTCTTTGGAGGCGGCGTCGACCGCTGATTCAGATTTAGTTACTTCTATTTGAACAAACTTACCTTAATTTATACAAAAATGAAAGGATTTCGTGCTTAATGTGGACAAGTGTATATGATAGTCACAAAATATAGACAAAACAAATCTGGACAATGCTACTAGAAGAGCACGTACCTTTTGTCCATATTTTGCCAGACCACAACCACGTTGTCCTTACTGTACACGGAACCCAGAATAAAAACGTTACAAGGTTGCAATTTTCGTGCAAAGTTACACACTGATATTTATTTAAGTACATAGATACATCCGCATATTTTTAAAATTTCGGGTTTTTTAATTCACACGTATTTTAGAATTACATATCGTCGCAAATTTTGTAATAATGTGAGTGATCTTCAAAGTATGACCATAATCTTCTCGGCTTATCGAGTCCATTTTGAACACCGTTACAACTACTTTGGTCTGTCATGTGCCAGTCGATGTCACCTTTTCCTTTAATATATAAACTAGACCAGCGTCTAGAAAACCAAAGAATGCCGTAGGAATGAATCTTAGCTCCCAAAACGGTCAAATCTGTGTCCAAATCCAGCCCCGTTCCCCACCTGCAATCACGACTTGGCGGCCGGTAAATTGTCCGGCAGCCGGAGATCGTCTCGGTGGCGGATTCTAAACAAAATATTTTGATACAGAATTAAACTTATGAGAAACGAAATGGGTAACCAATTGTATATGTTTAAATTTTCCGTCACACCGTTCGTAATTCTAGCCAATGTGCAGGGTGGTTTAAATGTCACGCTACAATGGAAAATTTTTCAATGGGAAAAACCCATAAATCTCCATTAGTACAAGATTTTGGATGTATATTTTTAATAATTTATTATCGAACTTGATGGGACACTGATGACGAAATTCTGAATTTTAGAGACAAAATTTCGGTAACTAATGGAAATTTATGAATCTTTCTCATCGACAAATTTTCCATTGTAGCGTGACATTTTAACCACCCTGTATAATTTCCGCTAATTTTTCATAATTACATATCTGCACTATGGAGAATGCAAAAAACAGAATTAATGCAGAAATAAGGGCTACTAAATGGGCCACCCTTTATAGTACACTAAATTGTAGGAATTTTCTAATACATAGATACAATATTATATGTGGTTATAATTTTGCAACAATCAAGTACGTTCTTGCAATAATTGTGAAACAATTTTGGCGCTTTTTTCAAGAAATTTGCATTTCACGTAAATTTAAAGACAAATTACTTATTTTCCTCACTTTTAGCCAGAATCCAGTCCACATAGTGCGCCACCTCTGTAAAAACTACTGCTCTTTCCGGATAACCACAACCAAACTCATAACTCGCAATTCCTACTAGATTCCCGTCCTTCATGGATACGAGGGGACCTCCCGAATCCGCGAGGCAAGTATTATTCCCGTTCGGGGTATACTGCGCGCATAACATGGTCTCGCGAATCGTCATTTCTGGATGGAGCAATTGACACTTTTCGTCACTAATCGGTTCCAGAACAACGTATTGGAGGTCATTCGAAGGCAGCCCGCCGGACTGGGGCACGCCCCACCCCGAGAGCATTGAGCGACTCGGTTTTTTAGTTTCCGCGTTGGTTTTCTGGGGTAATGCGATGGGTAAAATGTGATCCGTAAATTCGAACGGGTTTTCCCGCTCGACATGAAGCAAGGCAATATCGTTCACTTCGTCATTACTGGTTAGCCAGGTGGACCCGTTGTATGCTTCGTGGATGTCAATGCTATCAATTTTTCTGACCTGTTCCTTAAGATCGTGGAGGTTTTGGTAGCGCCGGCCGGCAACTAGGGTGAGATATTCGACATCTTTACCGGCAACGCAGTGAGCTAGCAAACATTAAGATAAATGGTGGGTAAAATTTCGATCTTTTATTATATTTTGTTAAAAATTTGTTAATTTATGACCTTGATTAAAGTAGGACTGAATTACTCATCGGCCAAATTGACACATTTTTTATTCATTTCTCAACTCCAGGAATTTATTTTAAAATTCTGAACAGCAAATTTGTACAGCATGGATTTTACAATGAGATGTTAAGTTTGAGAACCCTACAGAAAAATTAGAACTGATCGAATCTGGCTTAAAAAGCTCAAGGATATTTTCTAAATCAAATTACTAAGTACAAATTTGTCATAAATAGAATTAGAGTTATCGGACGACATGGTTGTTTTAGTTCAGATATATTTATTCCTAGCTTTCGATGCACACTAGTATCATCTTATCATAAATAATTTTAAAATAAATTCCCAGGCTGGAGAAACGATTAAAAATATTGATTTAGATTTTGAAGACTTTGATGATACGTTGACATTGGGCATTAAGTTTACGTAGTATTTCAATTTCATAGACTTCAAATCTCACTAGTTCAACATCTTTCAATTACATAAAATGTCTAAGTTGCCATAAATAAATACTGTTTATGGTTATACTTCGGAATTATTAATTAATCGCTTGTGTTACTTAATTACCTGCTGTTAGTGCCACGTTGGGACCAATCAAGGCCGCACTGCACACCTGGTAGTCATGGTATTCGACAGCCAACTGGTGGGAAAACTGACCAGGAGCAGTCTTGTAGCCGCTCAATATTACCGAATTTCCGTAAGTTCCCCAATCCTCGTGACCTTTTTTGCCTGAAGGAAACTCATGCTGGATTAATATCAAAATTCGCGATATACATATTTATAAGTATATTTGCACCCTATGTAATTTGTAGACAAATGTTTCCCATGGGAGGTACTATAGTGCCCTATTTTTGGGTAATGATTTCGGAGACGTTTTGTCTCCAGTCACGAACGGATAAGTCAAAAATTCGTGTAACAAAAACATATGACGACGTTTTTAAAAAAAGTAAAGTTTTTAACTGAACTTGTGTAAAAAAAATTTTTACAGCATAGTTTTAAAATTTTTTAAGAGCGACGCCACGTGTGTGTGGTACACAAGTTTTTGACTTTTTTCGCCTTGGTGACAAAACGCATCCTTAATAATTCGCAAGAAATTGAGCACTACAAATACTCCGCGGGTGATGATTTGTCTCCAAATTATTTAGAGTGTACTTACCCTTGGTTCCTGTGAAAGACAGGAGAAGGAGCAAAACGAAAGTTTGGATTGTATTCATTATTTTAAAATTTGGGAAATATTTCATAGGAATATTTTTTACAAAACTTTAATCAAGCTATTTCCAACTATGTATGTATGTACCAGAAGTAAAGTTGGACTGAAAATTAGCACCTCCACGGTTTGAAATCCCATCAAAACTGTTTATTTAGTATGCTTATTCTGGATAAATACACAAACACATGTATGTATATACATCTGTATAATTTGCATGACAATGACATCCCATTTGGTGCAAGGTGTTTATTCATGACGCTTAAGGTTGTCAACAGCAACGAATATTTATTTAGCATTCATTTTGCATCATGTAATGAACTTATAGTTATAATTCACACAGGATTTAAATCTGATCTCGTACTATTTTCCGGCTTTACTGATGCAAATATTTACTTACATATTTTGCCCATGGATTTGTTATTCGTAATATCAACAACAAATGACGAATTTTTATCAAATCGTACCAAAAAAGTGGTAAAATTTATATGCCTAAAAATCTGTTGAGGTGTGTTTTATGTAACTTTTAATACTGAACAAATTTGAATTTGTCCTGGTCCTGTCCAAATTTGATCGTATAGCAAAGAACCAGATGTAATATGGGACGAGGTTTTTTTAAGATTTGACCTGCACTTCTATTTGTGGGACCAAATCTAACCCGGCCGATTTCTTAAATTGTTTAATCCCAAACACGAATGGGTAAACCCGACTGAATCGGGCGTCGAATTTTCAAAAAAAATTCCTATTATCCTATTTTCGATCGCATCTCGGCCAGGAAAATCTGGAGCTGTCCATAAGTTACGCAACGTAAGAGAAGGAGAGGGTGGCTTTAAGGCTCCAATGATATCCCGCCTATGCTACAAATGTTAACGGAGGTCTAAATAGAAAATCGGGATTTTTGCATTACGTAATGTATGGACAGCTCCTCTTCGCATTGTCAGGTAGAGGTACATATGCATTCTGCTAACGCATTAGAGGTGAGCTGGATATCCATTTTTTGGATAATGCATGGCCTGATCAAATCCAACTGGATTTTGATGGATCGGATCTGAAATTTTTGGGTGAATTGGATTTGGACGGATTGAATCTCAAAAAATGAAGATCCAGGTCACCTCTATAATGCATAAATTAATTCATATTCCGCTGCATACAAATATAGACGATATGCCGTTGCATAACTTCTTCCAGTAGCTGCATGTGTATGTACCAAGGTTAAACCATGTGTTCATTTTAATCATGCATTCGTTGAAATTTATATAATTATCAGGGGTGGGCAAGATACTTGGTCAAGATACAAGATAAAAGATACAAGATACAAGATAGTATCTTTATCTTGTATCTTGGTCGCCTGATCAGAGAAGTATCTTGTATCTTGCATCTTGTATCTTTTAGAAAGTCGAATAGTATCTTGTGTAAGTATCTTATCTAGATATGCCTGGCAAAAAAGTATCTTAAGATAGTTTTGTTAAGATACAAGATACTTTTTCTCAAAATTCCGTCAAATTCTTAAGTCAAAGTCAATTTCGTACTACTGGCAGTCAATTTGACCATGAATTTGTCGTAACCAGAATTTGGCGAATTTTTAGTTTATGTTTTGCCAATTTGTAAAAAACTGTCAACTAAACTATGCAAGCAAGTTTCTTTATTAAATCTTAGTATAAAGTGTATCGCAGAGTATGTGTGAAAAAAATATGTATCACAAAAAGTATCCAAAAATCTGACTACGCAGCAGTCGCACAAATAAGTCCCTAAACTTAAAAAAAACGCAGAAAATCGTAGAAAAAGTCCGTAAGAATTAGAGAGAGAGAAAGCGGACTACAAATAGTACACTTCCTCCAGTTCCTTTCCTGGAGGAAGTGTACCCAGAATCGAAGCAACGTTCCCACGTTGAGCAGCGAGGGAAACCCGCTGGCGCAAAAAGTTGACGGCGTTGGCTTGTCCAGTTGTGGCGGCGATCCGCTGACCAACTTGGAGGATGAAGGCAAGTCCTTCCTGCCCCCATACTCCTGTGGTCTCCATGGCAACGGGAACAAAGATGTATCGGTCCATGAGGAACGCGTACCTCTTCCTCTTGCGGTCCTCTGCCTTGCTGGCGGCAGCGCCCTGATGGCGCACGGTGTCTGGGAGGTAGCTGGGGGCGAATGTGTCCGCGCAGGTGAAGTCCCAGACAAGGGACCTCCCCCGCGACCAAGGGACAAGTGTCATCCCGTCGGGACGCTTGCCGTCCGTGGTGGAGCACCCCGCGGGCTCCCTGATGCAGGGTACTTCGGCAGACCGGAGGGCTCTTGCAATGACGTCGTTGGCGGCCTCATGGCGGGACCAACGACCCTTACTTCGGCGGCAGGAGAGGCCGTGGTAGCCGCGGGAAGTGACCTGCGCCCCGCATGGGCACTTGTGCGGCTCGCAGATGTCGCAGCCTAGGCGGAGGGCGATCGCGACCCGGAAGGTCTCGTTGGGGAGAAGGGTCCCCAGTTGTGGAGAGGGGAGGGCGTTGAGCCATACCCCCGCATATTTGTCGCGGAGGGAGCGTAGGCGGGCAGTATCCTCCGGGATCACTGCCAAATCCGAGAGTTTGGACAGTGTGTCGTCCAGTATGGGGCGTTCCCAAGCCGACTGAATCCCTCTGACGGTTTCAGGTGGGAGGTCCGTAAGGCCGAGGTCGGTCCACCGCTGCACTCCCTCTGCCATGGCGATGTCGGTGCCATGGAGGTGGTCCGGAAGGAGACGTAAAAAACTTCTACATACATATGTACATATATTCATATATATATACATATATATACATGTATATATGTATACATATATGTTCATGTGTACTCGTACATTTGTACACATACATGCACATTACATGATATGTACCTACGCTGAACTAGTGTATATATCTTATAGGGTTTAGATAAGCAGGGAATATTGTAAAAATAATACCAACTTCTTAAAAATATGTATGTTAGGTAGAGTTCTAGTTTTTCGAAATTTTTCGAAGTATACGCACTGGCTACAAAATTTGTAAGATGATTGTAGAACGATTTTAAATTTTGTACTCACTAGATTTTTTCGTGCAAATTATTAAACATGACCAATTGGGCATGAATACCAAGCTAAAAAAAGAAAGTATCTTATCTAGTATAAAAGTATCTTAAGAGACATATCTTGTATCTTGTATCTTGACTACTCAATCTTTAGGAAAGTATCTTGTATCTTGTATCTTGTGTACTTGAACAAGATGTATCTTTTATCTTGTATCTTATATCTTATCCTAGAAAGTATCTTATCTTGTATCTTGTATCTTACGACCAAAGTATCTTGCCCATCCCTGATAATTATTTACTTAATAATTGGCAACTTGACCGGTAATAAGTAAGTACTAAAGTGATAATAGGATGAACTGGATTTTACCATTTTCGCCGCTTTGAAGAAGCAAATGACTGCTTTAATATAGATCTGTATCTGTTAATAACCACTTTATTAGCAAGTCGGCTAAAATTATGTCTGCAATTATCCATACTACAAGTATTTTGAGGAATGACAATTGATTTGTATGACCACTTTTGACTCGTATCGTCTGTTAAGAAACTGCTGTTAATTTGATGACTACGTACACAAATATATTCTGTACACCGTTTATAAAGTAATATTTTTAAATTACCATTAATATCACTAATCAGTTACATATGTATTTTATAAAGTGTTAAACCTGTTGCATAATGAAGTACACTCTAACTAATTTGGTACCACAGTGCCCTATTTTTAGGCAAGCATTACGGAGGCGTTTCGTCACCAAGAAAAAAAATCCTTGGTTAAAACTCATCCACGATACAGCTTTCACATAAAACACAATGTACATTTTTATTACCTCAACAATATTTTTTTTGTAGAAAGTATTAATTTTTTGGTAACGACGACATATGCTTTTAGCACTTTATTTGTTATCTTGTATACCTGCGTAGGTACTTGTTTCTCCTTGGTGAGACTACGTCTACTTAATCACTTCTCCAAATTAGAGGACTGTAGTACCCCCGAGGGTGACAATTTGTCTATTAATTATTTAGAGTGTAGCACAAAGCAGATTGACACATTTTTATTAAATCGTATCAGGTAATAACCAGCATTTTGACGATGCATGTGAAATATAGTAAAGTTACATAATGAAAACTAGAAATACGACTCTTTTGTCAAATTAATTAACACGTTAAAAACGATAGTAATAACATCAATCGTTTGTACATAAATATGCACTGTTGGCCAGACTACTTAATAAAACATCATTTTTGTGTAATTGTTTCTTTATGTAAATCTTCTATTTTGCCTTATTGAAATATAAACATATCCAGTTTTTCCTAGATTCACGACTTACACAACTTATTGCACACCTCGGTCACAGGGTAAAAATAAACAGCAATTTGCACTACACCACGTTTTACGTTCAACTCAACACTGACGTCAAGTTGAAAACATACAAAAACGCTGCGTTTTTTAATCATTAAGATTTATTTAGTCGAACAGAGACTACTCAATTCTTGACTACTTACGTATTTATCCACATCATGAGGAAAGTAAAGATAGCAACATTGCCAGAAAATGGTCAACAAGAAAACTTGTCGGACGGAAGCATGGAGAAAGTTACGGTGGTCATCGACACAAAAAGAGACGAGAAAAATAAAACTACAAGCGGAGAGGAAATTAATAGAAATAATACGATTTATTACGACCGAGTTGTAAAACAGGATGGATCATTCAACTTTAGAAATTCACATGTGCAACATAGACACAAGAAATTTATGGTCGATATTTTCACAACTTTGTGAGTAATTAATTTACATAATCGTATCAAATATTATTTGTAACATGTATTTTTACTTTTTTTCTTATGTTTACTTTGATTTGCACAGATTAGAAGAAATCAGGTGGAGATGGACAGTACTCGGATTCTTTGTGGTGTACCTGATGTCATTTGTTTGTACGTATTTATTTATGTACCTGCCTAAATAACTATTCACACGTTGTGAATCACAACGTATGTATGAGCAGATCTGTATAAACAAATGCATTTACATAGTCTGAATTCACATTCACAAAACTGAAATTTTCGCTTAGAAAAGTAGGTAAATGGGCTCGAGTCACGTATGTAGGATTTGCTGACTCACAATTAAAATCGTGTAAATCTCCTCATTCAAAAACTGCCAAAGTATTGAGTGTAGATACATTTGTCTAAAATTTGCATCTTATCGTCCAGAAATGAGAAGTAAATTCCTAGGAAGTACAAAAAATTTAGATTTTTAGTTCTACTCTTTCCCAATTCAATACTGTACAAATTCAAAATTTCCAACAAGGCACAAATTTATGTAGCATATTTTCACGTTATCAGTGTGCGAAACTTATTTCAAAATTTTATCACTTTCTCAGGTTTCGGGACGTGTTGGTATCTAATTTTGTACATGCATGACGACCCACGCCATTTCGGCGACCCCAACTGGACCCCTTGCATCACCGGGATGCAGAACTTAACTTCCGCCGTCTTATTCAGTATTGAAACCCAGCAAACGATTGGGTACGGTTATTACCACGTGACGGAGGAATGTCCCCTGGCGGGAGTCTTGCTCTTCGTGCAAACCGTGTGGGGCGTCATCCTCGAGGGAACCGTGGTGGGGCTCGTCTTCATAAAAATGTCACGTGCCAAACAGCGCAGTGAGACTATTATGTTCAGCAAGAATGCCGTCTTGACGATGCGGGATGGTGTAATGAACTTCATGTTCAGGATTGGAGGTAAGCGGCAATTTCCAAAATTTATCACACTCTTAAAAATTATGTTATCTTTTGGAAAATTGAATCGACTTAGATCGATGTTAAGTGAACTATGCTAAATCTAGGGTGACTTGATAACGAGTAAAGTTTAATCTACACTTAAGCCAAGTAGTCAGGACGGATATTTCACACTAATCGGCTGGTTCTTAGCTCTGTGCTAAATCACAACTTTGCAGGAATTTCAGTACAAATTGAACAACAAAATGCGAGCGTTTCTTCGAATCAATTAAAAATTTTAAGCATCTTTTTTCCGCTTTGCTCAAATTTTTCACGTGAAACTCTGACCTGAGTACTATGCTTTCGTATTCATTTACTTTCCAAAATTATTTTTAAGGGTGCAGCATCACCATTAATTTAAAGTGTTTAATTTAATTTTAATTTGTGTTTAAACAGATATGCGAAGCACGCACCTTTGCGAAGCGCACGTTAGAGCGCAACTAATCCGCAAGCGGAGAACACCAGAGGGCGAAATTATAAATTACGCACCTCAAGAACTTGCCGTAAGTATTTCTGGATCCTTTTTAATCTTAAACTTGAATTTATACTTGTAGTCATTTTTTAGGTTGGAGGTGATGGAGAACTTGGAAGCACAATTTTACTCTTTTGGCCGACCATGATTGTTCATCCGGTTACTTGTGACAGTCCATTATTCGACATTGTCCAAGATTTCCACGAGTATGACGAAGAATCTTTTGAAATAATTGTGATCCTGGAGGGAATTGTTCCGTCCACGGGAAATTGTACGCAGGCCAGATCATCTTATCTACCTTCCGAGGTATGTATGCACTCTAAATAATCCTGGCCATACATTTACACTCTTAAAAATAATATGCATTATCCCTTTGAGCATTAAATCCAGTCTGAATTCTAAATTACGTCAACTGTGTATTTATATTAAAACCTGAGTAACCTTGACCCTTTGGCAAGTAGATTTAGTTTAGTCCCCATAATACAGTTGAAATTCAGGTTACACTCATTTTCAAAAAGCTAGCATTATTTTTAAGAGCGGAAATATATGTTTGCTATTTTGTAAGGGTTACATTTCTTCTACACACACTAAAAATTTTCTTTCAATTTTCTTCTAGATTTTATGGAAACAACAGTTTGAAGCGATATCATGTACAAAATCACGTTCCGGCGAACGAGTCATTGATTACGCAAATTTCCATAAAACAATTCCCAGCACTATTTTGAACAAACGGATGTCCATCTTTCAACATTCTGACGATGTTAAGGAACCCCTGCGCAAGAGGGGTTCAATTTTCCAGCAATTACGTGGAATAACCCCGGCGTAGATTTGTAATCTCGCTTTTCACTTAATCAACGTCTTTAAATGCAAATGCAGAACATTTGTTATCAAACTCGAAGTGCTAGATGGCATTCATATCTATAGCCTCGTCAGAAATATGATTCTACGACGTAACAATATGATTGCCTGCATACATATATATTATCTTATCATGCTGGATTATACATATGTATGCCTGAGCGATTGTTAATGAAGTACGCTTTCAAAAAACAAACGAAAGCAGTATGTATAAAGTGCTCATTTCGCTCTACAATTTACTCATACATATCAATTGTGTAAAAGATTTAAAAGTTATTAATAAATAATTTAGTACAATGCCATTTCGGCCAGGAGAAGTAGTTATTGACTAATTAATTGATTTATTGATTGATTGCTTGCTTGTCCCAAGAATGGGCGTAAAGCCTGAGAAAATAATTTAACAAATTGTTACTTAATTTATGAAAAACGCGAATCTTCCTGGAACTTACGCCTAGATATTCTGTTCGTTTGATTCCGCACTATTTCCTCTTACCGGGGCAAGATCAAGGTACCAAACATCCCTTGGAAATATCGTTTCACCCGTGTATCTATTCATAACCTTTCCCCCGAAGAAATAAATCCTCCCCAACTTCTCCACATAGATGGGAACAGGAGCCACGTCGTAATAATAGTCTTCATCCTGCAATTGGAAATTATCCACAGGGACAAGCCTCCATTCATATGAGTTTGGATCCAGCTGCAAAATACCCCTCGACGGTGGCCCTCTGTTTCCCCCCAGTATGTAAATATTCTCCCCGTTATAGACCACCTCTGGTGCATGATTAAATGGGAAAAATCCAACATCAAACACTGGTCCCTCCAATGTTTCTAAGTCCAAGACTTGAAAAGCAGAGTTGTGTGGAGCCGCGATGCCGAAGAGGTAAGCCTTTCCTCCAACTCGGACAGATGTAGCTGAGCGAAGTCCCGGGACGAGGGACCCCTTTTCTGTAGCTATCAGTGTCGACATGTTGAAAGAGGAGACCCGGTGGTAGTGACTTTGTCCCTCGAAGATTAGAATTTCCTCAGAACCCTCTGCCTTCCTCAGGGTTGTGGTAATACTATATCGCGGGACCAAAGGGATCTGTCCAACGTAGGCCGTGACATTTATGAGTGGGTTGCATTTGTAAATAATGTTGCTAGTCGAACCACCCCACCCGAAGAGGTAGATTGAGGAAGAAGAATCTCCTTGGACTGAGATGTCGCTCAAGTACCCAGGCATGTGACCCACAAGGGTATTGGTGCCAGTGGCGATGTCGAAACGGAGGATTTCACCTTTCTCTCCTGTGGCAGTGTTGAAACCACCGAAGGTAAAAATGGAGTCAGACGATCAGAGCCGTACCGTGAAATCTTCAGGCCTGGTATGAGCTTTAGTGCCGGGCCCTTTCATAAGTTCAATATATCCAATACTACGTAATAGTTCTCGCTCAAGAATACTAATAGTATTTTAAAACGAAATAATATTCTACGCATTAAGAGCATATTTACGATTTCCCCAGTTCCACCTTAAAATAGTGACAATTTACTAGCACTTTTAACTCAGAAATATTTTTGACGACATCGGCGGGACGGAGAAAATTCAATTACCTATAAACACCTAAGTCAAAGTTTACATAAATATTCGAATACGGCGAACTTTTCGCTTACTTCCCAAAGCCTCCCAAAACCTTTTCGATTAATTATTTTTCTGTCCGTCTTAAAAGCTTGAAAAATTGACAGAAAAATTTGGAATTTGTGAAAATGCAGGTCCGAAAATTCAATTCCATTTAAATCTTAAAACACGCATTTTATATTGAATTTTGGTACAAATTCAGAAACATACAATATTTTGAAAACCCAATGCCGTGGCTGAAAACCGCTTTTAAGATTGAACCAAGCGGTAAGAATAGAAATATACAATTATACACATTTGTGCCTGAAGCCGTCAAACTACAGTCTGACTAACAATCCCATGACACCAGCGGTTTCGCTCCGATTTTGACGAAATAACCATAATTATGCAACCGTAGACAAATAATTGAACACGTGTTTCAAGATTTTTCATAATGCATAGCTTAAATGAAATTATGACGGAATCCGTGAGCGCGAATTTCCATTCTTACCGTGAAATGTTTCTCGCGAGGGAGAAAAATACAGATTCTCGCCTACGAATTCCATCAGAATTTAGTTTAAAGTTAAAAGGCGTGGGCATGAATAGTTTTCCTCAAATTTTGACCGACAAATTTTAAATTGCTCACACCAGGAAATAAGCGGACTTTTATTTTTGCACATATTTTGCTGCATAGCCCGTTTCCGTCTGCGAGGAAATTTTAGAATACATTTTCAGCCAAATTTTGATTTTTCAAAGTGATAAATTTTAATCTTATTTAAAAAATGAAAGAACATTTTTGCACGGAATTACATTGAGTTTAAGAGACTTCCACATTTCAAAAACCTAATTTTTCGAATTTTCTGACCTGTACATTTTTTCAAAATTCTGAAATAGTATAAAATTTCGAACGTTAAAGTTTTTGGAAAACCAGTTTTTATAATTTATGGAAGTAATTTTTGAGCAAAGATGTTCTTTCATTTTTGAAATAGCGTTAAAATTAGAAAATCAACAGCTTTTTGAAAAATCTTGATTTGGAAAGTTCAGGAAAACAAAAATTACGGGTCGGGTTATTTCGGTGTGTGAAAAATTGGTCGGGTCAAAATTTGAGGAAGCCACTTCATGCCCACGTATTTTAAGCTTAAAGGAAGTTATGATGGAATTCCTATGCGAGAATCTGCATTTTTCTCCCTCGTTATAAAAACTTCACCGTAAAAATGGCAATTCTCGCTCACGGATTCTGTCATAATTTCATTTCAGCTGAGCATTATGAAAAATCCTGAAACACGTCCCGAATTATTTCTCTAAGGTCACATAATTATCGTGGTTTCGTTAAAATCCGAGCGGGACATTTGGCGTCAGTTAAGGGTCCTCAGTGTGTATCTAAATAAGTTTGTTCCTGGGTTAAGGTAAATTTGCCCCGTAGCAAGGCATATTTGAAGTTGTCAAAAAGCACCTTTGCTTCTTTCACGTTGAATTTTTGTATATTTTCGGTCCAAAGAAATTAAGAATGTACCAACTCTTTACATACACAAAATTTCCCATAATCCCACAAAATAAGTATAATAGAAATATGCCAGCTGTTGAGAAACTTTGATGTCAGGCAGTGCCTAAACTGCCCATATCCAAGGGTGGGCAAACTTTCCAGGCGCCCCTAGCCGCTCGCGAATTTTCGTCCGTCCAAACTACAGTCACTTAATATTATAATAGAACATATATGTAGCTACATATATAATTGCCCATACATAGGTCGACGGCTATGTAACTATCGGCGGCGGCTTGAACCAACTTGTGTGCCTGTCCGTGTCTCTGACTAAAGACGTAGAATAGTAACAAGGGAACCGTAGGTACGTCAAACCTCGATTTTCTTCCGAACAGCCTTAATCGACAGATAATTTAGTGAAACTTAAACTTTGTTATAGAATACGAGGTGCAAAATCACGCTTCGCGAAATATTTGGCAAGAGCTAAACTAAAACGTGCATTTTCCAAATGATTTTAACTTAGCCAGCAGACTAAAAGTGGATGAGGAAATGAAGTTTATACGTTGTGTATATCTATAGTCTATAAACTTCATTTCATCATTCATTAGTCTGCTGGCTATGTTAAAAGAATTGGAAAAATGCCCGTTTTGGTTTTGCTATTGCCAAATATTTCGCGAAAACGTGATTCTGCACCGCATGTTCTCAGACGAAGTTTAAGTTTCACTAAATTACGTATCTTTCGATTAAGGCTATTTGGGAGGAAATCCAGGTGTTACAGTACTTAAGGTTCCCTTGTAAGCTCACGTAGATCAGCGACTAGGAAAAGCATCAAACATGGAAAGCCTTTTTGAAGTGAAAATTATAACATCTCCGATTGTGAGTGGTTTGCACTACTTTTAATATATTCTATTTTTTCTTGCATAAGTCCGTGACAAAACATTAGATAAAATTTCGCTTTCATCCTTGTTGTAAAGCTGCAAAATTTTGTGGCACTAACTCTCTAATTAAAAAAGACTTCAACCAGAAAGTTTTAAAGATTGAAAATAATTCCAAAGTTTCAAGTTTCGAGTATAATTATTTAGGCGAAAAGTCGTGATCAAAAAAGTATTTATCAATTTCTTCAAAGGCATAGGTGCAATTAAGGTAACACCAAAATTCTTCTTTTCAAAAATAAAAATGTAAAATCCATCCGGTCAAAATCGGAGAAACTTTATTCATGTCTACATATTTTGATCGTGTCATACATTACATACGTAAGTAAGAGATTGTCAAATACAAGGTCTATTCTGTACTTTTGTACTGAAAATATTTTTAAAGTTTGAATTTTATAATTTCAATTAGACCAAAATCAGCCCGACTTAAAATCAGCGCCAAATTTTACTCGGGGGCGACGTTACGAGAATTTTAAGCAGCAGGGTCGGCGCCTAAAATAGTACCGGTGGTGTGTATGTAGTCGACGGGGTCGACCTGCACAAGTTGGCAAACCAATTGCGCAATTTACAAATACTCACAATATTTATATTTATTTAAGTTCGATTATAACTGCGACGTGGGTTCGCTTGCTAAATTTCGAAATTTTGAATAGGTCCTAGTCCTTAAATTGACCAAAAAAAATTCGGCACTCTGAAAGCTATTTGCTAGGCTTCAATTGCGTATAAAAAATATTATACCTGGTCTAAGACGCAACAATTACCAGTTCAAAGGCCACAGTGTATAAAATCTAGAATTAGATTGAAATGGCTATAGGGTTATTAGCGACCATATGGCACTCCTTGTATTGAACTTCTCAACAATGCAGATATAATACCTGGTAACTTCTAAGGAGCTTTTTCGTTCTGGACCGACTTGTAATTTAGAATTAATTTTAACAAATTCTGCGTGGATCCACTTACTTTCCTGTCAAAATTTGTGTTTGTATAATCTGAAATAACTCATTATATCCAGTGCCCTGACCACTTGGCGCCCAGGGCAATTGCCCTGCTTGCCCACCCCAGTTTAGGGCCTGGTGTCAGGTAATTTACATTTTCCGGAATTGTAACTCAAAATCAGTATGCATGAAGTGATCCTCTCAAACTTTTACCCTACGAATTTTAAATTGCTTATTTCCCATTTATGTAGCTGAATTTTTAAATGAGTTTCAGCTAAAATCAGGATTTTGTATTTACTTAATTTGAATTCTAAAGTCAAACTATTAAAATTAAAAATTATACATTACTAGCCTATAAGCCCGTCTTAAAGTCGGTCCACATTAAGTTTTAAATCAAGACAACAAAATCTTTCGATCAAAGCACCACATCCATGCGGCGATGAACTAATTATAACCGAATTATAATTTGAGAGTAACACAACATCTAAATATATTAAAACATCGAAAAGCCTGTTCCCTTAAACTTTCCAGTACATTTCTTCATTCAGATTGGTTGCCAGCTAGGACTTTTTTCAACGTTGCCAAGAAATTTTTTAGCGTTGGTAAGGAATTTTTTTAACGTTTCTATTTTTTAACGTTGCTAAGGAAATTTTATTTATGTAGCTAAGAGATCTTTTTGAGGTTGCTGAGAATTTTTTTTATGTTAAAGAATCTTTTTATGTTGCTAGGCAATTTTTTTTGACGTTGCTAAGGGAATTTTTTAACATTGCTAAGGAAATTTTTTGACGTTGATAAGCAATTTTTTAAATTTGCTAAGAATTTGTTTTCTGGTTACCCATAACCGAAATCATAACCGAAATCATAATCAAAATGATAACCGTAATCATAACCGAAATCATAACCGAAATGATAACAGAAATCATACCGAAATGATAACCGAAATGATAACCGTAATCATAACCGAAATCATAACCGAAATCACAACCGAAATCATATCCGTGTTGTGATTGGCGGAGCCAAAAAGCCGGCCACCAATCAGAATGCAGTCAATGTCACGGAAAATTTCACGGGACGGACTTTTCGAAATTATAATATAGGTGTTTGCTCTAAATTCATACAAAAGTAATTACATATATATGAAAAACAAATAAGATCTAGCAGATTAATGCTAGATGTAATAAAATTTATTTGCGTGGAATATTTTTTTTTGTAAAATCTTCAATGCCCAAAAAAGTCCATTATGTCTAGTGTAAAGCTAGCGACCTGGCCCGGGCCCTTACGGGCCCCGGGCCTGGTATTTGGTACCACAATATACCACGGTTGGTACGCTACTGGTCATTCCCACGAGTCAAATATCAAGAATGGTTGAAAAGTACTTAATAATGAATTTGCAACACTCTTACAAATCATTGACTTCGATGGGTCTACAATTTTTGATAGGCTGGATATAAAAGCCAAATATTTTCTAATTTTGAATGCAGATTATCTCATCAATTCTTAATTTTCATCCCATCCCGTACTGAACTAGAATGAATTGTCTGACAACACGGCATCCATTGTACGCCTAGTTTATAAGTACGCTCATGTTTGGCTCGACCTGACAATACGTTCAACATATAAAACATGTTAACGGACGTGCAGCGAAAATATAAACCATCTCTTAGAGTGTAGCCAGGTCACCTTGTCCTTCTTCTAGATTAAAATCGGATTCAAAATCAAATTATGTATGTCCGTCTATCAGCCCAGTAATCAAGTTGTTGCCTAAATGCATATACTTTATTGATCGCAACTTGATTAACTAAAATCATATCTACATACTGCTATCATAACGTGGCAATTGCTCAAAGAACTTGCATTTACATAGGACGTAGGCGTTATTCGGGTCCTTGCGTGCTTCATTAAGTTGGCAACTAAATACTGACAGAATCATGATACATACATAAGGTTATGCATGACCAGCTAGTGCTTGACTTATATACATTTGTAAGGGATATCAAAATTATTACTTACAAGGGAACCTTTTTTAAAACTACGCAAGGATTTTCAAGCCACATATATCAAAAAATCTTGCCAAAAATTAAGATCCATACATATGTATTAGAGATGAGTCGGGTTCAACCGAACCCAACCCGAGGGTTCGGGCGGGTTAGGCATCCAAAATTGCCCACTCGGGTTAGCCATTTAAAATTGCCCAGTCGGTTTGGGCATCCAAAATTGCCCAGCCGGGTTCGAGTCGAGCAAGTTTGAGTCGGGTTGGGCATAGCAAAAGCGCGATTCGGGTGGGTCGGGTTGATTGGGTTTTGGGTGGACGGGTTTAAAAAAAACATTGACCCGATTCACCTCTAATACAGTATGGCACATATCTTTCCGTTGAATATCCTCTTTGAATAAAAATGGTGCAGGCCGAAGTTCAAACGTCCGCAAATTTTCACTCTCGTTTTCCTCCAGTGGGTGATAACCATGGCGGAGTGCGAACTTTGACCTTAAAATTGTTCTTCAACTGGCCCATTCAAGGGAAAGGTTCATAAAGTTCGACGTGTTTCTTGTTTTTTTTTCATGATTATTTTTTTGTTATAAATCAGCAGAGAATTTTAGTAAACATATCTTGAAAAAAAGTTCCAGGTATGTAAATAAGCCCCGTTTAGCATGAAGTTCTGATCAAATCCACCACGCTGAATAATTTCACAATCAATATAATAGTTTACTTCAAATGAAGTGATGTAAGAGTGCTCTTACATACTTTTCAAAAAAGTAGATAAAATTATTTTTAAGAGTGTAGTGTTACTCTATTACGAAATCAATTGATTACATGTTATTTGTACGAAGAATCACAAAATCTGTAAGTGTATAAAACACATACAAACAAACACAAAGCAAACTCTGTACATACATATTTTTCATGTGAAGAATATGTACTAAAACGCACGCATCATCACATCTTGGGATTGTACATAAAGTATGTGATCCATTTTCTGGAAATTTTGACCCCTACATACCTCCGATGTCACCTATGCGTTCAATGTCATATTTAATATGGGAAGAATACTCTTCTCAAATCGATTGCATGCTTTCTGCACAGTCCGTATCCGTATCTCATGCAATTTAACCCTTTTTGATCTCCAGATTCCCATATAACTCGACTCAGCTCCAGGCTCAAACACGAAAACATGTGTTTTCTCACATGCCGACTTTCTCCTGATCTTTACTCTTTAAATTAAATCGTTATTTTTATATATTTATTTAAATATCTGCCAATTAAAATGGCCCCCCGACACCGGAAGCTTGACCGAAAAGAGATTGACCACGATGGTAACGTAAAATCAGAAAATATTAATAATACAACGAAGAGGAAAGAATCAAAAATTAGGGAAAAATCACAAAAGAGAACACCATTTAAACCAATTGTAACCGCAGTGGTGATAATATTTGGAATTGTGGCGTTATTCGCAATCGCACTAAAATCGCATAAATACTATGAAGACAACTACCTTCAGAAACCTTTAAGTGTCAAAATACGAGAATTTAGTGAAATGTTGATAAATCTGGCGGACATTGCGGAAACGGTAAAACAAAAATATACAGGTTTCCTTACAAATGTTATGTAAATAGTTATTGTGTGCAAATTGAGAGCAAATGTAAACACAATTATGTGCGTACATACACTCTTAAAAATAGCGTTACTACCCATATGAACAAGAAATGCACTTTGAATTCAGTATTAAGTAAATCACACTAAAAACCCGGAGGGTACTTTACTATTTGCCAAGTTAACGGTGCTCTGGATCTGTAGGAATGAGAAATGAGTCGCATTATTCCCCTTAGTTTTGAATGTCGCGGTGCATATTGCATCATCTTTTTTGTGTACGTGGTTGGAAAAAGAAGAGAGTTTTTTTTTTTGGTATTTTAGATTTTGCTGAGAGCAGTAATGTTTTTTGGTATAAAACAAAGTTAGATTATTTGAGTTAATTAAAAGCTGCATTTAAGTCTACTTTATTCAGTATTCGTAAAGTAATTAGTTAGTCCAGGCATCAGGTCGGCTGCAATAATCATCTCCATACTTTTGACATCACGGCGGCTCAACCAGAGTAACGCTTATCACGGGTAGTGTTAAGGGCGACTCTACAGGATCTATTTAAACGGTGCTGATTTAATTCGTCCCGATTTTTCAGAAATATCTGAAAACTTAAGGTTCTTCTGGTGAATATTGTGATGCTCATGATTACGACTTGTCTTCATTCTACGCATGGTAGAATCTCAAAGACAAATAGTAACTAGTTTGAAATTAATACTTAAATACGGTTTTAGTCCAAAAACGACATCATCCAGACGAATTAAATCAGCACCCTTTAATATGTAATGTATGGTTTTCTTATATAATTCAGACTGCATTTACGTTTAAAAAATGTTACGATTACTTTAAGAGTGCACATGCACTCTAAACAAAAAACTAATCAAATTTTATTTAAAAAGTTTAATTTTTATTTTAAGCATTTATTATTTTTAGCGTTAATTTCACTTTTAATTAGTTTAAGTTGATCTTCAAGAGTGTGTTGAGGGAAAATGATACAAACAATTTTTATCAATCTAGATGAACAGTCAAGGCGAACCTGACCCGATGGATGTAATCCTCACGAAAAGACTTGGTCCAATTCAAAACCGTGTGTCCAGTCTAAGAACGCAGATCAGACAGCATGAAGAACTCCTGGGAAAAATTAAGGTCCCTGGCGGACCTACGAATTTTATTGACACGACGTTACGAGAACTTAACAGCTTTTTGGATATTTCGTTTCCTCAGTTGGATGACGAGGTAAGGAGAAAGTCAATAAGTACATAAACGTTGTGGATAAGTTTTCACGTCACTCATCTTTGTAAACTTTGCGGTGTTTGCCAAATCAGTGTCGGCAACGACTTACATAAAGCTTAATGAATTAATAGTTATTTTAAAATGGAAAATCATATGCAATTTAAACATGAAATTTAAGTATTTACGACTTTAACGAAACTTGGTTAAATACTCGCAATATGTCAGACTTGAAAAATGCTGGAATGGCTTATTAGTTCCACTTTGAAATTTGTTTGCTTCATTATTGTTTTTTGTAAGTGTTTACAAACAATGGCAGGTTAATACTGCCGTTGTAGAAGAAGTAAAGTTTTTTTCACAAATAACTAATGTATGTAAATATCTGACAAAAATGTGTTTATACTAGTTTTTGTCAGTATTTACATTTCCAAATTTATTTCAGGTTGACGTTATCCTCCAAAACATGCTCATGAGGACCGGTACCCCGCAGAAGTTGGCACTGATGCAGAAAATTGGGAACACGCAACAAAAGTGGCTCCGTCTCGTGGAGTGGACTCGAACCGAGGTTCTCGAAAAGGAGGGAATCTCCTTCTTTCCGGGCGAAGCCTTCCTCCCCGTCGCGGAAGGAATGGATGCCAACACCTTCGTCAATTCGTTCACGTTACGAGATGGTGAACTTGGCGAATCCATCGAACATGGGAGACGGATTGCGGACAAACTTGCCAAATTAGGGGAACTGTTTGAGCAAAGGGAAAAAATTAGGGAACTGGTATGTACGAGGGGACGTTCATAAGTTATGTAATACGAAAAGCATACCTGTTCAAAAATTTAGTTTTCATTCAAAAATCAGTCATCCCGATTTCTTACTGAAGATTTTCATTCACATTCAATTATTTCCTTCTTTCAAATTCATTTCATTTTCACTTCACCTGATTTCATTTGTTACTTCACCCCATGTATGTATGAAGCATAGGGTGAAAAATGAAATGAGTGAGAAATCCTTTCATTTATAGTCATTCATCTGAAATGACGGAATCTTTCAATCATTTTCATTCAAATAACAGGAAATTGATTTTCATTCCGTAACACTCATCATCATAATCACTCAAATGAATGAATGTGAACACGTATGAGATTAACATGTTAACGTACAACTACAAAATTTTCCACTTCTATTTTAAATAAAAAATGATTGCTTGAAAATTTCGAATGTAACAATTTTTTACCCAACCCTAGATCAAAGAACATTTGGTCGAAAACGGGCATCGAGTCCAGGCTGCCAGGATGGAGGTCGATTTTCCCGGAGTCCTTGAAGAACTGTACGATTCCCCGGAAGAACACGGATTTGAAGATCCCTACGTTCTGTTGGCCCTTAATGAAAAAATCGACGAGGCCCTTGGCGAGGAAATTGATGAGAATTATTTACACTATGAAATGACCCTTATGGTGACAAACCAACTCATGATCAGATCCGGTACGGTGGAACATTCAGCGTATGAACAGGTACATATTTAAGAAAAGGGTTATCCATAAACTACGTAACGCGAGGGGAGGGTCTAAGGCACCAATGATATCGTGCATATGCATTTATGTTACACATGTTAAAGGTGCCTTACTTTTGCGTCACGTAATTTATGGACAGCCCCAAAGTCAATTTATTATAAATAGGCACTTAGATAGAAATCTGGAATATATTGATTTCCCTGGATTAAAATTATATGTACCACCGATGCATCAAAATTTGCTACGGATATGGTAAAACTTTAATGCCGAGTATGATATCAGTTACAGTTTTAATATCCACGTGTTAACCGTCTGTGACGTTACCGAATGTTTTATAGTAGAATTAACACCACCCAGTGACCATTTGTCCCCATGTGGTTAAGATTGATCACCATTTGGTCAACTCACAGATGTATGTATGCACACCGTTCGGTGACGGTTACACATATAACACTTGGTTTTTAAAAGTACATGTATCAATACAGAGTCACATACCTAGATACTAATACAGGATGGTATTACTTTAATACTGGATTTCTAAAAGTGCATTTATGCACATGAAGAAGACCGCATTTTTAAAAGAATAATTGAATTTTTTTCTTTCAGATGGCGAACAATTTGCCCTATTTAAAACTGAAGAACTCAATTGTGAACGATATTGTGAGACTGATTGATAGGGTGGAGAGATTAAAGACGTGATTATCTATTTACTACCCATTAATAGAAACCATTGTTCATTCAAATTAATACAAAGTAAAAAAAATTAAAGGTTATTTGGCCGATGATTTTTTCCTTATGTTATTATTAAAATAATTTATTTTCAAACTTAAACCTGATTTTCACTTCAAAAGTAGAATAAATATGCAAAATCAAATCGTTTTCAATAGCAATCAGTAAATTATGCCGTTTGACCTTTTAAATAATTTTGGGAATTTTACTGCATATTAATTTTCAACGAATCACAATTGTAACCAAGCCGGTTAAGTCATATATTGACACCGGCGGTGTTGATTTGACAAATTTTTGTCTTGAGTGCATATGTAAATCATGTAAATGGCTCCTGGAAGATTTTAAAGGAAATTTCACCTCGAAATCCTTATTATAACCTCGGACCTATTTACCTGAAACTTCGACGTCGAGGTTAAAGGTCAAAAATCATATATGTTTCACAGTGTTTCATAAAAAGTATCCCGTTCTAGACTTATCAACTTCTATAAAAATAATATATTTAATTAAATACAACAGAATTTGAATATAGGCATATATATTTTTTGTTTGTAAATTTTTATGAATTGTTTGTAAATAATTATTGAGAAAATTAAGTTCTTCTTGGTTAATACTCATTAAAAAATGCTGGTCAAAAGTGTACATATTTATGTACATATCAATATATCTAGATTTTCAGAGAAATTACAAGGGTACAGATTCCAGTATCGCCACGACTACTTTCTAGACCCTTAATCCTTTTTCTTTCCAAAAATAGGCCCTTTATTTTTGCAATCCGCATTATCCTAAATATGTAACAGAAAGGTCAAAATTTAAAGTTAAAAAATCGGGGTAAGAAATTAATCCTGCATAAGCTATACTTCAAATGGAAAGAATACATTTAATCCTACATAATCTTGTTCATTTTAGATAATTCGTATCGTGTCCCAAGTTTTAACAGTTTATAGACTTTTTTAAGATTTTGTAACGAAAAGCCGGGTTACTAAAAAGGCAGATATTTTTACTAAGATTGACCCCACATTTTTTATTTGAAAACTCTTTAGCCATACGAAGTACGTAAATTGTGAATACCCTGAAACTCTCACCCCTGATTAAGTTTTGGGTCATTGTGTGCATCCATTCCGAAAAATTAAAAATTTTAAGGATGTCAGTTTAAATGAGATATGAATGTCCCCTTTATATATTAATAGATGGAGTATCTCTCATCTTTCCATTTTGAAAATTATTAATAAGGGGCCGCCCATAAATTACGTGACGTAAAAATCACGATTTTATACACCTCCCCTTTAACATGTGTAACATGGGCACGATTTTATTGGACCCAATGTAGACCCCCGCCTCTTGCGTTGCGTAATTTATGAACGGCCTCTATGAAAAAATTAAGCGTGGCATGAATTTTAGTTAATCAACGTGTTTTTGGTTATTTTGATACATATGTAATATAGGAATGCTGGACTCTATATAAATAATAAAAATAGCTTACAAATTACACGACGCAATTTGGAGAGTGATTTTTGTGTTGTCGATTTCATATTCTGTAAAATCTGGCTCAATCCGGTTATTATCTTTTTTTGTTGATGTTTTGATGATGGGGGTAATATTTTGTAGATTTCCTAGGTCAGAAATTTGACCAGTAATGAGAGTCACTTTAAATTAGAAATGTCATTAGAACGATTAGATTAACTTCATTTGGTATAATTAGGTTATTATAATTACATAATCATTAGGGAGATTGAGAGACTCGACTGTAAATTTTCTATGTATCAATCATTAACGGCTAATTACGAAAAACAATGATATACATAAACAATGACATCCCTTTTAAGAGCAAATATGTCAAAATTTATTTTAACTATTGATCAATTTCAGTCTGCAAATTTATTTGAGATATTGGACATCTGTATGGATGGGCTTCAGAAAAATTTCATTTTGGCGAAATTTGAAGCACAACGAAACGATGTTATACTTATTTTTATTTTTTTTAGATTTATTGAAGTTTTTATTAACAGTATCATTCAAGTCCTTGTATTGATTTTAGCCCTGGATATCTAGCGACTATACTCTAATATACATTTAGAAACAATGAATACAAATTTAGAAACATTGGTTGTCATTTCGCTTCAAAACCTCGAATTGAAGTTTTTTATCGAAACGAAATGACTGATTTCGTTACGATCGTTATCGCTTTCGTTACGAAAATAAATCACCATATGCACGTCTGGTTTTATACCTTGATCAAATCTTGATTTTCGCAAGCTCTCTATTACGAAAAAGTAGTATAAAACACTGAAGCTAGCGGTCTCCTCTTGCAGTCTAACTTTATACCTCACCTGGTAAAATAGTCGTTCCTGAAAGTTCAGGGGTGCAATGCGTCATGATATGTGCGTCGTTTTGGTGTTTATTTGTCTGTCGATATTAGTGAATTCCTTACCAACCAATAAAGGTAACCACCAAGAAAGTTAATATTTTATCCAAAACTGTAAATTTTATTCAAAATTTTCTAAACTTTCCTATCTTCAGTAAGAATCTATAATTAATTAGTGTTTTAACGTAATTTTTCAAAATATTTACATAATTTACAGATTCCAACTTCGCTTCCGATCAGCTCCTCCAGCACAAAATCTCCTCCCTATTCAACTTCTTCTGTGCCCGAAACCCTGACCAACATGCCGCCAAAGTATCGACCTTTGACCCCTTAAACTACCTCTCCCTTTACACCAATCCTGACACGGTGTCCAAGTTTGTCACCGCACTTCAGCAGAATCTCACCTCGCCCCGATGGGGCCCTTACCTCTCTGACAAAGAGCGAATCGACACCATCCCGATGTTCGATATCCTCTACTTTATCGACACTTCGACCCCTCAAGGATTTGACCTATTTTACAATACGACCGCCTATTTCTCTTTGAGGGCGAACGTCCGCCAATTCATTATGGCGATGGAACTGATTTCCTCCACGAAGTTTTTTGGGCGGTTAACCCTTCCCCCCTTTTCGACCAGTGTGCCGCAATTCTTCTCGCCAAAGTCGGTCCTCTGGGGGATTAATGATGTCGTAAAACCGCATTTGGGAGAGGGGGAGCATGTTGAGGAAGATGGCGGGGATAAATTGACCGGGGCAGTGGGAAAAGATCCGACGTATTGGAAGTTCGATGCGGGTTATAGGGAATTTCATTTCGCTTGGAACATGGATCTTCCCCCAGATTTGGTGCAGGACAAGTATCAAATTCGGTTTGATAGGAAGGGAGAATTATTTCTGTAAGTGGGGTGAAGGGGGAAAGGGAAGGTGCATATATGTATTATATACTACGTCATCAAAAAGAGTTTGTGGGAATTTGACTCGCTTTTGTCACCCGTGTTAAGGATAACATGAGTAGGATAGGGAAGTTGTGGAAAAATTGGGCGTGTTTTTTGATGACGTAATATGTGGATGGGTCGAAGGCTTAAATGGTTTTTAGAAAATATCCAACTATGTATATTTATATTCAGGAAAAATTACACTCTAACTAAAACTCTGCCAGATCAGCAGATTAAAAAATACACACTATCCACCATCAAATTCATGTCAAGAAGACTCTATGCGCACACTCTTGTGCGCATAGAGTAAAATAATGTTAAAAAGTGTAACATTATTTTTAAGAGTGCATGATTACCCTTAATTTGTATAGTGTGCTGTAATAAATTGGATGCCCTTATTTTTTAGGTATTCCCACCACTACATGGAAGTCAGATATTGGGCCGAACTTCGCTCCCAGAATTTGCCCGATATTGAAACCTTAACTTTAAACAAGACTTTTAAAGTTACTCAAGGATATTCTCCCTTCTTTCTTATGGCGGATTTCTCCGTGTTTCCGGTTCGAGGTCCGGGCGATTCTTTAACGACGCAGGATAACTTTCAGAATTTGACGATTTGGGAGGACATCATTCTGCAATCTTTAGCCGATGGGTATGCCGTTGGGGTAAGTGAATTAATTATTTATGATAATTAGGTATAAATTCATAAATACTTAAGGTGCCATTCGAGAACGATTTGAAAAGTTTTAATTATTTCAAAACGCATCAGGAAATTTGCATTTAACGACGTTAAATTAGGGTAGATTGAAATTCCAAATCTATGACTAGGTTATTCCTATTTAATTATAATTAATTGATTGATTGATTGATAGTCATTTATTCACATGTTATTCCTTGATCAGTACAATTTAATGACTGGTTTACATCAAGTAACACAACTTAACTACATATCTTAGTCTTAAAATTATCCATTTCGCATTACAACTAATCATAATTACTTTTACGCTTTTTCATAACAAACTCCGTGAAACGCATTCCAGATTAAAATTGAGTAATAACGCACTGAATTGGTAAACATGACCGAGTTGTGCGTCAGTACGTGCATTTTCTGTGAACTTCTAGTTCTGTGACCCGTTTCGTTAAATACATACATATTATTGAATTCATTTATATTCATTTATATTATATTTTTTAATCTTAAACAAATTCCATAAAGCATAATATTCAAGCCTCTCGTTAATCGATAACAGATTAAACTTTTCCAATAACTCATCGTAATTTATAACCGCATGTGACCTTCTGCAATCCGCTCTTGCCCTAGTTACAGTATTATTATCAGATTGACATTTCCAGTACGTTTTGGAATAATATTTACCTATTTTTGGGTAACAAAAAGTAGCTAATAATTGATTGACTTTAGCTTGCATTTTTGTAAAATCGCATACTCTGCTTGGCCCCCACACCGCAATACAATAATCGGTCAAAGCATTTACATATGCATTTATCAATACAGTAAGCATATGTCGTGTGAGGTGTCGCCTTAACCTAGTAAGTATTCCAACATTTATACTAACTCTCTTCTGTACGTTTTCTGAATGACCCTTGAATGTAAAGAATTCATCTACCACCACTCCTAAATATTTATATGAGGTAACCCTTTCAATTTCCTCTCCATTAATTAACATAGGTGGTAAATTCGCTAATGTTTTACAATGCTGTCTCTTTCGAATTATCATATACTTCGTTTTTTCCTTATTCATACTTAACCCTTTACTTTCTAGCCAGCTATTTAAATTACATAATTTTTCAGTCATTTTGCACATTATTTCATCAATATTGCTCCCACTAATTTGCACGGAAGCGTCATCCGCAAATAAGGTATAGAAACAATCAGTTAAAATCAATTTAATGTCGTTTACAAATAAAAAAAATAAAACTGGACCATTCACGAAACCTTGTCCGATTCCACGATTTGCAATAAATGCTCTCGAGATAAAACCATTAAGCTTAATATAATAATGTCTGTTTTTTTTAAATAATTACATATTAATAAAACCAATTTTGCATTAACTTTCCTTAAATCAATAAATGCGACCACCACAATTTGGTTTGGTTTGTCTAATTCATTAAAAATATTTTGTGAAAAAACTGTTAATGCTGTTGTACAAGATCGTCCCGTTCTAAATCCATGCTGATTATTATCTAATACATCTAATTTTTCTATCGGAGGTAATAATTTCATTTTAAGTATATATTCAAATAATTCACTAATCGAGTGGAGAGAAGATATTGGCCTGTAGTTGTTCGGATCCACATGGCTTCCTTTCCCTTCATACAAAGGTAAAACCAGACCTTCCTTAAATCTATTCGGATATGTACATGTCGTAAATATCGTTGTAAAAAATATTGCCAATGGCACAAGTAAAAAGGGTAACAGAGGTTTTAACATTTTGATTGGAATTCTATCTTGACCCGAAAACTTTGGTTTCAATTTAGGAATACATTTTGATATATCGTTCTCACTAACAACATTATTATTTTCCTCTGCTAAGGCTTCATTCTGTAATAATTTTAACAAATCATCATTATTTGCTTGCGTGGTTTCATTTTGTAATATAAATGTATCACTTAAAAGTTTAGCTATATCATTTTTATCAGTCACCGTCTTATCACCACTCTTAAGATAATTTATGTCTGCCGATTGTTTGATATCTTTACCAGTTAATTCTGAATAGGCTTTCCAAATTGTTTTTGACTCTAGACTAGAAAATTGTTTCTTAAAATATTCACGTTTTTTTTAAAGAAATGCGATTTTTGGTGAAATTACGAATTTTGTTATATTGCTTTCTCAACTCTGGGGTTGGAGCCTTATCAAACATGTTTTTTAAACTATCTCTTTTTTAATAAGCTGCAAAATTTCTTCATCCATCCATTCTGCAGCATTTCCTCTAATCCTTTTCTTTTTTATGGGACATAATTGATCAATAACATTCATCACTGTAGTTTCTAAAACATCAAGTTGAGAGTTTACGTCAAAATTTTCCTCTAAACAACTCCAACCACGTGCTTTTAAATACTTGCCTATTTCATCAGCACTAAAATTCTTATAAGAACGAAATTCAATAATCTTCGATTCAGTTTTTGCCTTCTTTGCACTTTTTACAAAATACGTGAACCTATGATCCGTTGTAGTAATTGAAAATACACCTGATTGTACTATTTTCGTTGGAAAAGAAACATATACGTGATCCAAAAGAGTGCAAGAGGTTAGCGTGACCCTCGTTGGGTCCTTGATCAACTGACAAATTCCTACACTATTGGTCACATTCTCAAGTCTCGCTTTGTGTAGGGAATTAACAATTAAATCTACATTCAAGTCACCTAAAATTACATAATCTACCTTATCTCTAATTACTAAACGTATTAATGAATGCATTTCGCGTAATTTCTGAATATCTCGTAATGACATTTAATAAATTCCCGACAGAAAATAATCAAACTAAGATGGCCATTTATTATTTTTCAGAAATCTAGAGAACGATATCCTTACCATCAACCTAATGAAACTGATGCCTCCGATATTGCGGGAACCGACGCATTTGGCGCGCTTTTCCAATCAACCACAGCCTCCGTAAATATCGACCTGTACGGAAACCTGCATGAATCTCTTCACCTGAATTTGGCACATTTACGCGATCCCAGATTTCCTACAAAGGTGCGTCACCTTGATTCCGATAGAGAGAACCTCAGTCAACCTTCGCAAATATTCCTAAATTTGCAACAAAACTGCGAAACTTTTCTCAATTTCTTTCGCAAACTTTTGCTCCAAAGTGTGTGATTTTTTCGCAAATTTGCTGAAACTTATCTTTACCGATATTTACATATTTCTAAGATAACTTATGTAAATCCATAGAGGCAACATCATAATAGATGTTTTTAGAAGTATCTACATAGATTTGCGAGATTTACGAAGCCCAATTTTGCCAACCTACTCATTGCACAAATATGTGTAGCTCGCAAGTTTGCTAAATGACTTGCGGTGCAAAATTATACGTTGTCATAATTTCGCTTAGAATTTAAAAAAAAATCCCTTAATTTATTAAATATCATTAATTTGCCCAAAATATAGTTGCCCAAAGACGTCATGGGCGTAATGGACCATGCCGAATCGAGCGTGACTGACTCTGCTTTTTACCAAATTCACTACTATGTCGACAATTTATACAAGAAGCACAAGTACTACAGTCCCCAAATACGAAATGAGGTATGGAAACATATGTATTCTTTGTTAAAGCTTTCAAACCAAATATTACCATGAACTTTCGAAATTTGAAATTTTCCACATTCAATTTACACCGAATTTAAAATAAGAAATTTATTATTTCAGCAAAATATGGCCTACCCGGGTATAACTGTTCGTCAGGTAGGGTTGAATTCAAGCCAGCATGTAACCCAATTAAAAACCGAGAAATTTCCCGTATTAACCACATATTTTGAATACTACTCTTACAACGTGACCAATGCTGTCATCGACTGCCAAAAACTTGAGGTTGGTCTTAATTTAAGTGCAAATTTTTCCGCAATATTGAAATTTTTGCATATTTTCGTATGTTTTGTTGATTTTTTTAGTCTGGGAAGGAATACGTGATTTCGAGAAAGAGGCTGAATTATAACAAATTTGAATACAATTTTGACATATTTTCCTCTCATGGAGGAAATGAGGATGCAATCGTTCGTGTTTTTATGGGGCCGTATATCGCTGCGGATGGAAAGCCGTACCCGATTGATGACTTCTACTGGAATATGATCGAAATGGATAAGTTTCCTGTGGTGATCGAGCCAGGAGAGGTAATTTGCTAGATTTTTTATTTAAATGGGGCAATCCACGCGTATGTTAAAATGTTTCTCAATTTGCGCCAAGTTCATAATTCAGCAAATAACGATACCAGTAATGCCTGGAAATGAAAGCTTAACCCTTAATTTGCTGGATAAATTTAAGTTTGACAAGACTAAAATTCGGTTTCTACAAAAAATGATAGTATTTGCAAAATTTTGAAATGTTCCATTTGAGACATTTTTCTGGGAAAATCAGCTTATTCCGATTTTTATCTGTTCGACTAAATTTTTACGTTTTAAGACCAAATTTGCAATTGTTTTTTCAAATTGTTACTTTTTAAGACCAAATTTGCAATTATTTTTTTAAAATTTTTACCTTTTAAGAGCAAATTTGCAATTGTTTTTTATTCAAATTTTTGACTTTTTCAACAATTACAGAATCGTATCACGCGAGCCAGCAGTGACTCCAGCATTTTGAAGAAGGACGTCATCGCACCTGGCGAGCTTAAACGAAATTGCGGCTGGCCTTCGAACCTCCTCCTTCCCAAAGGAAACCCTGAAGGCCTTCACATGAAACTATTCGTAATCGTGACCCCCGCTAAGGAACGACACGGGGTCAAACTTACGGTCCAGAATGCCGCAGAATTTCCCGCCTTTTCCCTCTGTGGTCATCCATACAGTTATCTCCCGGACGATAAGCCGATGGGATTCCCCTTCGATAAAAGGATGCATCTTGACAACCCATTCGGCAGCGTGGGAAAGAGCAATTTTATGTTTTATGATGTAACCATTAAACATTTAATTAGTTTGTAAATAAATCATCTTTTAATTATTTATGTCTTAATTGTTCGCAATTTTGAATATCAAATTTTAATCTACAAATTTAATCAAATCGCAGAACTGCGAAATAACTAATTATCTGTGCAAATTATCTAAATAAAGGTTGAAATTTATGAAAGATTTTGAAGTATTTATTTATGTATGTGAAATTAAGGGATGATTTTGTATTAATTGAAATAATTATGGTGGAGATTTCTTGCACTGAGAACAATGAGCCAAAATAATTTTGAAACAGTAATTGTGATGCGTTTTAATTGGTCAAATTTTTTGGTACATTCCACACACATATTTATTCATGTACTTTTACTGTTAGGGAACAATTTTGGTTTACATAAAGTGCCCAATTATCATATCTTGTCGTCATTTGTACTATTTCTGGCAATATCAATCCTCACAAATTTTCGTATTGCGGGATGCAAATATTTTACATCTGTGCAAACTCCTTTTGAGTTGGATCCCACTGTGACCAATTAAAACGCTTATTTAGTCATGAGTCATGACTAATAATTGTAACCTGCACACATGCAATCTTAGAAATCCAGTATTAAAATAATACCAGGCGGGTTTCATATATGACTCTACCAACGATGTATTGATAATATCGTACAGTAATAACCCGGTATTGAAGTTTTACAATATTGGTATCAAATTTTTACTCACCGGTATAATTTTAATACTAAGCGGTACCAACTTTAATACCGAGAAATCAATACCTGCGTGACTATACCGGATTTCTAACAGTGTAGCATACGTATTTACATAGGTGTCAACATCGTGAAGTATATATATATGTTACCTGAGAATAGTAGCCCTGTAGTTACAGTTATTATCGCCGCCACGAGAGAGTAGAGAAGGTACGAGAGTTGGAATATCTTTTCAGCCCAACTACATGTATTCATGCATAAATTGCATATGTAATTATGCTTGGAATTATGTAAGTAACATGTTTTAAACATAAAACCATATAATTAATTAAGTGCATACCTTTCAATTTCTTCCACTGGTTCCATGGACTTGATTACTGTACCATTTGATTGGGGGCACTGATCAATTGAGGTCGGTAAATGGGGCAGTGTCTTCTTTTTCACGAAGGCCATCACACTAATAAACATCATGGATCCCAGTCCGATCACCAGCCCAAGCGTGGCACCCTGCACATAAATATTTATATAAACAACAAAATCATATTAAATAAATAAATAAGTTCCAACAAATTACTTACTCTAGTGTTCGCTTTAGGAAAGGCCATCCCTAAAATGAAGACGCCATAGATCGCCCCCGCAGTTGCCCCGACCTAGTTAAAAACAAATGTTTCTTTACAAAACTAACCATGGAGATCCCCAGTGCATGATTTTAACCAAATTTAGTTCGGTAGCGTCAAAATATGTCCTAAATCTGATTACAAACGTACACATGATCTCCCAATGGGTGCGTTTGGCCAAGATATTTGCATTCGAAGAGGAAAAATAGCGTCAGAAAACTCGGAGTGTAAAATTTGATTTCTCCTCACCAGATGCAAGTATCTCACAAGGGACACTCACGACCTGTTGTTTGAGTCCAGGGTACCCACCATGCTTTTTAGAATCTACTAGGACCCCAGATGAAGGATTCATTCATATTTCCGTGTAAAACTCATATTTGGCGCCGTGCCGTGACGCCAAACTTAAAAATTTGCATTTTCGACCAATTTCAAACCCTCATAACTTTTGCAGATTATGTCGGATTTTCAAAATTTTATGCTTAAAATGATCACAAAAGTCCAAATTTATGAGAAAAAAATAAAAATTTTCTAATTTTTGAAATATTTTTAGCATTTTTCCAACGAGCCGTCATTTCTAAGAAAATACGAAATTTTGCGAAAATTTAAAAGCAAAAATTTTGGAAAAAATTTCATGGGATACGAAAGTTGAACTCCTTGTCATGATTTTTGCCAAAAATTTTGAAAATCCGCCCAGGATTTCAAAAGTTATGGTGGTTTCAAAAATAAAAACATTGAAATTTGGCGAATTTAACGCCACGGCACGGCGCCAAATATGAGTTTTACACGGAAATATGAATGAATCCTTCATCTGGGGTCCTAGTAGATTCTAAAAAGCATGGTGGGTACCCTGGACTCAAACGACAGGTCGTGAGTGTCCCCAGGCCCGTACCGACGATGCTTCTAGGTGGAGCGCTGGCTCCAGGCCGTACGACCCGAAGGGCCGTACCGGCACGCCCTATACACTAGATATAATTGTCCTATCACACGCCGCAAGATAATTCCACACTAATCATCGGAAAATGTAAGGAAGACGTGCTTAATTTGCCAGGCCGTGTGGTCCTATTCAAAAATCTAGCGATTATAAACCCGAATCTGCTCTTACGGGTTTAGACCTTTAGCTCATGAGAACGTTGTTGTGTCATACAAAATGTAGTATTACACATAATTTCATACCTCCCTCCACGAGTTCATAATCCAATGTAACTTTTGATTTCCAGAACTGAGCTAGGGAATTTAATTTCAAAGAAAGTGAATATCGTTGGGTACGTAGGGGAGGCATTCAAAATCGATTTTTCTAATTTCGTAAAAGCTGATATGAAGGTAAATAAAAGCCGGTTTTGGATTTAAGCAAAAACCGGACACAATTTTTGCAATTCTCCGGAAAACCGGTTTCACAATTTTCGAAGAAATCGGTTTTGTAAAAATGAGGTGTTTACACACTCGAAAACTGGGTTTTGGTTTTTAATAATACGAATTCTTTGAATCTAATGATTAGTGTTTAATTATTGAGATAAGAATTAATCGTGCTGTAATCATAGATCGGATATTTTGCGTACTCCGGCCTCCGCGTACTTCGTACTCCGAGTACTCCGGCCTCCGGCAAATCTCGCGTACTCCGGCCTCCGCGTACTCCGTATTCCAAAAAAAGTCGCGTACTCCGGCCTCCGGAGGCCGGAGTACGTACTCCAGGTTAGGAATTCAATTATAATTTGCTTAACGCGTAAGCATAGATTTTGAATCAAAATTTATGCTTACGCCTTGCGGAAATTACAATTGAATTCCTCCCCAGGCCCGGAGTATTCCCATCTATGGGATCAGATATTTTGCGTACTCCGTACTCCGCGTACTCCGTACTCCGGAAAAATTCGTGTACTCCGGCCTCCGCGTACTCCGTACTCCAGAAAAAGTCGCGGAGAGTACGTACTCCAAGCCCGGAGTACTCCGATCTATGGCTGTAATCCCTTATTCCCAAGTTTACATTTAATTTGAATTTTGCATTAAATTTGTGGTTACTATATTTGCTAATTTTTTAAAATTTGGAATAAAACCGTCTTCAAAACCCGGTTTGTGGGAATCAAACACATTTTTCCTACGAATTTCCAAAATCCAATTAACATAAACCTGATTTCGTAGACTTTTCCAAAAGCTGATAAATCGAAAACCGGTTTTTTTCCTAAATTTGAAAAAGCGAAATAAACGAAAAACTTATTTGATAAAAACTTCAGGTTTTGGACGCCTTATTGGTGGTATAGCACATGATTTCTGGTTAATTGGGCGAAATTTAGATTGAGCTAAAACCTATTTAGTGCTCAGGGGTCCTTCGTCAGGGCGGATTTTTGGCATGAAAATGTTTAGCATGAAATAGGAGCAGCAACTTGGGAACACTTTCGGGTTGATTTATATAAACACAAATGTTTGGTACACATTGTATTGAAATTACGGAGTCCTGTGAAGGTGTAATTTAATAAAAATCCAAGAATCTGCCGCTTCGCGTCAAAATTCCTTCCTGAGTACCGAGCTTTAATCGTTTGATTCGAGCGAAGACAATTGTCGTTTTATGTAACACGTTTTAATTCGGGAAAAGTAGTCGCATTGAAAAATTGTGGTCATGGTGCAAGACGAAGGTAATTATTGTTTCTGGGTGTCCCATACTGGGAGGACGCTTATTTCCGCCTTTCCCTCTCCGCGAGGTATTTATGTAAAATTTGTTTTGATTTTAGGAGATTCTATTATAAGAGAATCCCCCAAAATTTAACACTCAATTGCATTTATGCAATTGAGTGTTAATAAGAACATCTTCCTTCTGAAAATTTGGATATTTCTAATGGAATGTCAGACTCTGTATATTTGTTAGAATTTTATCTGAATCAATGCATTCTTTCTCCCATACCACTACCGTAACATACGTATGTACTTACCTCGTTACAGAATTAATGCATCATTGTGTTCCTCATACATACTCCTGAAAACGTTAAACTCGGTACCGGTTTTTGAGATTTTTAGTATTGATTCAAAAGAACAAAGAGAGTGGAATTAGCACCAATATTATGAAATTCTAATTTTATGAGTTCCGCCGCAAATTATAATTAACATCATTGACTGGGAAATTAAAATGGAAATTTGTGTCATGTAAAATTTACTCCACGGTTTGAAATTTGGATATCTTCATCTTTGAACTTTTATAGGCATTGAAAATTTTGAGAAACTACGCCGCTGTCAATTTCAAAAGAATTTTCTTTATGCTAAATATGGGGAATTTAAGACTGGCAGTGGCGTAGTTTCTTAGAATTCTCAATTTCTGTAAAAGTTCAAACCTGCGTGGATAGAGAGTATGTAGACGCCTAGATGTAATACTTAATTTTACGACCCACTTTGAAGCAAGATAAAATGTCGCAATGACTAGATATTTTGCACCAGTTTTGAATAGGCTGGACTGAATATGTGCTCCAGGCCGTCCCAATCCAAGGAACGCCACTGAGTGTCCCTTGTCAGTCTAACTTGCCCAAGGGAGAGCGTGTCTTCAAAAATTTCACATTAATTAGCTCGATTTGCCTAATTCGGGAGCATAAGTATACACGCTCTGCATGTACGCTGGATTATTAAGGGGTGAAAGCCCTTTATAAGATCGTTATGTCCGTCTGTCTGTCCGTCCGTCCGTCCGTCTGTCCGTAGCTCCGATAACTTTTGAACGAAAAGACATAGACACTTGAAATTTTGAACGTAAACTCCTAACGTCAATGGACAGGACGAGTTCGAAGATGGACACTGTGACATCGTCACCTGTGACGATGACGTCGTCACAGTGACGAAAAGTGACGAAAAAGTGTCACGTGTCAGTTTTGACATGTGACACATCATTTTTAACTATTTTTCAATGAGGAATTCGAAAATTCAGGTCATTTTGTGTTTGGACGTCACCTGTGACGATGACATCGTCACAGTGACGAATAGTGACGAAAAAGTGTCACTTGTCAGTTTTGACATGTGACACATCATTTTTAACTATTTTTCAATGTCAAATTCAATGGTGACCTCCATTTTGACCTCAGAGGTCATGTAAAGGTCATAGGACATATCTATTTCAATTTCAACTGAAATTTAACCCCGAATTCAATGGTGACCTCCATTTTGACCTCAGAGGTCATATAAAGGTCACATAAGGGTTATCAACTGTTAAATTTGACACAAATAAGACACAAAAGTCGAGAACACGTCAGAAGTGTCAATCTTAACAAATTTTCGAACAATTTGATATTCACATTGACGTATGACACTCCTTTCACCCCTTGGTTACATGCGTTGTAACGGTTTATTGGTTTAAATTTCAACTTACCGCGGCATACGTGGCGGAGTAAAGAGCTCCAAGATTTTGAGCGAGAAATGCCAACGAAATTATCAGCACTCCGTAGAGAAATCCTAAAAATATTGAATATGGAAATCAAAAAATTTGACCATGACATATTGAATATTTTCGAGTTTACCAATAACTCGTGTCGTATTTGCTTGTGCAGTCGGTGTCATTTCCGCAAAGAGCTTTCTCCCCTTAAGGAAGTCTTCCCACGTGACGGCAGCCAGAGAATTGAGCGCGGACGAGACCGAGGACAACACCGCGCTAAATATGCAGGCTGTGAAAAGACCCAACATTCCTGGAATGGAGGCCATCTCCTCGACGACAAAGTAGGGCACGATCTGATCAACTTTCTTAATCTTGTTGAGCTTGAAGGGATCACATCCGTCGTACATGGCAAAAATTGAGATCCCAGATAGCAGACAGAGACCGATGATGAGTAACTTAAAAGGGACGCTGCACAGGATTACGCTGAAAAATGCAATTGAAAAATTAGTCTGGAAATTCATTGATTGTTCAATATCACCATTGTCAAAATCGGGACGTTTTTACTCAATTATTTTACCTTTGGAACTTATATATTTACAAAATTCTGCACGATCGATAATTTATGCAGCATATATTGTTGCCAATTTTTTTGAAAATACACGAATTTTTATAGTTATTAGTTTTTAAAGGAGCTTATCTCAAATTTAAATATCTACATAAATTTGCTGATTTAGTGAAGAGTCCTACGTTAACAAATTGTTGAAAAATATACTAATACCTTTTTGCCTTTGCGAGGGTCGGCATGCTACAGTAACGTTGGACCTGGAGCTGATGCACGGCAGGTTGCATAATCGCATAAAATGTCGTCCCCACCAGAAAATTCCAGATATTGTGACGCATGAATGGATCAAAAGTTGTGCTGCGAGTGTGTTATAAGTAGATTGCGAATTAACGGTTTGTTTTACCCCAAATTCTCACATACACACTAAAAATTTCTCATTTTCACTGATAACTAATGTAACTAGTGTTTAAGTGAAAATGTAGAGCAAAAACCTCAACTCGCAATCTCCGTATTAAATAGAAATACTAAATTCAAATCGTATGTACAAGCATTCAGTACCGGAAGTGTACAAATTCCTACTGTTCAATTCTAATTTTTCGTACATACATATTTTCACGTATTTGAATCTTACTCAATAAAATTAAACCTTCCGCCATCATTGGCACGACGGAATGCTTCGCCAACGCCTCCCACAGAAGAAAATCCCTTTATCACAATGGCCACCATGCCCGCCACCATCATGACAGATTGGAAAAGATCGGTAAACACGACTGCTCTCAGGCCACCCTAAAAAAATGGTTATCAAATTTTGAGAGGGAGAGATTGATAAGGTCCCAAAGTGCACAAAGTTATATGAATTTGCTTAAATTACCACAGACGTGTAAATAGTGCTGCACAACCCGACGCTCAAAATTGACAGCCACACCGGAAATGAAAGAAATGCTTCCAAAGCTAAGGATGGTGCGTACAAGATAACCGAGGTGAGGGTTATCTGTTGCAAGATGAATGTAAAGCTGGCCAATCTTCGGACTAAAGTTGAGTGGAAACGGTGTTCCAAGTACTGCCCAAAAAACACACACCTGTATAATCTGAGTTCTTGAAAATATACAAAAATGTGAGCACGTGTATTTGACCACGTGTACCTCATTTATACTCGTCAGCTTCATCTTGTAAAAGTATGGCACGAAAAGAAATGCACTGAACCCCACTGCGATGGCAGACATGATGTTAATCATGACGATTTGACCCCCAAAGGAATACACTTCAGCAGGAAAGCCCTGGTTGAAAAAAAGTTGAAAAAATTATTCACTTATTGTTCATTTATTTAAAAAAAACTCGTATATACTCGTATATACATGTATGTATACATGCTTTCGTTGCTCACTTTTCACACATTTTGTCTCAAAATCGCTTTATTACATAAATGTGCTACATTACTTTATCACATACTGTATATGGATTTATTAATACAAATATTCCCTAAGTACTAAATATAACGTAAAAATTGAGTAATGAGTAAAATTATTTTTTGTTCTTCATGAATATGAAACGAGCAAATATTTATTCAGGATTTATTCATTCAAAAATTTTCAAAAGATTATTTATAAATAATATAAATCTGAATAATGAAGACATACATAAATGTATGCTTTTATTATGCAGGATTCATGAAGTAATGAATGAATTCATTCTCTTCTTAATAAATGAATGTGAACAGCTATGGTATTAATATAGCTTTAACAATTATACTGCTCACCAGCACGGTAATCGCCGAGACGTAAGTGACCATGATGGAGGCAGCGACCGGAAGTACGGCCATGTTCCTGCCCCCAACGAGTAAATCTTCATTGGACTTGTTGCCCTTGAGGGCGTAGTAAATTCCGATGGCGAGCGACACACCCAACGTGGCTGCGACCACGACCCAGTCAAACCAGTGGAATAGATCTCCTCCCAACCACATTTTTTCAGACTTCAAGACCACAGAGAAATCTGATAAAGCTGGCACTCACAGTAATCCTAAATATGAAATGAGATGTAATGATGGTAAGTTGGATATAGTCTAAGAAAACCAGAGGTCGGATATGTATTTATTTTCAAGTTTTCCATTTTATGACGTCCACCGGTAAAACTTTTCTGGTGTAATGATTATACACATAACTCTTGTAGACTTTACAAATTTCAGAATAACTTCAGTAATTGTTGTATTTTTGTTGGTTTTTGAATATACAAAAATGTTTAAATAAGTATTATTTCTACCATTTTGTTTGTGAAGTATGTACGTAAATATTTTGGATAGTTTTACAAAAATATTGTACATTTTGTAAATATATGTATCAATGATTTGAGGCGATATTTTTTGCTCAAATATATGTATCTATTATGTACATATTGTGTAGATTTTCATAAAAAATTCAGAGCCTTAACTTCAAAAATTTCAACTTTGTTAAAGTAGGTATTTATTTAGATATTTCATAAATATTGACACTTTTTCCATTAATATTGAACATGCATTTCAGCGATTTTTCGTAAATTTTTATCCGCCCACTGGTCATGCATAACATTGTCTACGTTTAAACTTAACAACATTAATTAAAGATTATAGTAACTGCAACATTTTCTGGACATATATATGCAAATACATATGTACATACATATTTATGTATAAGAGAAGAGATTTCTTTCAATGCACGTAAATAAATTGCATAACTGTGCACATACGTCATTCCGCCTGAGTTCAGCGACGCGGCCTTGTGACAAGAGTCAATTACTTGACATCAGTCATGTTAAGCAATTGACTCTCATATTTATGCTGGTATAAAATCATTTTCCGAGAAAGAATTAAGGGAACATGCATAAATTATGTCACACCAAAGCTGAGAGATTTCTAGACCCCCATTCCCCCCTTAATTATGTGTCACATAGACCGCTGGACCCTTCCTCCCCCCCTCCCCTCATGTGACATAATTTATGAATCGTCCCTAAAGTGTGCATATGTTTATTACCTTGACCATTTAGAGATTCTTAAAGAAGCAGGTCTATATGTATAAATACTTCAATGATATGGTTTACCCACACTGTGTAGGCTACACACTATAAAATAATGTTACCCTTTTGAAAAGTAACACCGGTCTCAAATCTTTAAGTGAACGCTACTAAACTTTACTCTTAACTACATTAACATTAGTCTGGACTTAAATAGTATAGTGTACTTAATTAAAAATTGATGGTGAATTTATGTACCCTTTCAAAACGGTTCCGCTATTTTTAAGAGTGGTCAAAATCTCTCCAATTCATGCAGAAGTAAATTACCGCAAACAAACAAGTTCAAGTCTGAGTATCTATATAAAAAAGGCATTAAAACTTATTAAAACACCACTAACTGTCTGGACATGACTTCAATTCTCTGCGAATACAATAGTGTGTATGTATGCTTAATTGAGTAAAAATAACAGTTCGACAGTAAGGCTATTATACATACATATGTGTGTGCGCAGAATTTAAGGTCATTGAGTCCGTTCATGTGGTAATTAAGTGAAAAAAACGTTATAGCCAATCGTTGTTCCCCTGACAATGTCATAGGCTCATTCCATTTGTAAGCAACACGTTTGATCGAGTACCAGAAAATAGAGGTGCTAAACCCTGCTCCCTGGTGGTGGTTGCCTGGCCATGTATTTTTCTCTCTTTTGCAAGAGAACACTACACAACTCACACTTTGTCAATGTTCCCTGCCACGTAGGAACACAGAATTATTTACTACTGTCTACACAAGCAGTCCATGTTAATTTTACCTTTTCGAAAAATTGACAAAACTCCAAGACGGACAAAAATCGCGTGGGGTTTTAAACTTTTTTGCTTCCTCAGGCCCAAAGGCGTCGATTGGCTTATCTCTCAATGAGCGATTCTTGTCCGTCTTCTCGATAATAGAGTTTTTAAATACATTTCAAATTTCAGATTTTTTTGAATTTTTAAATTTTTAAAAATTTTTCATAGCAAAGAATGATCAATGAATGAAATCTGTAAATGTAACCTACCCCTTTGAACCAACACTTTCCCGACGAAAGCATTTTCAATGCATTTGCAAATTTTCTTTTAAATGCTATATCTTTGCGAAAAAAATTAATTTTCAAATTTTGATTTTTATGATACGTTTTATTTTATATCATGCAACTATGATACTATTGTGGACAAGACATCAAATATGGGTGCGACGACGATCATGTGGGTTCAGATGGAATGAGCCCATACATATGTTGACTTGGGTATTAAAAGAAATTCGTCAAACGAAAAACTAGGGTGTGCTTCATGTTCAGTTGTTAGTGTACATATGCCAGCAATAAAGTTACCGTCAAATTCGTTACTCTATCAAAATAGTTGAGAAAGTATTTCATTTCAACTCCATTGTGTATGGTTTGGACCGATTTTAGATATTCGAGACATATTGAATTTGGTAGCATAGAATCCAATAACCGACGCCGTTGCGGGACTCTTCTATTTTGCATGCGCAGCCCCATCAGAAAGGTTCTCGACAGGGCCCCAATTTTTGCAACAACATAGATCACAAAAAATTCAATGATCAAGGAAAATAGCCAAATCCCTATGGCACCCGAAATGAAAATTAACGATCTCCCGCCATTAATTTGATTTAGCACCACGAGATGGGCGCAAGTTGATAGAACAACCGCAATGAAATGATCAAGGCGCGGTACTACAAATTCCACAAACAATTCTTCCTCAATTATGGTCATGATACGAAGCACGTTGTACATTTTGATGACCGCCTGGAAACCTAGACCACCGCGAAGTTTGAAATTTCCTCGATCCCTTTTTTCAGGAGTAAGAAATATCATCCACACGTAGAGAGAGACAATGCTGCAGCCAATAATCAGTACGCAAATCCCAATCGTGGCAATCATCGAAGTAACGCCAAGCGTGCTGAATATACCGAGAGTAATTTGGATCGAAATTGGTACGATGGGAGGGTATATTTCGAAATTGTGGACAGCGAGGAACATGGTGTATAGCGGATTCCAGCGAAGGAAAGAACAAGAGGCGATCACAATTGGCCCAAGGAAGTTTAATATGCCGAAAAATAGATTAGGGTAGCGATTCATTTGCCTGAGAGCGGAGTCAAGGTCGTCCCCTCGTTTGTAGTCCGGGTGAGGAATCAAGGCTGAAACAAGAAGGGGTTTTTTAGTTGGTAATGGGATAGTTTTCAAAATCGTTTGTCTAGTTTCTAACATAACCCGACATAAAAAAAATCTAGACTAAAAATCTCCTGTAGCTTCTCAAGATTTATAATTATTTCAAACATAATGATCACACATTTTTACAAAAGAATATGACTAGCTATTCAAAAAATCATACATGAATGTGCAAAGCATCAATTAATGTACAAAGATTAACTATTGAGTGGAGCCTGAGTAATTTCCACCCTCAAATTTCGATGTCCTTTGCATATGTTTCAGTATCCCATTAGTGAACAGGAACCACCAAGTGTTTTAACCGCATAGCCACATTTGCACACGCCACACCCAACGAAATGGGTAAAAAACGCGGAAAGATCTGCACTTGAGGTTTTGGCCCCTTTGAGGTGGAGTTGCGGTCACCACTGGCCGCATGGAGTCGGCTTCTACACTTTTACTAAATTCATTGAGCCTCACAAAATATCTAGAGGACACCAAAATCTGGCGCTGACAACCTTCGACCTTTTACTAAGACTATAATGTATTTTGGAAATACCATATTAATTAAATTTCTACGTTTTACCATTTCTATCTATTTCTTACCAACCTTCCAACTTCCTCTCCAAATTTAGATGGACTTCAAAGTAGTTGAGGTACTTCTGCGGGCCAGATGGGCTCATGAGAACCCTTGCGATGCAGAGGTAGCACGGAAGAATAAAGCTGACCAAGTATGTAAGACAAAGCGTTGACTTATAATTTTTTCCTCCGCGTGACGTCGACAAGTGGTAACATCTGACCCACAATGCGGGAAGTATGAAGAATGCGGCAAACACGTTCAATTTTCGAAAGGCTTGTTTATGCCAATTTCTTTTCGGTTGTGTAACTCGAGAAAGCTTTGGGTCCCATTCCAAATAGTAAGTCGTGTACAGGGTTGATCTCTGTGTAAAAAGGACGGCGCTGCGAAGGAGACTTTCAAACCTAGGTTCTAACATTGTTCAATTCCTGGAGAAAAAGATTTCACAACTGTCCAAATGTAACTGAAGGTTTGCAATCAATTTGTTAGGCAACGATGGATGTGCTATTAGCATTCCAATCCAAGAGCACCTTGACTAATTAAAGCGAAACTATGACCTTGTAGGTTATTATTTAACTTACAAAAATATGTAATGGGTACAAGTTTATTACAAGAATATATTTACATATTTATATATGCAAGTAATATATAAGGCTCCCAATCCCTTATGCAACTTTCATCGAGACTTTCAATATCTGATTTCTGGCACTTTCTCTGAATATGTATCCAAATTTCCATACCCAAATTTCCATACCCAAATTTCCGAGACCCAAATTTCCATACCCAAATTTCCGGGAATCCTTTGTACACTAAATACGTGATCGTAATTTTCTGCACTTTTGCATTAAGTTACATTTGCCTCATAGAAAAACAATTGCTAGCTGCTGGGTTTAATCAAGAGAAAAACTGAATTCAAATTTTCTTGAAATCGAGGACAGAATTAGGGTACCAATGTACAACGTAGGCGAATGTTGTGGCCTTAATGAGCAATTATGTAAGTATTTGCTTATTAACCTTTTGGTTGATCGATCATCTTTTTGTGGGTCAGTTGAAGAGGTGAGCAATTGTTTCAGACTCGGGCCATTAAGTACCTCTTTAATTACCCCGGTTTAGTTATTACTTTCAATTATTTTTTGATCCTCGTGTAGGAAAAATGTGTAGGGAGTTATACATGGTTATACATGGCCAGATATAAGTAGGAGTTGTTCTAATGCTCCAATGTTCTAATTAGGGTTGCCGCGGGTAACGGGTCGGGTACCCGTTACCCGCATACCCGCACGATATTGCGGGTACCCGTTAGTGTGCGGGTAGTGACTACTACCCGCACGGGTACGGGTATTTCAATTTTTACTTTTTTACACTGCCTTGCACGGGAGTTGCTGTTCAAATCATTGTTACAGAGGAGGCTACTTTTGATTTTACAAGGGTTTACTTATTTTGCCCCGTATATCGCGCTTACCAGGAAAATATCCATTTAATTTATACCAGTCATCACATGTATTTCTGATTTTTAATTTTTCTGATTTCCTCGCAATTTTTAATCTATAACTGAGGTAATTTTTTAATAAACAATGTTTACTAAACATCATACATAAATATATGTAATATTTAATCTAAAATATTTCACTATTATTTGAGCATTTATTATTTACTTTAAAATACAGCGAACATGGCATCATCATCGAATGGGAATTCAACTGAATCAGAAAATGCTGTATCACGTAGCTCAGCTGTACTTCTGCGACAGGGTTAAATTTTACTAGCATAAAATGGGTCCTTTAATTTGTAGATTGCTATTTTTATACGATTTTAATTTCTGAATTAGCTGGCGTTTCTAACGCAAAACGCAGCGGAGTTTGGATGTGGTTCAAAGAAGATGAGGAAGATAAAAACAAGGCCAAATGCAATCTATGCAGCTCCCCAATTTCATGCGGAACTGAAGATAGGAGAAGTACGTCCTCAATGAAAAGGCATCTTGACGCAAGACATAAAAAAGAGTTCAAACTTGCATTTCCAAAAGACGACGTGGAATTTGAAGAGAAAGAAATGGACGTCGCATTTACTTCCGCTGCTAAAAGACCAAAAATGACGCAACAAACTATTGAGGAAAGTTTGCAAGCCACAAAACTGTGGGATATCATGGACCCTCGGGCAGTCAAAATTCATTATGCCATCGGAGAGATGATTGCTGTTGACGTTTTGCCATTTAATATTATGGATAAAATTGGCTTCAACAATTTTTCATCAATAATTCAGCCACGCTATAAGGTCCGACTCATACGCAAATTTCCTAAAATTATGAAAGTATGTATATAATAGCAGAATTAAATATGCATTTCTATTTAAATCTTAAAGGTTCCAGGTCGGACGTTCATGAACACGAAAATCGTACCAGATATATATGCACGCTCCAGACAAAAAATTCAAGAAGCGGTTGATCAGGAACCTTGGATTTCCTTTACAACAGATATTTGGACTAGTTCATGTAACAATTTCAGTTTCATCAGTTTTACCGCTCACTTGAATTCGGAAAGTTTTTCAAACCACCATGTCGTCCTGAATTGCAAATATTTTCCGGGCAGTCATACGGGCAGTACTATCGAAGGAATTTTAAATGAGATCTTGTCTGAGTGGAATATTGAAAAATCTCGCGTTCATCTCCTGGTCGCGTAGGTTCCAAAATTAAATAATTTTGCATTGTTCTCTCTTTAGCCTGAAATATGATTTTAATTTTTGTATATTAAATTTAGGGATAGTGCAGCAAATATTGTCAAGGGGATAAACAATGCAGATCTCGCTCTGGTGCCATGCTTTTCTCACAAAATTCAGCTTGCGTATCAGGACTCAATTCGGGCTCAGAAAACTGTCAACGATCTCATTTCAAGAGCAAAAAATATCGTTTCAAAATTCAACCAATCGCCAAAAAATTGTGAACTTTTGAAGGATAAACAGAACGAAGCAGGACTGATCCCTAAAAAATTACTGCAGGATATAGCGACGAGATGGAACTCCACATTTTACATGTTAGAAAGGATGAATGAACTCAAACAGTTCATTGGGGCTCTCTCTACGGAAATAAAATTCGCAAATCTCAGGAGGGGAGCTTCACCACCTGCCCCTCTCAGATCTTGATGTGCTTTGGATATGTGGTAGTGTCCCATGAGTGTACTAAAACCCTGAAGTGGTTTGACTCCATGGCCACAGTTACGCCCGCCACACCCACTCAAAGGCGACAAAAACACGAAAAAAGCCCGGTTTTCACTTGTTCAAACCCTCGCCAAAAATCCGATTTTGCTCGGATTTTGGTAAAATTTACCTTTTTGTGATCCCAGATACATGTGTGATAATATCCAATAGATATCTCAACTTTTTTGAAATTTTGAATTTTTTCGAATAACTCATCAGCCCGAAAATGCTCGAAAATTTCGAAAATTTCAAAAAAGTTGAGATTGCTACTGGATATGATCAAACAAGTATCTGGGATTACAAAAATGTAAATTTTATCAAAATCCGAGCAAAATTGGATTTTTGGTGGATTTTTGAAGTTGGTAACTTTTGTGGTTTTCATCCTTTTGAGTGGGTGTGGCGGGCGTAAATGTGGCCATGGAGTCAAACCACTTCAGGGTTATAGTACACTCATGGGACCCTACCACATATGCAAAGCACATTAAGATCTGAGAGGGGCAGGTGGTGAAGCTCTCCTCCTCAGTAGCCATGAGTGGAATCTCTTGCCAGGAATCATTGCGTTATTGAAACCGCTTGAAGAAGTAACAAAGGTTATTAGTTCCTCGGATTGCATCATATCAGAGGTAATTAAAAAGCTACTTAAACTAAGGAGGAGAGTACGCCAACCTGATAATGACAGATCTTGATGTCCTTTGGATATATGGTAGTACCCCCTCTGAAAGTAAAAAGTGTGAAGCGGTTTGATGCCATGGCCAAATTTACGCCCGTCACACCCCTTTGAAGGCGCGCCCGATGCCAAACTAGCTGCACTAAAAAATTCGCCAAAAATCCAATTTTGTTCGGATTTTCATAATAGTTACATATTTATGATCCCAAATAGTTGCTTTATCATATCTGACATCAATCTGAACTTTTTTGGAATTTTGAATTTTTTCAAGCCATGCCCTTTTCAGGAAATATTCGAAAATATTGAAAATTTCTGAAAAGTTAATTTTGCAACTGAATATGATAAAGCAACTATTTGGGATCATAAATATGTAACTATTATGAAAATCCGAACAAAATTGGATTTTTGGCGAATTTTTTAGTGCAGCTAGTTTGGCATCGGGCGCGCCTTCAAAGGGGTGTGACGGGCGTAAATTGGGCCATGGCATCAAACCGCTTCACACTTTTTACTTTCAGAGGGGGTACTACCATATATCCAAAGGACATCAAGATCTGTCATTATCAGGTTGGCGTACTCTCCTCCTAAATAACATAGTATTCACCTATTTTTTTCGGGGAAAATAATCCAGACAAAATATTTACAATCGAATACTTTGGTGAGAAATTGAAATTGGGGCGAAAACCGAAATATTTCCAAACTTTTTCTCTAAAAAACCCGGGATATTCACTTCCAAAACTTTATTAAAATAAAACCAATTACAAATTTCAAGTTTTCATTTTAAAATCAATTAAATATCCAATTAAGCTTTAAAATTTTGTACAACTGGTAGGAGCTAAGAGAAATTATAAAATGCAAATCGGAATCTACGAAATAAATAATTACAAAATTTTAAATTGATGTTTCAAATTTCACCGTAAAAATTTTTCGATTCATCTGACCGAAAGAAATTAACCACATTTTAATCGAGCCAAATAATTTTCGAGGGGAATGTCGGTTGAAATCGAGGCATTTTTTTTGTTTTCGCCCGAAATATTTGTTTCACCCGAAAAACATTAGGTGAATACATAGCTTAAGAGCCAAAATAAGAGTGTTTTTACAAACCAAACTTAGGTGATCCCCAATGTGAAGACTCTGTTGAGATATTATGGAAAGCAAAACCAAATGGATTTAGGACTAAAAACATTCAAAGCTGAGCTCCTTAAAAATTTGAAAATTCGATTCATGGATTTGCAAGAATTAGATGTATATGCATTTGCTACTTTTCTTGATCCCCGATTTAAAATTAAGATGTTTGATGTCACCAGCCATGATATTATGAAGTCAAAATTTACGAAGTTCGTAGTGGATACCGAACTTGGTGAGCCCCATATGGAAACACAACGGAATCCACAAACAAAGAGCACGCCAGATTATCAGGGACCACTCAATATTGCAGATTAAGTTCACGTGTCATATTGGAATTGCTTGGATGAAGAAATGGAGGCTAATAACCCTTCACAGCCTTCGATGACTCGTGCCGATGACAAGGATACCGACAAATTGAAACTCATGTTGGAGACCGAGATAAATTTTTATATTAGTATCCCAACCTTGACATACAGACCTGGAACCGAAGAGCAAAATTGTAATCCTCGGAAGTGGTGGAACGAAAATTCATCGAGACTTCCTTTACTCCAAAAATACGCCAGGAGATTCTTGTCAGCTCCAGCAACAAGCGTATATAGTGAGCGCCTTTTTTCCGAAGCAGGAGAAATTTACGACAATCTCCGGACAAAATTAAGTCCAGAAAATGCGGAGAAATTATTGTTTCTTAAACATAACTTGCCTACTTTGAAATTTCAATATTAATTTAGCTACTCAGACAAATATTTATGCAGGACTGAAAATCTCATAATTTGTTTCTGTGGGCTTAAAAATGATATACCATTTAGTGCAAAAAATTTGAGCTATAAACTAACATTTAATAATAATTGCAATAAATCAATCCGGTCGTTGGGCTAAAATGCCAGCAATAAGGTTATCGTCAAATTAGTTACTCTCCAAAAATGAATATATATAGACAGTCTTGATATTTTAACGTATGTATATTTCAGTTTTCGAATTTTCGCCTCGGTGCCGATTTTAGATCTCAAACCTGTTTATTTTTGGCGAAAAATTCCTGTGGGCGTCAGTAAAATCGTACACGGTCCAACCGAAGCTAATTATTCTTCAAAACGCATGCCACAAGTTCACAAAAAATTATCCACGAAGTTTTTTTTTCGAAGCCTTAATTTTTTTAGCAAAATAATCCTGACCTTTGACCTATCTGCGAAATTAAAAATCGGCGATGAGGAAATTGTCGGCAGATAGTTTTGACATTATTGTAAGGATTCTCAAAGTTGCAACGTTACGGCAACATGTCCAGATAAAAATTTTGTCATCGTAGCTACACTTTTGTTACATACTGTAGATGTTCCGATACTGAATCATACCTCAATTTTAGGGGAGCAAAAATATAATATTTCTTGAAAATATGAAATTTCCTGCATAAATTGCATTTTATTTATTATTATGTGTTTTTATGCATTTTTGTGCATTATGCCATGCATACAAATAATTTCGTGAGCACAAAAGGAAACACTGATACATAGCGTACAATTTATTATATTTTGTCGCCACTTGAATTGTTTCTTGGGTTATTAATCCTCACAAATTTTCGTACTGCTGGGTGTAGATATTTCACATCCGTGCAAACCCCTTTGGAGCTGGATCCCACTGTGACAAATTTGATTGAAATTATTATTTATATCCATACGTCGGATATGAATGAAAAATGACTTTTTCCATTTATTGACCTACAGTGGCCAAACTTTCTGAGAATGTTTATAGTCACTAGTAGGTCACGTAGGTTAAAGCATATTTTCTCATATTTGTCATATATTCGGGTTTTGGGATATATTCATATTCCCGATCATATTTCGGGCTCTTTTCATTCATTTTATCATTTTTGGCCAAATTCTAAGATTTGGCAATCAAATCGACAGAAAATGAAAAAAAATTCTGTTTTCTCACAATGATTCATTGTGAGAAACTTTCAGAAATTTACTTTCACTTTCGCCGAAGGTAATTTAATTCATTGGGAATTAATTAAATCACCCCAGAACTTGTTTAATTGAGCATTACAGGAAAATATATCAAAAAATTAAGCCACAAAATTAAAAAATAAAGTCATTTTTGTGGTCATATTTTTGGGATTTTTACGGTCATTCTTCATTCATATTTTGAGGTTTTATCGGTCATTCATATCCGAAGTCTGTATTATATCATACTAAATATTTATATGTACATATTTAGATGTGTAAAATGGATATTAAGGTATGTATTATTTTTATATCATTAAAACGCACCTGAGAATAGTAGTCCCATAGTCACCGTTATTATCGCAGCCACGAGAGAGTAGAGAAGATATGAAAGTTGGAATATTTTTTCTGCCCAGCTAAATACATAAATACGTTTGGAAATATGTAAATCATTCGTAATAACAACGCTTGGATTACACCCATCTCTTTTCAATGAGGACATTCATCATCAGTACGCATTGTTAAATAGGAACGTTTGCCAAAAAAATTCTGTTCTCAAAAAAATGTTCGTTGCATCATTTGCAAATTTGTGTATCCTCATTTTGTTTTTCAAAGTTACACTTCGTATGTGAACAATACTGTTGGGGATGTTGTTTCCAATTTTTAAAGGGTTTGTGTGAGTTTAGTTTTTAAAGTCGTGATGGTATGGACTTGTGCTTTTATGTGACTTGAAGACGATGGATAATTGTGGGCGTAAGTGTGTGTGACAATGAGGCAGAGTGAGACTTGGAAATATTTAGCTGTACCACAATTTTATGTCTGATTTAAGTGAGTACTTGAGTTACACTGCATGATTATTATTACAAAATTGACAAAATGTACCAAAATGTAGAGAATGGAAGAAACTCCCACTAATTAGGGAGGTATCACATAAATAAAATTGAATAATGACCCTTAAGGCATGTACATACTTGACATTGACTCGCTGTGTTAATTAATGCATACAAAAGGTTAGTTTTGAACTTAAAAGGAAAAGATTAAAATAATATTTAGTCAGAAATAGATAAGTCGATACTAAGAATGATAAAATTAAACCGAAGGTAAGAAGGGTCTGGTCACGTACAAACTTATGAAACTGAGTTAATTTTACATGAATCTCAACAAATACTGAATACCCACAAAGAAAAAAGTACGCTCTAAGAAACCCGGTAACTAAGGTATTGCCAGGCGGAGTATCTACATAGAGCGCGATCAGGAAAGAAAGAAACTTTTGAAAAATGCCTGTAAAATCCGAAAAACCTAATTAATTCCAATGAAATTTTCAGGGATTATAAACATGGTATCGACCGTTCCATTTCTTGCTTCATACGGTCCATACACCCCCATCCTTCCTATCTGGTGAATTTATTGTCTCGCGGTCCCCATAAGTGCTTTGCCACTCTTTCTCGCCACCTCTTTTGAGGTGCGTGACAAAATCTGACGGAATCCTCCCAAGTTTTTGGCTGGTTTTGATCGACGACTATATTCTCTCTTGCATAATGCCCAAAATCGTTGAATTGGTCTTGCCCGAAAGACGTAGGGAGCATATTCCTTTTTTGCAACAAAATCGATTTTTTCGACCGCGGGTAGTCCAGAACAACTTTTGAATAATGACATGTTGCTGTGTCCGGTCAGAAAAGTACATTACGATTATTGATAAAGGGTATCAAGATCTTATTTACACAATCGTTCAAATATCTCTCCGAGGACATGGTGGCTGTGGTCACGAACGGCTTTGAGACGTCCCCCAATGAGTCCAATGCTTGCCCGATTATGCGCTTTGTGGGGAATTCTGACTTCGGCGTGTATTTGAAGGAATCTTTAAACGTTTTCTTATTAGTACATGAGTAGTACTTCCTCCCAGGGACTTGATCTGGATCAATCGAGCACTTGGTCTCATCATCCACGACCAGAATCACGGGCATTTTTTGCTTCACTCCTTTTTCAGCAATCTGCCGAGAGTTGGGCTTTGCTCATTTTTGCTGACCTTGGTTGTACTTTGGTGCAGGGGTCGCCTTATAGGATTTGACCCCCAACTTCGTAGGTTTAATGTCATGTAAACTTAATTTTGCTATTTTCAATTTGTAGCCCAAATTACCATCTGATATCCAAAGTTTATTTTGGTATTCCTGCTGAAGTCTGCATATCAATTTGGGGGTCGCTACACGAGCAGGACGATTTTTTGATTTTTTGATTTCAGCATTCCCTTTCTCCAAATACATGTCTAAAACTCTGAAAATTGTCGTTATATAATTTTTTCATTTTTGAAGTGGCAATAAACCATTTTCCGAACGCGCCCGCACACGTTTTCGTAGTAGTGGCAAATCTTTTTTTCGAGTTGTTCTCGATTTTTTATCCTCATTTTTGAACCAGTCGAGATATCAACTTCCGGTTTTCTGATTTTGGTAGTCAATCGGTTGGACTACAAAACAATTGAGTTCCAACCCAGTGACAATTTTTCTTTCATACAAATAAATATATTTTTCAAAGGTTTCTTTCTTTCCTGATCGAACTCTATGTGACTCTACTGCATGGAAATTAATTTATTATTGAGTGGTAAACAATTTGTTACCAAACCGGTAATAACCCTGGTCGCGAAATTTGAAAATATTACCAGTTGGTAACTAATTTTCTAACACTCAATAATAAATAAATTACCAATTCACATATGTAGATACTCCGCCTGGTAATAATCCAGTTACCGGGTTTCTTGGAGTGTAACATAAATAATTACCTGTCCATTTCTTCTATTGGTTCTGTTCTGGACTTGATCATTGTAATATTTCCTTGGGGACACTGATCAATTGAGGTCGGTAAGTGTGGCAGCGTCTTCTTTTTTGCGAAGGCCGTTAAACTAAGCAACATCATGGATCCCAGTCCGATTACTAACCCAATTGTTGCACCCTACAAATACCCATATTTACATAATTCATAAATAAATAAATATGGTGGAAATGTAGATAGATTATTTACCTTAGCATTTGCTTTAGGAAAGACCATCCCTACAATAAAGACGCCATAGATCGCCCCCGCAGTTGCACCAAACTGGTTAAAATTTGTTTTATAAAATTAAACTGACAATGGAGATCGACCAGCCAATGGTCTCAAATTTTGACGAAATTAGGATCAATCAACAGATCACAAATTTAGTTGATACGATCCCACAATGGTACGATCCCACAATGGTGGAATCGTGTACAAATTTCATAGAGGTTTTTTTCAATACCAAGTTTCTAAGAGTATACATAGAGGGATCGAATCGTTTGCAAATTTCATATTAGTTAAATCAAAATAAGCTGGGCACCTTGTTTAATAATCGAGATAATAACAATTTTAACTTACCGCTGCATACGTGGCGGAGTAAAGAGCTCCAAGATTTTGGGCAAGAAATGCCAACATAATTATCAAAACGCCGTAGAGAAATCCTAAAAAAATTGCACCGTAAAAAATAAATTCTGACGCTTAAAAAAATTAACAAAAGATATCCATGCATTGCATACATACATACCTTTTCACTTTCATTCATTTGACTGATTATGAGTGAATGAAAAAAATTATTGTCATTTGAATGAAAATGATTCCGTCATTTCAGATGAATGAATGTGAATGAAAGGATTCTTCACTCCTTTAATTTTTCACCCTATGCTTAATACATGGGGCAAAGTAAGAAATGAAGCCAGATGAAGTGAAATGAATTGAGTTTGAAAGAAAATGAATGAATGTGAATGAAAATCTTCACTCAGAAATCTGGAGGACTGAATTCTGAATGAAAATTTTTAATCTTTCAGTTTACCAATGACTCGTGTCGTATTTGCTTGTGAAGTTGGTGTCATTTCCGCAAAGAGCTTTCTCCCCTTAAGGAAGTCTTCCCACGTGACGGCAGCCAGAGAATTGAGCGCGGATGAGACCGAGGACAAAACCGCGCTAAGTATGCAGGCCGTGAAAAGACCCAACATTCCCGGGATCGAGGCCATCTCTTCGACCACAAAGTAGGGCACGATCTGATCAACTTTCTTAATCTTGTTGAGCTTGAAGGGATCACAGCCGTCGTACATGGCAAAAATTGAAATCCCAGATAGTAAACAGAGACCAATGGTGAGCAACTTGAAAGGGACGCTGCACAGGATTACGCTTAAAGAATAAGTATTCATTGATTAATTCATAATAATTTAAATATTGTCGAAAAATGTACACTCTTAAAAAAATGTTACGCTTTTGAAACTTAAATACACTTTAAATAAATTTTAAATGAGGTATGCAAATCATGAAGTCATGCAAGTCATAAACTTGATAAGGTGTAAAGTTTACCCTAGATATTTAGTTACTATCTGTCCACGGCAAGTTGAACCCGGAGATATGGGAGACTAAATTCCGTTCAACGTGAATAAGCATGGGCCGGGATTTAGTCTTCCATATCTCCGGGTTCAACTTGCCGTGGATTGACTATAAGTTCCTTATTCTAGCATTCAGATTGCATTTACTTTTCTAAAGGGTAACATTATTTTTTAGAGTTTGAAGTAATACCTTTTTGCCTTTGCAAGGGTAGGCATGCTGCAATAACGTTGGACTTGCAGCTGCTGTACGGCTGGTTGTAGGACTGCATAAAATGTCGACCCCAATAGAAAATTCCAGATATTGTGCCGCATAAATGGATCAAAAGTTGTGCTGGGTAGATTGCGATTTAAGTTAGTTTTCACTACAACGCTAAATTATTCACTGAGAAATAAATCTTTTCATTTACATATCTTACTCAATAAAGTTGAGTCTTCCGCCATTATTTGCACGTCGGAAGGCTTCCCCAACGCCGCCAACGGAGGAAAATCCCTTTATCACGATGGCCACCATTCCCACCACCATCATGACAGATTGGAACAGATCTGTAAACACGACGGCTTTCAGGCCACCCTAAAAAATGTGTGAAATTTAATCGCATTTAAGATATCCAAATAAGGTTCCAACGTACATTTGTGTTACCCTTCCGATAAGTGAATACATATGCACATTTTTAATTTTAAATTAAGTAAATTGAACAAAATCCACAGTAAATTTTACCCTTTATGAAGTTAATTTTGCTTAATATCGAATTCAGAGTGAATTTACATTCATACTTTTCAAAAAGGCTAAAACACTCTTTAAGGTGCATTGGATTTTTTAATTACTTACCACAGACGTGTAAATAGTGCTGCACAAGCCGACGCTCAAAATTGATAGCCAGACTGGAAATGAGAGAAATGCTTCCAAAGCTAAGGATGGTGCGTATAAGATAACCGACGAGAGGGTTATCTGTTGCAAGATGAATGTGAAGCTGGCCAATTTTCGGACCAAAGTTGAGTCGAAACGGTGTTCCAAATACTGCCCGAAAAAACATACATATTTAGTTGATGTTTTTCCTCCTGTATTACCTTCATTCTTGGAAATATTTGAAAATCTTAACACGTGTATTTGAGCACGTGTACCTAAATACCTCATTTATGCTGGTGAGCTTCATTTTGTAAAAGTATGGGACGAAAATAAATGCGCTACACGCCACTCCGATTGCAGACACGATGTTATGTATGATAATTTGTCCGCCAAAGGAATACACTTCTGCAGGATACCCCTAATTTGACAAAAATTGAATGTATGTGTAATAAAAATAACAATATTATAAAATAAAATATACTGGGCGTACTGACGACAACTTCTTATTTCGCATCGCAACTCATTTAGTAAACTTGCGAAGATCAAAATATTTCTGTCGTGAGGGGATTCGCAAAATATGACTTCGCAAAACTCTCTTATCTCGCAAATCTACAGAAAAACACCGATTTTGGTATTGTTTCCATGAATATCTGTAATTTCTCTTGCAGAATTATTTTGCGAAATATATTTGCGAAATAAGGACATGCTCAATTGCTGGATAAATTTGCGAAAAAAATTCCATGGTTTCCCAGTAAATTTTTTGCGACATCTTGCATATCTCGCAAAACTTCGCAAGTTATGTTGCTATGCTCAATTTGCGAGACATGCGAGATATGCAAAGGTTGACGTGAGTATGCTCATTGTGTATAAAATTGTGTATAAAATTTGGAAATAAATGTTTTTCAACATAAATGTTTTATTCAGTTTATGCCAAATTTCCCTTATTAAACGGATTTATTAATTGCGAAAATGAATAATACACTAATTTCATCATGAATATTATGTATGTGGATAAGAATTTACGAAATATTCATTCATTGAAACATTATCAAAGTTTATTCATTCATTATTCAGAAATGTGTGGAATAATGAATGAATAATTTACTTCTTTACATTTCGAATGTATTTATAGTTTTAATACGTATTAGTTAATTAATCTCCTCACCAGGACGGTAATGGCTGAGATGTACGTGGCCATGACGGACGCTGCGACCGGCAGGACGGCCATGTTCCTGCCCCCGACGAGTAAATCCTCGTTGGACTTGTTGCCCTTGAGGGCGTAGTAAATTCCGATGGCGAGCGACGCACCCAACGTGGCTGCGACCACGACCCAGTCAAACCAGTGGAATAGGTCTCCTCCCAACCACATTTTATTTTTAAGTTCAAAATCACAGAGAAACCTGAGAAAGCTGGTGCTCAAAGTAATCTTAAATGTACAATGAGATGTATGTAATTATGTAGAATGTGATATACATATTTTCTCATCATCAGAGCACGGATATGCATTTCTGGTAAATTTTTCTAACTTGATGAAGACCAACGGCCAAACTTTACAGATGCGTTCCCCAACTCATACCGATTACAAAAATTCAAAATGTTTACATACATACATATATTGCATCAATATTTCTTAGTTTATTGCGCACAAATTTACAAATTTTTGCCGTTACATACATACCTGTTTATTTTTTTTTTCCTTCATCCAACATTCATTCACCGCGAAAATCAATTTGAATTATTCATTCATTATTCATTCATTCAATGAATAATTCATTCATTCATTCGTCCAATGTATTTAACATAGGGCAAAAAATGAATAAATACAAAACCAATTCATTCAGTTTGAAATGTTTAATTATTCATTCATTATTCATGCACTCAATGAATTATTCACTCATTCATTCTTCATTTCGTAGTAATTAAATGAACGTGAACAGGTATAGTTATGTATTATTTAAAAAAAATGCACCTAAGTATTTTTTTGTTTAAGAAATACGTGCACTTCATAAATATTTCAACGTTTTGAAGCGAGCTTTTTTTTCATTGAACAACTTGGCCCAAAAAAATAAAAAATAGAGACTTGCTTAACGTTTTTTTGTACTCAAGTACATACATATTTCATAAATACTTTGGCACCTTTCCCCATAAATATTTTAATATTTGTTTCAGCGACTTTTCCTCAATACATAGCCGACCTTTGGTCATAAGCTTGTCTAAATACATTTAAATTTAAGTACGTTTGTATCAGCATTAATTCAAGTTTACGGTCGATTAATTAAAGATACGGAGATGCATACCGATACATACATCACAGATTTCGTTTAATACATTAGAACATAAATATGTACGTCATTCTGCACGAGGTCAGCAACGCGTCCTTGTCACAAGATTCAACTCCTTAACTTGACAGATGTTTAGTAATTGACTCTCATGTAAATAAGATTAGGCTTCGAAATGAATGCAAACTGTATCTTTATTAAATTGGACATTCCAAGATTATTTAACAAACAGGTTTATGGTTCAAACGTACTTATAAATAAATAATAAGGGAACGTCCACATATCACATCATCATAAAAAATGCCTGATTGCTTACCATTCATCCACACCTCTTGCTCATTTTAACCTTAATCCTAGATAAACCTTCTTTACGACATAACTTGTGGATGTTCCCAAATGGATTCAGCTCGTGCAGCAGTGGATTAAATAGGCAACGTCAACAAGTTCGTCTCAGGCGTTCAATAAAGTTTCATTCCAATAGTACAGACTTAACTTATCCTAAAACGTAATCAATAAGGGGACGTTCATAAAATATGAAACGCGAAACTCGGGATTTTCTTTTCCCACACTCCTCCTTTAAGATGTGCAACATTCGAACGATATCATTGGATCGGAGAACCCACGTCGCCTTACATAATTTATGAACGTCCCCTACATGCCATCATTAGTCAGAATTGTATTTAATTACGTCAGTTTGATCGTACATTTAAGATCCACAAAAGAAATTCGGCGAGTTCTGCTAAATGTCGAGGTTACGTATGATGTGAACAAGTTTTTATGAGTGTCTTGGTCTTCAACTGGCAGTCGTTGGTACATCATGTGAATTTGATAATGATAAATGACGTAGCTAATTGATCTCTCGGGTATATGTTTTGAAATGTGATAAATATGACAAATTCAGAGAAATAACGTGTTAATTTATCACCCATCATTAATGTACAAATGCCAACAATAAAGTTACCGTGATATTAGCTACTCTGTCAAAATAGTTGAGAAAGTATTTCATTTCAACTCCATTATGTATGGTTTGGACCGATCTCAGAAATTCGAGACATATCGAATTCGGCAGCATGGAATCCAGTATCCTACGCCGTCGCGCTACCCTCCTATTTTCCTTACGCAACCCTGTCAAAAACGTTTTCGACAGTGTCCCAATCTTTGCAACGACACAGATCGCATAAAACTCAATCATCAAAGAAACAAGCCAAATTACTATGGCACCAAAGATTAGAATTAACGATCTTCCACCATTCCTTGTAATCTGAGTAAGCACTAAGAGATGGGCACCAGTTGATAGAACTACCGTAGCGAAATGATGAAGTCGCGGTGCCACGAATTCGTCAAATAACTAATTCTCAATTAAGGTCATGACACGAAGCGTGTTGTACATTTTGATGGCCGTCTGGAAACTTAGACCACCGCGAAGTTTGACATTTCTGCTATTATTTTTCTCAGGAGTAAGAAATAGCGTCCAAACGTAGAGCGATGCAATGCTGCAGCCAATAATGAGAATGCAAATCCCAATCGTGGCTATCATCAGGGTAACGGTAAGTGTGCCGAAGATTCCGAGCGAAATTTGTATGGAAATGGGAACAATGGGAGAGTAAATTTCGAAATTGTGGATAGCGAGAAACATGGTGTATATTGGATTCCATCGAAAGAAGGAGAAAAAGGCGATGAAAATTGGTGAAATGAAATTTAATATGGCGAAAAATATGAGCGGATGACGAGTCACTTGTCTGACGGCAGAGTCAACATCGTTCCCTCGTTTGTGGTGGGATAGGGGAGTCATGGCTGAAATAAGAAGGTTGAGTTAAAGTAATCTCTTGAATTTTGTCTGAGAATTATGTGTATTTGGCGAAAAATGGTAGGTTTTTAAAGGGTTGTGGCTTCTCAAAATTTTGGATTAAAAAATTCAAAAGCTCGTATTGTTACAATATGATTTGATTTTTAGATTTAATTTTAAGTTATTTATGAATTAGGGAAGGTTTAGAAACTTTAAAATTGCTGTAACTGTTAAAATTTCTTCCGTGATTTAAATAAATCGGGAACTAACTACAGTTAATTTTATCTTTCAAGTACTACCTCAAACTTGGACATTCGAAGACAATGTATTTTGGCAATCTCATTAATTTAATTTATGACCACTTGACTTAATAGTGTGAACATTTAAGCAGAGCCCTGCTCACCATTAGCTTCATAGGTAAGAAGAGCTCTCCTACTAATGTTCACATCATAGTTTTCACCCACCTTCCAACGTCCTCTCAAGCTTTAGAAGAACTTCAAAACAGTTGATGTACTTCTGTGCGCCGGATGGCCTCATAAGAACCCTAGCTATGAATAAATAGATGGGAAGGAAGAAGGTGACAATAAACGTCAGACAAAGCGTAGACTTATACCACCTGCCTCCACGTGACGTCGACAGGTGATAGCATCTTGCCAACAAGGCCGGAAGAATGAAGACGGCGGCAAAAACGTTTATTTTTCTGAATGCTTGGATATGCCAGCTTTTCTTGGGTTGTGTAACACGAGCCAGTTTAAAATCCCATTCGAAATAATACGTCGTGTAAAGGGCTGATCGTTGAGTAAGAAGGACGGCGTTGCGCAAGAGACTTTTAAACACAATTTCCAACATTGTTCAGTTCCTAGGAAAATTTCTTTAGGTTTCCTGACGTTGTTTCTAATTGGACGTCAAAGTTGGCTATAGATCGGTTAGGCGACGACCGATGTGCTTTTACTCCAAGAGCACCTTGACTAATTAATGGGAAATACACTAAAACCTTTATGGGTCATAATTTAAAATAGTAACCAAATTAAAATCATTAGGTTGATTGGAAAAACTTTCATGCGTACATACATATATATGCCTAAGCAATATGCATATTTACAAACCGTTCTGAAACTCTTAAGAGCCCACGAGAGCAGTTTTATGTCAAGTTTTATTCATATCTTCCGCTAGACTGCTTAGAATTGTTAGAAACGCGAGACGAAAAATGGAACAAATAGGCGTCACCCAGTTTCTACCTATTGACCTTAACGTATTATTAATTATTGGGGTGGACGGCCAATTGGTCTTTGTTCCTTGCACTTTTACACGAAATTATGGCCGAAAACAAAATAATTTCTGGCAGCTGGTTTTAATCAAGGCAAGCACTGTGTTCAAATCTCCTTGGAACCAAGGACAGACTAGACAGACAAGGTGACCCCAGTGAGGTGGCTTATTGAAAAATTAGGTACTTGTTTATTGACCTGATTGAGGACCGGACAACGTTTTTGAGCATTAATTAAATGGGAACAATTAGTGCGCCGGTTTGTATTACCTTAAATTATTTTTCATCATCATTAAATTTGGACACAAAATAATGACGTTTATATTTTTGCCAAATTGGAAAAAATAGGGACTATCGGACCTCATTTATACAACCCCACGGTTCAAAAAGTTGTTCACTTTTTAATGTTACGTAGTACGCAGTTTATGTAGGTGACCAACGTGTATTGAATGTTTAAATGTTTGCAAAAGTAAACATAAAAGTTGTTACGTTTATGTATGTATTAAAATTTCACAGCTCCATAAAAATTGGACTAACGTGCTATACCTTTAATATCAACCTATTACTTCACAGCATTACTCACTACCATTTTGGTAGAGTCATAGGTACATGTGTACACATATTTATCCCGCTTTTTAGCATTTTAATACTGGATTTCTAAGAATGCATTGACTTTGGTTTCAATATTTCATCTTTTCCATGCAAACTCATTCATATTTTAATTGTAATCTTAATTTAAGTTTATCTAAATTTGTTAGGTAATACTAAACCGACCTGATATATAATGCATAAGTAAATATGATGATTAGTCTAACAATAACTAAACAGTAATAATTACTTGGAAAATTTCATTCCCGCGAAACTTGTTGCTAGCTTATAAGTAACATCAGATGGTGCAAAATTTAATTAAGGCTTCAACATTTAAACTTAACCCAAGCTGATTATCCATTCGCTTATCTTGGTAACGCTTTCCCAAACAAAACCCGTTAGCGTCCCATAGAGACTCCGACAGAATATTAAAAAAATAGTCTTATTAATAAATTTGCGAAATTTTGGTCTTATATGCGCTCTATTCACCGCACATTTGTGTGGTGAATTTAATATTCACATATTTGGTACATAATTAGCCTCCCAAGAACGAGTTTAGAAATAAATAAGTACATCACGTGACAAATTGGGAAAAATATCGCATCGCTAGTGTACATATGCCAACAATAAAGTTACCGTGATATTAGCTACTCTGTCAAAATAGTTGAGAAAGTATTTCATTCCAACCCCATTGTGTATGGTTTCGACTGAACTCAGAAATTCGAGACGTATGCAATTCGGCAGCATAGAATCCAATTGTCTTCGCCGTTCCGGGATTCTCCTATTTTCCATGCGCATCCCCATCAAAAACGTTTTAGAAAGTTCCCCAATCCTTGCAACAACGCAGATCGTATAATATTCCATGATTAAGGACATCAGCCAAATCACTATGGCACCAGAAATTAGAATTGTCGATTTCCCGCCATTCCTTAGAATCTGCGTTAGCACTAAAAGGTGCGCACAAGTTGATAGAACAACGGCCACGAAATGATGAAGGCGCGGCATTACGAATTCGATAAATAATTCTTCTTCAATTATGGTCATGACGCGAAGCATGTTGTACATTTTGATGGCCGTATAGAAACTTAGACCGCCGCGAAGTTTGAATTTTTTTCTTCCATCATTTTTGTCACGATTAAGGAATAGCATCCACACGTAGAGGGAGGCAATGCTGCAGCTAACAATGAGAAGACAAATCCCAATTGTGGCAAGCATCATGGTAACGCCAATGGTGCCCAGGATACCGAGAGATATTTGAATTGAAATGGGAACGATGGGAGAGTATAGTTCGAAATTGTGGATAGCGAGAAACATCGTGTATAGCGGATTCCATCGAAAGAAACAGAAAAAGGCGATCGAAATTGGTAAAATGGAGTCCAATATGCCAAAAAGTACGAGGGGGTAGCGAGTCATTTGTCGGACAGCAGAGTCAACATCGTCCCCTCGTTTGTAGTCAGACCGAGGAATCATGTCTAAAACAACAAGGTAATTATTAAAGTCGAACGTGTAATCAAATTTTCAATAAGTTCAATCTCAAAATGTTTGGTGTCAAATTTTTCATAATTATCATCTCAAAAAGTCGTGAATACATTTTCTTACAATGCTGTGATTTTTACAAATTCACTACAAAAGTTTTTTTGTTAAGCATGATTAAAGAACCTTTAATAATGCGCACAATGCAGGTCTACAATGAAGTTGACATCTTAAACCATCTGTTAGCGAAAGGCTTTTGGAAAATTATTAAATTTGATATAAAGGGTGTAAATTTAATCCGGTAACATGGATTTTTAAATCCCCGCTTGAGACAAAATCAGTCATAATTATTGATCCCGCTAATATTTTTCTTTGAAACTTTTACCATAGGTGGAATGAACATATATGTTAATAAAAAAAACACCGTAAAATTGATATGAAGGTCTTAGAAGCGGCAAATTCCAACTAATAATGAAAATCATCCAAAATTCGGATGTGCCGGAAAAAGTTCGTAGAAATGCGGGAAAATTTTTTTTCACGGATGAAAAATGACCCGAACAATCCAAAACGGTCCCACTACCAGAAAATCAATTACTATACTCAAATTTCCTGAGTTAACTTTTTTTTCTGAAGTTTTTGTCCAAATAGTGGAATGGAGCAGAAAAACGTAAAACGGATTAAATTAAAATCGTTCACAAATAACTCATTGTGGTAAAAACTACAGTCGGATAAGCATTATGATGTTGACCGAACTTATAATCTAACCAATTAAAATCATCTGTCCCCTGAAAATAGTGATGACCATGGTGCATTGACATAAACGCTATGAAAAAATGGGAATTTGACTGCTTAAAGAATTTTGTCGCCATATCAAATGCACCAATGACTCGCAAATTGAGTTGTATCCTAAATTACACTGACAAAATTGAACATACAGAACAGCAAAGAAATTAAGCCAATCGTTGATAGGGGTCCTGAAAATAGGGTTATGAAGTTATGGTACCTAGTGGGTTTTGAGCACGAAAATCATCTTGCCCAGTGCATGAAGCATGACCTTCAGGGCATAATCCAAGCACGTGGTGAAAAGACTAAATAATAAGGTAACTTCTGAGGAAAATTGGTTTTTCTAATATCTGCAGTTTCGAAAAAAAGACATTTTCTTTGCAGTAAAAAATGTTACCGGATTAAATTTACACCCTTTATATTTAAAATTAGATCGTCAGCCTACTTTATCATAAAAATACCTCCGTGATAGCTGAGCATTGAGAAATCTCTTAGTGGAGAAATTCCTCACGAATTACATGTATTTACGACCAATGGCATTACTTTTCACCCACCTTCCAACGTTCTCTCGAGATTTAGAAGAACTTCGAAGCAATTGATGTACTTCTGAGGGCCAGATGGTCCCATGATAAACCTGGCGAAACAAAGGTAGCACGGAAGGATGAAGCTGACAATGTATGTCAGACAAAGCGTTGACTTATACCACCTTCCTCCGCGTGACGTAGACAAGTGGTAACATCTGACCCACAAGGCGGGAAGTATGAAGAATGCCGTAAAAATGTTTGCTACTCGAAAGGCTTGGATGTGCCAGTTTCTCTTAGGTGGTGTAGCACGAGCATGTTTAGTGTCCCATTCCAAATAATAAGTCGTGTACAGGGTTGATCGCTGTTTGAAGAGGATGGCGTTACGTAATAGACTTCTAAAAACAATTTCTAGCATTCTTTATTCCCAGCAAAATTTCCCCAGGTTTCACCACGTATTTCTGATTCGAGCTCAAAGTAGGCAATAAGTGAGTTACTAAACGGCCGAAGTGTTTTTATTGTTTCTCTTCAAGAGCACCTTGACTAATTAAAGGGAAAATTCATGGGTAATTTATATTATAAAAAATTACCCAAATTAAAACGTCCAAGTTTATTGGTTTTAATATTTGCAGACCCTGAATTAAAATAATTTTGAATCCGTGGACAGAATTACGAAAAAACTTTTACAAAGTGAGGAAATAAGTTGCCTTACTGAACAATTTTGTACTTTTTTATTGACCTGATTGAAGATTCGTGTGCCTTATTAATTAAAACGGAGCAATTAGTGCAAGGTTCGGTCAGCTAGTACCTGTATAATTTCGATTTTTTAATTACCACTTTAAATTATTTTTGAATTAATGAAATGCAGCAGAAAAAAATGAAAATCGTATATCATATTTACATATTCAACTTGCACTTCTAAATTATTTAATACATACATTGCTCAAAAATATTAAAACCCACTCATAACATACTGCGATGCATTAAATTTTTATTATCAGAAGATAACACTAATCTGCCCGGCTGATTAAGTGCTTGTCATGCCATCGAGATCTCTACCTGCATTGCAAACCCACTACCTGATCATGCACACATTGCCTGACTGCGAACGTGGCAATCAGACTGGAGCTCCAACACCATCCATTCTATAAAAATAATATTTAATACCCAAATTTCCTTTAATCATTAATAATAAATTATAATGTTGACATCCAACAAAACTCCAATAAAACATGTGCTCACCTTTGCCCTTTTGTGTACCCTCTCATTCCCGAGTGTTTGGGCCCAGTTCTTTTCTATGGACTATAAGGAAAGTGCTTATCGAGAGCAGCACTCCCTAAACAGACCCTACGCCGATAGTGGACACTGGGATGGATTTGGTGCGGCTGCAATAACCCCAGAATATATTCGGCTGACTCCAGATCTCAAATCGCAACAAGGGGTAGGTGAATGAACAACGCATTTCACACTAAAGGAACGTCCATATATTACGTCATCATTTTAGTGGGTGGGGGGTTTAGGTCCTCCTATCTTTCCCATGTTAAAATTCCGAGAGGGTAGATAGGGGCTGAGTTCGAAAATATTTGATGACGAAATATATGAACGGCCCCTAGCTTAATTATCAAAAAAAGTGTTTAAATTATAAACTACCTGTATCTACACTCTTTGAATCTTGGTATTGAAGAAAACTAAGTGCATTGATATGTGATTTAAAGTATTAAACCGATATGCCACACTTATATTGAACTGGTATTGAAATCACACCACGTAGAAATAATTTAAATACTAATTGGTATTGAGTTTCTTACCACGTATGTATTTAGTCGTATTTCAATTCCAAGTCAGTAGGAACACGGTAGAATCGCATAATACTCAAGTAGAGATTGATTTTTTAAGGGTGTATCTTCCACCAGGGAATCTGGAATAACAAACGCGTCGATATGCGGGGCTGGGGGGTTCACATTAATTTCAAAATTCACGGACAAGGCTCTATAAATGGAGATGGGATAGCCTTCTGGTACTCCAAGGAACGGATGATGCCCGGTCCCGTATTCGGATCAAAGGACTATTTCTCAGGTCTCGGGGTTTTCATCGACACCTTCGGAAACCACGTGTCTCCATCCACTGCTTCAAGAAGTGAATCACACCGCAATCACGAACACCCTTACATATCCATCATTGTGAATAACGGAAGTCAGAAATATGATCATGATCACGACGGGGGTCATCAAAATTTGGGTGGATGTTCGGTAAAAGTTCGAAACAAAAATTCCACCCAAATCCTGGTCCGATATGACATCAGTATGCTCACCGTACTTCGCGACGTCGATGGGAAAGGGTTGTGGGACATTTGCGCCCAAGTGGATGGTATCGAGCTACCGACCGGATATTACTTTGGGCTCTCAGCCGCAACAGGGGATCTGTCTGATAATCACGACATTTTTTATGTCCAGGTGAGACAATTGGGTTGTTACCAGGGTTCGGAAAACCCACGGGGTTTTTTTGGAAAAGCCCAACCTCGAGGGTTTTGGTTGTTTTGTGGGTTCTTGGGAGGTTGTGGGTTTTTGTGGGTTTTCATAAATTTTAGGGCAGGTTTAACCAAAATTTCCAAAGTTATATATTTGGGAAAAACTTATTTAATGTACGAATTTATCATGCAGTTTTAATCGTTATGATTGACTTGGACTGTTAAATCGAAAATTCATGTTTAACATTGAACCTGGAAATATGCAGTGATACTTGGAAATTCAAGCCGCACATAAAAATTCTTAAAACTTCCTGATGAATCCGACAATTTAATTAGCATTCATCTCAGTTGTAGTTTAACGAATTTTATTTCAATCTGCCTTAAAATCTTACAAAAAAATGGGAAAACCCTCAAAGACCTACAAATATCCGCAAAAACCCCATTAAGCATTAGGGTTTTTCCGGAGATTTGATACCCCAAAAACCCACAAAAGCCCCAACCCAGAAAACCACGAGGTGGCGAACCCTGGTTGTTACCGGTTTGGGAAATAAGCACTCCCGTATTTTAACGGGCCCAGAGCACGTGCTCACCTGCTTAACATTGGGGGCGGGCTGAAATTCAAACCTATGGTGCTTATTTAAAAAAACGTGTAATAACCACAATCTCTAAGTGACTAATACAAAAGGCGTTAAGACATGGTTTTGACGAATTCGCGGGTGAATATCTCTGGCGGGGAGTTGAATTTTGAACTGATTTTTGGTCAGTTGTAAGATAATACTCTCAAAAAGATATATTTAAAATTTTAGGCCGATAGCTTTATAAATGCCCCCTCCAGTGCCCCCAGAGTTGGAAGGAGCCAAAAAAACACTTTCCAAACTGAATTACTCATATAGCATGATAACCTAAGAGGTCAGAGGTGAATGATTGTTAATATTACAACCCTAGATAATCATTGCATGTAATAATAAAAGAATCTACATGAATTACATAATGTTGGGCCTCCATCGTCGCTGATACTTTTTCATGAAAATTGATAAATTGGACCGTGCACAGGAAAATTGACCTGCTGACCTTGAACGCGGACCCACTCGGTCAAATGAAGATTGAGGGCAAAGCTCTAAGTGTCCCAAATAATATTAAATTAAACAGTGAAGATTTTGTGTAAACAGTTTTGGAGAACGACCCTAGCTAATCAGCTGTCGCGGAATCCTAAAAAACTCGTGAACTTATTTGGAAAATTAATGGTCAAATTTTTTAGAAAATAAATTTTACTAATCTTTTTGTGTCCCCTACTGCAGAACTATTTTATCTACAAGGTACAAGTGACAAAATAATAAAATTATTGCGTTTTGGTTAGTTAAATTATTTCTGAAGTTCGACATCGAAAACGACGGGAACTTTTCCAAAAATTTTATAAGGTCTGATGAAAACTCAGTCCGTGGGGTATAACCACTTATCAAAATTTTGTCAAAAGTACTTCAAGTGCAATATACTATAGGTACCTTGGATAAAAACCACGTTAGGGATTTTTAGCATCAAAGTCGTAAAATGTGGGGGCCTTAAAAGTGGAAGAGTTGCGTTAAAGAGCGCATTCCATTAAGACAAGTATGAAATTAGACTGCAAAACGGACTTAAAAGATACGCATAAGGCAAACGTGGTTTTATATAGTGAAAAGCATGCTAAGTCCCTTAAAAATAGTCGCAAAGACGATTTTTGCATCAGGACCTAAGAAAAAAATATTTAGTTCAACGCCATTTTATAAGAACACTGGTTTGGAAAACTAAAAAAGGACACCTCTCCAAATTTGACCTTGCCTCATTTCGCAGAGTACACAAAATCGGAAGCCAGACATGTTTACCTATAGTTTGAGACATGGGCTTTCACATAAAACAAGTTAGAAATCTCTACGACTAAAAACCATCCCGCAATTAAAGTATGAATTCGTCAAAACCATGTCCTAACGCCTTTTGTATTTTTCCATATTTGCACAGACGTACGAGGCAAACAATAACGAAATGGGTGTCCATAGGTAAACTATTGGTACATACCTATGTAACTACCAAATAATTATGATGATGTGTGAATATCTGTAATGTCCAAATAATAGGATACACGGGAGTAGGGACGGTATTATTCCATCCGCAAGAAGAGATAGATCACCACAGGATGAAGGTGGGGCCTGGTCTGTCATCAGAATTATTCTAGTTTTAGGGGCTGTAGGTGTAATTGCCGCATGTGGATATGGACTGGTCGCCATTACTGCAACTAAACCTAAAGGAACGTAATGAATTTGAAGGAATGCTTAGTTCGAGAGCAACAAAGTACTTAAAGCTATGTGTTAATAAATGTTTTAAGCAATTTTAAAGATTATCATTGCAATATTTAGCCATACATTGGCACTTGCACGGTGTTCGATTGTACTTCGGTTAAGTACGGATGGCTCGCAATGCGATTTTTGATACGTCCAGTGGCCGCGGAAGCTTGGGGACATGGGGACAGTCAATGTATTTGTCCCCACATTATCGTGAGGGTTTTTTTTTTTTTTGACTCAAATAAATTTAGGGAATTTCAACCCTTTATTACATATATTTAAGATTAGTTCGTACAATGAGAATTCCAAACACAACTATTCTAAAAAAAAACAATTTCATTCATTCACGAAAAACTGAAAGAAATGGCTTTATATGATAAGGAAATAAGAAGATTCAGCCTAACCTGACACCTAAGTTGTTGACATACCCACGACGCCAGGTAATGGGTTGGGATCCTCCCTGGGGCTGTGGGTATGTCAACGCGTCCCTAACCTTACCGATGCCAAGTGCTAGGAAATGACTGAAAATAAAGAACCTTCCCAACCCGGGTACGCTCGCATTTTTTGAAATTTCTATAGGTTCTTTAAAAGAATTTAGGAAAGATGTGCCAAATGCAACTTAATACAAGAAGTAAAATTACATGCTAATTACAGTTTAGTCTCCCACGCCGGTGGATCTTCTTGGGAGGAGGACTTTACTTGTGTCATCAGGGGTAGGAATTAAACACTGCCTCTGACTCACTCTGCTTCATGACCACGTTATTTAGTACAATGACAAGTCAATAAATAATTCTTAGGAAGAGATTTGTAGAATAATACATGCTTATGTAAGAATATTTTAACTACCTGAAGGTGGGAAATTTTATCAAAATATTATTTTAAATTGAGATTAATGTTTATTCTATTGTTGATCATAGTGTATAGTTTATATTTTTTCCATTTTCGATGGAAATTGTCCATCAAAACTTTCCCACCTCGCATGCAAACATGGAATTCAGACAATATTCGTCCGAAAACCATGTGCCTAAAGTGGGACAAATAATCAAAATTGTCCCCAAAGTGATTTAGAAAGTGAACATAGGACTTATATATCGTGCAAAGACCACAATAAATAAATATATTATCGTACTTCATATTTCGAGACCCATTAATCCCTGATCGAGACATTAGTCAGGTCTCTGCTGAGAATTTTTGAAATAAAAAGCCAGAGGGGCTGAAAATGGATACATTTAAAATAATGACTAGATTTTATATCTTTAAATGGACAAAAGGGGCAATCCCTACCCTCATGTATGCCCATTGACTCAGCCATTTTTGGCGTTAGACCAGTATTGTGCAAAAGTTTATAAATTACGTCTTTCTCTGGATTACTCACCTCGCTTTTTTGAAGGGTAAGCCAGGCGGAATTATTTAAGGTGTCGAGTGATACCTCAGACCATTTTATTTTTCGCTATTCGTGAGGGTTATGTACATACATAAAAAACGTGCATCCTTGAGGACTAGATAAGACTAGAATCTGAAAATTATGGTTACGAATGTATATTTATAGTAATCATAATTATTCCCCTGTTTGATATACAAATACTGACATAATATTGTGTAAAGTGATGTTGTGAACATCACTGAAAAAACCAGTAATGCATTTGTATACATGAATTAGAACATTTGTACACAAACAATCGCGCTGGTATTCAAAGTTTGATCATTAATAAACGTGCCGATAGCTTATTTGCGTTGATGAACACTGGCAACTTTGAAATTTGTGCTACCTATTATATGTAACCGAAAAGAAAATCTTGTCGGTACAAGCACATCGCACCACGTGGGTCTGTTTGTACACTCGAATAGCTACAAAATAGTGTAGGATCGTCACGAGGGCTATGTGCAGTTTCCGAGAAAAAATCCAAACAATTGGGTTCTCCGCACAAATTATATGCATTCATTTTCAAACTTACCCGGATATTTCTCGGTTATCTTGTCGGTACAAGCACATCACACCACGCGGGTCTGTTTGTCCATGACATGCTTGTTTTTGATGAAGGGGGTCAATCTCTTTATGACACATCTTTCAATTAGAGTTTAGAATTCAAAGTCTTGCAAATAATAAATAATAGTTCCTGAGAAAAGCTATGTCCACTCTCTTCGCTACTTTCACCGATCCCAGGAGGGCAGGTCGGCAAACTGATTTTTTGAAATTTGCATTTCCACGTTCCTCCTATTTGTCCAGTACTCGGTTAATTTTGTTACAATGGATTCCTCCATTTGGAAAAAAATTGCGAGTGTTTTTTCGATCCCTGAAACAAAATTTTTCGTACGTTTTGGCAAAACCGTTTTGCGACTTTGTCGGAATTTTTTGCTCTCATTTTAGAACGAATAAGGATAACGGATTTTGGTTTTCGGATTCAGAAAGCTGATTAAATTCCGAATGAGATGTAATGGGCTGTCAGAATTTAACATGACTCCTAAAACAATTAAGCGAGCGCGGCAAACTGCCACTTTCATTCGTATCATGCCCTTACATGGATTGGGTATTTACTGACAATTTATTAATTTTCTTTCAACAAATTGCCTAATGAGAAAACTGGTATGAATGCTGTAAAATTGTGATAGGCGTCAAAGGACAAGGGTGTTGGTTATGTGTAATTGAAGTTGAAGTTCGTTTACCATTTACGAAGACATTCTTAGCATTGCAAAAAAAACTTGAGGAAACTATTTTAATAAATCGTACTTCGCATCATCATAAACTAGAAAATAACCTCAAGGTCTTAAACTGGATTTGGTCAACAGAAGAGAGAATATGACTTAATACATACCGGAAACTTTACAAAGAATAACATATTGCAACAATATGTGACGACGAGAAACTGGTCAATTTGTTTGTTTCCATTTGAAATTGTTTTCGAGACCTCTGAATAACTATTCCTACATGGAGCGCTTCAAATCAGAAGTGATCTTGGAAACATTTCCCAGACAAGCAACGTTTACGATTTTTAGAAATAAAAACCGTATTCTTTTGCGAAAGAGATGCAGATCAAACTAAAATCGTCCAAAAGATTCACCACTGGACTCTTGCCGATGAAGGCATGATCCAAGAAATTTGACGTTAATCTGGAAAATTAGAGGCCTAGATTACTAAGTACTTAGATTGTGAAATCAAGAAGTTGTTTTGTCGACTTTTTTTCGACAAGTATGTCCCCACGGTCAAAATCATCTTCCGCGGCCACTGGATACGTCCGTACTGAAATACCGATGGACATTTTTGCAGTGTACATACCAGGGTTGCAGAAATCTCGTCTCACCTTCACAAATCTCATCTCACTGAGATATAGTGAGAAATAGTGAGACATGAGAAATATGTGAAATAGTGAGATTTATGAGCCATGCACTAGCGCCACCTAGCGGACGGGGTCATGAACTACAAGTTTATCTCATTATTTCTCATATTTCTCACTCAGCCCCAAGTGAGATGATTGATATAAATCATTAAATCTCACTAAATCTCACTAGGTGATGTATATCACTTGTAACCCTGGTACATACATGTACCTAAAAAATATTACTTCAAAAATACCATAAGGTATACCTTATGCTTTTGCACTACCTTTCAATTGAATTTGAACAAATAATATGAATAACCTAACTCATTATGCATACACGTGCTCACAAATCGTTTGTCGAGTCAAACAATTTTTCCAACAATGATACTGTTGCGAAATAAATATATATTTACCCTGCACACCTATATATCTACGTGACGTAATAAGCACTTGTATATAAGACGTCAAACCTTTGCCCCAAATTATTGTTACCTTTGCGGAACAAATCCTAACCAAAATGGTTGATTACCATTCCGTAGGGTAAAGAATTTTCGTCGTGTTATTTTGACTGAAAGTTTACGAAATACTTAAAGGCAAATTATAAATACCTAAAATGAAATTCTGCCGGATATAACAATCCCAAATATAGTGCTACAATTTCGACAATGATAATGTAGAATAAATGATTTATTTTTACTACATGAACTGCCATACTTACCTGGAAGTAAGTTAGCAAGCAAAATGAAAATGTAAAAACTAAAAGGAGTATAATATTTGGCATAATGGTTTCCCGACAGAATTAAAAAGTAAGTAATCGTATTTGTTAAAATTTTGTAGTCGTTAGGTTAAAATTCCCAAAAAAAAACAAGGTTCAAATGACACATACAACAAATAACAAATTACACATATAACAAATTAAATTTAATTGCCTTTAAGCATTAACAGATTAAGATAGATAATTATAATTTTCTCACATTTATGCACATTTATTTTTCGGGATTCGTTATTGCCCGGGATTTTTGTTGGGTTGCTAAAGAAATTCTTTGACGTTGCTAACGAAATTTAAGACGGCCAAAATTTATCGTTTTTAACGCATATCGTCGTACTAATTCTAAAAAGACCGAAGTGCAGTCGATAGTTAATTTTAAAAAGACCGAACTACAGAAAAAAATTCTAAAAAGACCTAAGTGCAAGCATGTATTTACTTATGGCAATATCTTGGCAAAACGATTCTTCATACTTCGCGCGATTTAGCCATAAGTAAATGCATACTGGCACTTAGGTATTTTAAGAATTTTGTTTGTAGTTCGGTCTTTTTAAAATTAACTATCGAGTGCACTTCGGTCTTTCTAGAATTAGTACGACGATATACGAAAATTATTAGGATAACTAAGTACATAGTTCTCGATCTAGTGCAATGTAATCTAAAACGATGTTATAATTAAAGTGCAAACTATAACTTCATAACTTCAAATTGTTCAGTAATATGCAAGGTAGTTTTATTTAAGGTTGCTAAGGAATATGTTTAACGTTTTTTAAGGTTGCTAGGCAATTTCTAAGCAGCTGCTTGTAAATTTTTGGTGTCCGACATTTTACACACAATTATTTACACATATAATAATTTACGCACCTAACCAGTTACACACAATTACTTACTCACCATCATTTACACAACTTGCACAACTGAAAATTACCCTCTTTCGTATCACTAATTTTTTAATAAAATTTCTATTTAGGCGCCTGATAGCATGAAAACACGAAAAATTCACTTTTTGACATTGGTCGATATAGGGAAAACTCAGAATTATAAAATAATAAATAATAATAAATAATAAATAATAAAATTTCAGAAAAAAAATATCGAAACAAATACACTTTTTGCAATCGAGGTTTCCACAATATAAATATACTCACTTTCTTGGGAAATTATAGTAGTAAGGTCAAAATCGAAGAAAGCTAATTCATGGCTACCGATTGTTAATTTTGCCCGTTCTTATTTTTTATTATAAAGAAAATGTGTCTAATATAAAGCATTTTAACTAAAAGTTCTGTATTGTTCTATGTACTCTTTAATAAATTTAATTATAATATCCAGCCTGGACATGTCAGACGTAGAGTTGCAAGGGAGTGAGACGTGTTCCCTGGGTTTTCTGCTGCGAGCTTCATCCTTAATTTGAACAATTTTTAGCAAGTTCTCCATGTCATCGGATATTACAGACGAATTTTTCCCACCTTCGCAAACTTGTCCCTCGTCCTCATCTAGGATACTTTGGTCAGGTGAAGAATCTTGGTCACTGAAATTTTCAGTATCGACATCGCTTGTGTATTCCGAACTCTCGCTGCAATCATTTTCAGAAATCTTGAGCTGCATAGCTAACTCCAATACCGTTAGCCCGTCTATATCCTTAAAGTCAAATATTCTCCCCAAGTTTTTTGATACTATGAAGGCCAGATTTCTGAATAGAAGAAAAAATATGCTCATCCTTTAGCATCGCATGGAAAAATGGGTCACCATTTTGGTTCGTTATCTCCGGCGAAACCTTGTTTTCCACAAGAATATCGAGAATATCGTAGAAATGAGTTGATTTGAATCTTTGTCCCTAATACCAAGTACAACATGCATAATGCCATGCATTCCATAAGTTTACTGGGTTTCTGAAATGACAATCTGCTCCATGCTCAAGCAATATTTTTATGATGTCCGACTGCGGGCATGATTCCCGGCAAGCATTTTCAATTGCCCGCATAAGCGGATTGTCTCCATTTTTATCGGGAAAATCAATTTGAGGCTTCAGAACTGACATATTACTTAGAATAAAATTTAGCGTATTCTTATTTCCACGCCTAATCGCAATTATGAGAGGTAACCTTCTATGGTCATTTTTTTCGTATATTAATTCAGGATATTTCGACAAAATCCGGACTCCCACTCGATAAGCCAGTTTTTCATTTGCAACCCATCCTGTTGCCAAGGCGTGTAAGGTAGTATATCCTTTAAACCCTTTGGCCTCTGGATTTGCATTTTTACTCAATAAATATTCTGCCATTTCGAACTTTCCCCACGACATAGCGCGCACTAGTAAGTTGTCAGAGTCGCTTCGTGATAGAAAGTCTCCTTGTAAATCAAACCCCTCCACCAGTTCAATAAGCGCCTCTAGGTTCATGTGCATGCAAGCCTTAACTGTAGTTGTGATACCCGCGTTCCAAAGTGTTTCACAAATATCACTTCGATTAGCCTTAAGTAATCGTATAAAATCTTGACCAAGTCCGTGCAAATCATTTCTTAAAGCTGATGGCAATGCATACTCTACCAATATTTTCTTGACTGCATTTTTCTCTCCAAGTGCTTGAATTATTTGTTTAGTTTCGCTGAAAAATCCTTCTTTCATCATTAATGAAAGTGATCCTTTCTCCAAAAAATATTTTCTGAGATGAAAAGAAAGTCGTTATTATTTTAAACAAATCATACCAGCGATACTTAATGAATGGGACGTACCTAATTATATCATCGTGGTCTGCCACGTGCGACCACAGAATAGCAATTGGTCTTTTGATCCTATAATAGTCGAGAATATCTTCCTCGGTATCATTAAATTGCAGATAATCCTTGCATCCGATAATGTCATCCAATATGTCATGTTCACGTGCTTCATCTCTTTGTATTGATATAAATGTTTCTTGAATTAAGCGATGAAGCTTAGCTTATAATTGAAGCTTGAATGCTCAGAAGTTGTGTAATTAACTAAGGAGAATGTCGAAAGGAATGATATGGCACTTTTGAAGACTTCGACTGACCCACGCAGGCCCAAACTCTCGTTTAAAATTTGGTCAATGTCGTGTTTAATAGTGGAGATATAATTCAGGAAATACACAATGGGACAACTAATGTCGAAATAGGCATATCTCTCAATAATATGTATTGCTAGTGAGGCATACAAATGATTCGATTCCATTAATTTGTCGAGAGTAATTTTAACACAAACGTATAAACTTTTCTTGTACTGCAAGTTCAGGTTGTCTTTCTTATTGGGATCGTGTGGATATCTAATAATTTTGGATTTGTCCTTCATTGCTTCAACAAATTGGACGATTGTGTATGAACTGTGAGCGATGGTTCCTGCCATAATACAGAGAATTATTGGTATTCGGTCGGACTCGGCGACCAGGAGGGAAATATCAGATTCAGCCGACTCTATGAATAAAATTGATCAAAACGCAAATTAAATTTTAAGCCAAAGTTCTTAAAAGGATACAATAACTTTGCCCCAGGTTAATCAATTTAATTATAGCAGTTTATGGCAAGCTTCTTTTAAATTTTAAATTACCCGGCAATATCTTGGATACCAATTCTCTAGCTTCACCTTCTTGTAAAACGTCCACCCTAAAACTTCCAATTTCCCCCATTCCACTCAGAATTATAATCTTTTCCACAGATGTCAGTAAGACGGCTATATTGTCCACGTTTTTGTTAAGCGGTAAATATTTCTCGATTTCTTCAAATCCATTTACATTGTCAAATATGACTAAAAATTGTTGCGGACTTTTAGAAATTAAGAAATCGTAAAATCTATTGGCCAGCAGAAGCCCATCATTCTCTTGGAAATCTTAAATTCATTGATTGTGTAATTCCCTTCGAATTTTTTCTATGATTCCAGTTTCGTGTTCTGCATCTATCCATATTACTCCATTAAATATTTCCTCTTGAGCGCATCTGTTTGCAATGCTTTGTGCAGTTTGTGTTTTTCCGTGACCTCCAAGACCGTACAGATCGACGAGGGGAAACCCAACCTGGTGACTTGGATTTTTCCCCCATTCTGTGAGACATTTAACAATGTCTTCACTAAGTTGAGTTCTGCCAGTGAAATTTTTATCAGGCTTTGGAAAGGGCAAAAAGAGAATTCGTTCTTCCTTCTTCTTCTTGGCCTATTAGAATCATGTTATTTATCAACTCCGTCGAAAAAGCACAATAAGCAAACAAAGTGATAAAAATCTGTAGGAAATTACCTCTGGTCCCACGTCTCCATCTGGGTTGGATTCAACTGAATTATCCGTTCTAAAGCCGACAAAAAATAAGTTTTGTTAGAATATATGTAGTTAGATAAAGATCACGGAAAACTTAAAAAAATTCATTACTGGTTTAAAAAATGGGCCTCGATATCATCTAAAATAATAAACTTATTAAGAAAACTTGTTATAGTAAGAAAATCTTTTCTGAATATTTTCAAATAAAGAATTTCGCAGGCCAGGTTCACATTGAATTTGAACCTGCCACCAACGTTAGTCAAATAGGGTCGTAATTATGGCTTGTAGAAATCCTGGCCTGTTCAATTATTTACTTGGCAATAGTAGCAATGAGTATTTTACTAGATATCGTTTTAAGTCCGAGTTGACTCAATATTTTGCATAATTCTCCCACGGTAGCTTCCCCTCTGAATGCGGCGACCCACTCCTGAAGCATTTTTTGGAACAGGATATCGTATTTTAAAAGGCCCATCACCACTTGGGGATAATGTCTTGTTTCGAATTCAGCACCTAAACCAAGTTCGTGTGATATGTGGATCCAGTTTTGCATAGTGATTGGATCTTGCACCATGATTTTTGCGATAATTTGTTGATCTCTTGTATGAGTAAGTACTAGAAAAGAAAGAATATGTAACACAACCCAAGTTTGAACATGAAAATTTCAAAGTACTACAAACCTCTTTCCATTGTAGATATTTAGAGTTAACTGATTATATTTATCTGTATTTGCTTCGTACATATATAGGTATGTATTTATTTACAAGCCCTGAGATGATTACAGCTGCTATTTTTTGTTGCTTAAGTGTTGCAAAGCATACAAATAGCTATACATACAACTTGTTAATCAATATTTTCGCTAACGTCGTAATACTTGCTTACGTTGAGTTGATTTGAATGAACTCAGTTGATCTGAATGAGATGAGAGGCGATACTGGTTTACATATTTTCCATAACTTTTTTATATGTGAAATATGGCTGAAGGAATACAAAAATCAATTCATGTTATAGGGGTGTGATTGTGTCATACATATAGGAATGTCGGGCTTACCAATACGGGCACTCATTAGGAAAAAGATCTGTTTGCTTGTTCATTCTTGATAAGCTTATCTAAACTAAACAATTTGTTTCAGATAAACTACCAAACCTAACGTATTATAAATTTAAGCATATGAAATGTATCCAACAAAAGTCATACGATGAGACTTTTTATGAGATGATAATAAAATATTGTTTTAAATATATCGCTTATTTCGATGCTGAAATGAGCGTGTTGGATTTTGGATTTAGCCAGGAATCTCCATATTTTATATAATATATTTAGTTTCATCTAATTATATATTTCGAAAATGAGTAATTTTACATGAAAAACTGAGATACGTGCTCGACCTGATCGTTCAGCGGCCAATCTCTCCCGCTGGAAACCCGACGGTCATATGCTCGTCACAAATATCGTCACAACTTGACGAAACGTGAATATTACATTGAAATTGCTTCAGTTCGTTGAATAAGTCATGTGGGGTTTAACGTACGCGTATTAACTCATGGCGGTTGCATACAGGCAGGATAGGTAGGACAGGTAGATTTTAACTAGGTAGAGTCGGATAAGTTCCATTTGGACAGCTACAATTGCATAATACTACTTTGGACAGCTACAATAGCCATACAACTAATAACTCAAAATTACGACGTATAACTTAATTTATAAATTATAAGTCAAGGAAGCGGCATATTATGTAACTGGACTTATAGTTTTAGTTATAAGTAATAGTTTTAAGCTAAATACATACATATGAGTAGCAATAATGAAAACCGGAATCTCGAGGGCCACAAAAAAATTTGATTTTGTTAAGATTTGCATAGTTGGTAGAGGTGATTTTTGTGAGTGCAGAGGTACCAATACTTTGCTTCAACTCCGCCCCTTTCTCTAGGGGGAGTGGCCGAAATTGACAAAAATTGCAAATGGGGCAGCAGATTTCAAGATGCTAGGTAAAGATATCGAGATGCTACTTGCGCCAAAAGATTCGTAATTTTTTTCTCTACAACCCGAATCGAGCATTTAGGGAAATTCGAAAAACGAAATTTCGAAAAATAACTTTAAAAAAATTTTAATGAAAATTTGAAGTCTCACGACACCCAATAAATGGGGTATCGTTGGAAAGGTCTCGGGGAGTGGATTAAGAATATATATACTTTTTGGGGTCTGGGACCACCCCCTGGAAGTTTAGAAGGCAAAGAACGAAAATCTGCGGTTGTCCAGAATTTAACACAGCAGTGGATTGGGAGCTAACACGGAAGAACGAATGGGAAAAATTCAAAAATATTCTTCTGGCCCTATGTTCTCAGGGGGTGGTCCCAGACCCCAAAAAGTATATATATTCTTAATCCACTCCCCGAGACCTTTCCAACGATACCCCATTTATTGGGTGTCGTGAGACTTCAAATTTTCATCAAAAATTTTTCTAAGTTATTTTTTGAAATTTCGTTTTTCGAATTTCCATAAATGCTCGATTCGGGTTGTAGAGAAAAAAATTAGGAAACAAATGGTGAAAGTAGCATTTCGATATCTTTATCCATCGCGGAGAAATCCGCTGCCCCGTTTACAATTTTTGCGAATTTGGACCCCTCCCCCTGGGGGAAGGGGCGGAGTTGAAGCAAAGTATTGGTACCGCTGTACTCACAAAAATCACCTCTACCAACTATGCAAATCTTAACAAAATCAAATTTTTTTGTGTCCCTCGAGATTCCGGTTTTCATTATTGCTACTCATATGTATTTTATGCGGTCCTGCAAATATCTGTATGTGAAGTGTTAGGAAGACGTTATCATTCTCATCAGTTTATGATTCTTCTATTGTGAAAGTCATACACAGACAAACGCCAAGTTGATACAAATAGGTAAGCTCTTTCTATTTAATAATTTAATATATTATCGATCACTGGACTCTACACGACCAGACAACTTGACCAAATACCTTATTCCTCCGGCTGACCAATAAAAAATCATCAGCTTGGTCATTTACTTAGGATTAGTTCCTCTACTTCGTGTCTGCCCCTGTAAATATTCTTCGTTTCCTCAAGGTACGCTCTTGCATCTGAAATACCAGACATGGCTGTATAACATAATGCTTGAACGGACAACTTTTTCAGACGAAACGAAACCTTGCATACGTCTTACATATACACATTTATTAATTAATAAAGGCATAAATGTGTATGTGTATACATATACCTATACAGAAAGTAATACATAGTGTTGATTTAATTTCTGATCACTTTGAGTACAGGTTCGAATACATGTAATTTTGAAATGAAAAACTTTTTATTGACCAAATCGTTTATAGATTGTAATACCGTATATTCTGGGTGTCCTTAGACGATTTTTGATGTACTGAAGTTTTGTCCTGAAAATTTTAGGACGGATTTTCCAAAACAGTTTTGGGATTTTTTTTTCAACATGGCTTGAAATTGTAGAATTTGAGAAACACTATCGCGTGGAACTAAATTTAAAGGTGACCGCCGAAATGTATTTTTTCGCCGCGTCTACAAACCTCGTTGTTCATAACTGGATTTCTCGAACCACTGGGACAGAGCTTTTATCAAACGGCGTTACCTTGAGAAATTTTGAGTTCATCATGGTTACCGATAAACCGTCTATAATACAAGGCTTTCAAACCCTGTACGCACCGTTTGATATGATTACATGGCAATTTTTTCTGTATTCTTTCCTCGCACTTGCTTTTATGATGCAACTGCTCTCACCAAAGAAGCAGTGTTACCCTCGCGCGATAGTGGCGTCTTTGGGGAATAAGATTTTCTGGATTTTATCAAACTTGCTCGGTCAATCTGATGGAATCTTGCTTATCGCTTCAAGAAAGACATCCATCCTGTTTCCATTATTGCAGTGTTGGTATTTGGGTTGCATGTTTCTGGGAAATTTCTATCAAGGCGAGGTATATTCTACTCTTACAGCACAACAGATACCTTCCTTGCCAAGAACAATGGTTGAACTGATAAATTCTAAGTTTAAGATTTTGACCTTGTCGTCAGTAAATGTTTCACTAAATCGTAATTCCATTGCACTCATGTCAAGTTTGCAATATCATTTGAAATTAATGTTGGACGCGTCGGAAGAAAGTAGTCGTTCAACCCTATATCTCGGTGCTTTAATGAAACAAATAACTCATTTATTCATGTGTGAATCGCATGGTAAATGCCAATCGGATTCTTCTTTCTTATACGACAGTAACGGTACAGCTGTAAATACGAAAGGTACTATTGCTTTTATGGATTTCATGGAAAGAACAGAGCAGATCGTAAACCTCATGGGAATTAGTAACACGAAATTAGTTTTAGGAAACCAGGAAGATGTCAACTTACGAATGGCCGTTTTGACTGGTATCAGAAATTATGTATTGCCATTTATCAACTTTGCTTCGGGACAGTTACACTCGTCTGGCTTGTTGGAACGATGGAAGTTACTGGGAAATTTCCGTGCACTGTATTACGATGTGGGAATCCTTTTTGGCACTTATAATTCAGAGTATTTTAGGAGAAGGAGGGTCAACGCCAAGGGCCCAGTTGTGTTTAATGAGTCAAAACCAGTATCAGTGAAAGTAATAGAGAATTTGGTCATGGTATTTGGAACACTGTTATTTTTGGGAGCCGTAGCATTTGCAGGTGAACTTAGGGAAACGATTATACTTTTCTTTACACGTATTTTTTTGGTGATTGGGAAAAAGGTTAGGAAATTATGGGCGGGTATCCGATCAATCACTATTTTGAACTTAAATACTACGGCACATAAAAGAAAAAGAATCACATGAGGTTAGGAAATCACGTGATGAATGAGGTGGGGCTTGGGTTAGATCTAAAACTAAAGGTCAATAGGAATTTTGTGCAGTTTGAGTTACTAAAAAATGTGGAAGAGTTGTTGTTAGCAGTTTGTGTCATATTGCCTGTGACAGGGTGAGATATCTTGGCATATTTGTGCCTGCGTGGGATTTACCTACTTGTGTTGATATTTTGACAGTAAAACAGCAAGGGATAGAGCGGGACGGAGATGACTAAATAGTGAATAGTTGTGTACATTAATCTCATTACGTTAATCTCAGACGAACATATACTCCAACGTTTCCTACGGATAATTTAGCAAGATTGTTATATCTGTCATGTCCTGAAATAAATGATATTTAACACTAGTCCAATCTCTTCTCGAGTAGTTCCCGAGATAACTTAATTGTATACATATTTTCACATCGCTTAATCCACTAATAATAAACAACTAGCTTGGGTAATAAAGCATCAATTATTCATAATCGTAAACAGGCTAGAAGTATGAACTAGCTACTCAAGAACTAGCTCCTCAGCAGGTTAGCCCAACACGTAACATTCCATCGCCCCTGGATATTGTATGCATTGCTGCCAACGCCGTAAAAATGTTTAAACTACGTACAGAAATGTGATTTCAATGTATTATGCCCTGTTATTACATGAACTATTTGATGAATTTGTCGTCAATCAGTTGTTAACGTATTTTTTATTCATTTTAAATAGTCAACCCTTGATCAGCCTCTAAGTATTTACATAATCTTAAATATTCCCATACTAATTACGAATACCCCCGTAAAATTCGGCCTTTTTCAATGCATCCTTTAACTCAGCCCCCGCCTTAACCGTTTTCTCATCCCCTGCACCCAACTCCGCTTCACAACTGTCGTAAACTTCCTGCCGAATATCAACCGAACTCTTACCGAGAAAATCTAAACATTCCCCGTAGTAATTTCCCGCCTTCACTGTCCTATCTCCACTCCTACCAAACTCTTTTTTACAAATTGCATAAACCTTTTCCTGAATTTTTAAACATTCTAAAAAATTATGTTGGTCATAATATCGATCCGAAAGATTCTCCGCGACCGCCAGCGAGTTCACGTCATTCTCCCCGAAAACCCGGTTGACCGCCGCATACGCAGCTTTTAGCGTTTGCAGAGACACGATGGAATCATCCGTCTTTGTAAAATCGGCCACAAGCTCGATATACTTCCGGATTAAGACGTAATACCTCAAAATCTTGGGGAACACTTCGTAAAAACACGACTCTAAATTATACCTCAGAACGGCATCTTGTTCCCGGGCAAATAACTCTGTCAAAATTTCCAGAAATTTATCAAAAACTTTAACCTCTTGTAACTCAATTTGTAGCACGTTTTCATACACGTGTGTCACACATGGATGCGTTAAAACCTTCTCCGTCACAAGTTTACTGCACAGCACGAAAACGTAATTACTTTCGGAATCATATCCAAGCGATTTTAACTTCAATTCTTCCACAGAAGAGACAAATCCCGTCAAACTGCTGACCAGGAGGACGCCGGATTTTAAAAATGCGGAAAAAACGGTATCACAAATTTCCTCATGCTGTGCGAAATGTTGCAAAAATAGGGTAAAAGCTCTTTGCGGAACTCGCGCAGAACCAGTCAAGTCTAAATGACTAATTAATAAAATCAGTTTAAACGCCGACTCAATATGTTGCCGGGTAAAGGGTAGAAACCCGAACGCTTCGCAGAGTTGGATGGATATTTGTTGGTCAGAGGTTAACTCAAGTTTCAGCACTTGGGTCATCAATTGACCCAAGTTTCCAAGTTTTTCATCAATGCAAATATCAACCCAGGAATAATCCAGCTCCATGACGAGATCCCAGTCCAATTTTATGTCAGACTTTGTACTCGTCACTATGACAATTATGGAACAATCGTTGGTCTCCGCGTATTGGTGAAATTGCGATGCCACGATTTTAAAATAGGTCACGGAATATTTCTGCAAATCGTCGAAGACCATTATCCACGGGGATTTTCCACATGCCCGATTTGTCACGTGGTCAATCGCATTTTCCATGTCGTGACAATCTATCCACATCCGTGTCCCGCCTAGTTCCAGGCCTAGTTTTCGGGCAAGTTGAGACTTCCCGCAGGTCCGAGGTCCCCTTAAGGAGACCAGTTTAAGGCCGTTAACTACCACAGATTTTTTCCAAAAAGAGAGAAACTCCTCAATTTCGGGACCTCTGCCGCTAAATTCTTTGCAAGGATTGCTCCAATCAAAGGCGGCATTTCTGGGCGGGCCCAATCGGGCTATCATATTTTTTACCGCGGTGCTCGAGTACTGTTCAAATTTCTGCTTAACTTCGATCGAATTTAGCCTATTGGTCGGATCGCGGGACAACATTTTTTCTATTATGGGAACCCCTAACAAATTCTCGTCCCTGATGGCGCGCGTCGCTCGAGCGAAGGCCTCCTTTTGATCGATGCCTTGTCTCAACTCCATAAATGTGAGGACTCGAACCTCATAATTTTTTACCAGCTGATTGTTCAAAACTACTAAAAAGATTAAACCGAGGCTGTAAATGTCCGTTGATTCGGTGTAATCACGTTTTCCAAGAGACATCTCTGGGCTGTTGTACAGTTCCGGTATAATCGGATTTCTCGGCTTCCCCCTCAATTTCGCGGGATAGACCGAAGTCCCCGATTTTCCAGACGATGGCTCCATTCGGATCGTATTTTCCCAGAATGTTTTCAGGCTTAAGGTCCCTGTGGATTATACCGTTTGAGTGGATGACACTTAGACCGTGGGCCAGGTGGTGAAAGATGTCGAGATCCGTGACAAAATTGGCGGGTAGTTTGGCTAACCAGTCGCTTAACGTGATGTGGCATAGTTCCATGTGAATCTTGAAGAAATTAAGGGGCACAGGGGTATCCTGAGAACTTGAAACGGGCGGGATTTGATAAGTTTGGTCGTGAACTTCTTCCGAATTTGGACCGTCCACCCAGAAGCAATGGAACTTTGTGATGTTCTCGTCTTCAAGTTTTCTCCAGTTTTGGACTTCACGAAATAGCACGTGCAGCGGTCGTTTAAATGTCTCTATAGGAAGTTCCTTAAGGGCAAAGGGGTCACCTGAGGATCCTTGACAGTGGTACACGATACCAAAGGCACCTCGACCAAGTTCGGCTGTAATGAAAAATAATCCTATTTGAAGATACATTTCGAAGTAATTGTATCAAAATCTGGAAATCACATGAGACTATATTGAAAAATATTGGAGGTCGAAGTTCAAGCGTTTGCAAATTTTTACTAGTTGTTTTCATCCAGTGGGCCAAAAAAACCTAGAAGGTGAACTTTGGTCTCAAATATGTTTCCTCAAAGGAAAAGATAAGTGCCCCATGATTCAAAATTTTTGGCTTGATTTTTTAAATAACAGTTTAAAGTAAGGTTCAATTTTTAATAAAGAAATCAAAATTTATCAAATTTTGAGCCTCATTTATACCAGTCTATTCAAAAATATGGTTTCCACACTCTTAGCAACTTGGTAACAAAACCAAGAATTTCGTTAACACCAACCGTCGGTGTCAACCTCAATTCCACTAAACAGTGTCAAACCGTTGTGTAAAAATGACACTGAGCAAAAAAAACGCGTTGACACGCTACCGGTATCAGCGATATTCCTGCTGTGGTGTCGAATTGACACGATACGATGTTACAGCAGCAAGCGAGACCTGGACTTCACACCAAATTGTGTCAGTCTCTTCCTTGTGCACGGGTATGCTTGGCGGCCATTTTCCTTCCTCCTCCACGAAACAGTCAACACAATGGGTAAATTAATTGGTGTGTTCCATTGATTTCGATGGAAAAATTGTTTTTCAATAAGTTTAACGACTACTACAAATTTCTTGACTCAGGTGAGTTAAAATCTGTAACCTACATTAATTTTCCCTCATTTAATTAAAATTATTTTACTGTGTGTATTTTTATTTTGAAAACTTATTGTTTCCAGAAAGCTAAAACTCAAGACTGAACCAAACGAGGGAACCGACGAGTAAGGATTTGTCCACCCGACAGCCAATTTAATTATTACTAAATCTTTTTTGCAAACTTAATTTAACTTAACGATGTACTCATATTTTGATCATCACCGTGTTAAGTACATATAAGTTTTTTCTTTAAAAGTGCATAAGGTATGAAGAAAAAAATATTATTTGATATGTGCGAGTGTTATAATTTGTTACTTGTGAATATGTTTGAAATACTTTATTAATTTTTTAAGTGATTAATATTGTTGAACGTAAAATAAAATATTTGTTACTAAAAGTTGTAGTTCAGTTGTCACAATCCGGGGACGATTTGCCACCGGGTGGTGACATGCATATATTAAATTGCAGTCATATCGTTACCTAGCAGTGTCGAAGCAACATAACTGAGCACAACCTCTGATCCATTCGCGGTGTTGGTGTTGTCACTACGGTATGTTGGGTTGACACCGCCACGGTGTGCAACATAATTGACACCGCGCCGTGTCAATTTGACACCAAACCGGTAGAGTCATATATAGACACCGGAATGGTGTCAATTCGGTGTCGTTTTTTCTGTGAGTGCATCTTCATGTGAAGAACACGGATTCAATTCAGATTTCGGAGGGTTAGATTCGATTCGATTTACTTGTGGCTTAATTTGATTAGCCATATGAACTAAATTAAAACGGTGTATATTTTTAGATTAAATTTTCTCTTTTCCACCTGAACTTTTAGGTTATTCCGTTTAAATGATGTACTTAATGTTTTTGTAAAAATATTGAACATTAACGTTAAGGCATTTATTAACTTTAACTTTTCTCGTTTTTAAAATTTACTATTTAAATATGCATATATTCAAATTGAATAATTTGATATTCCTTTTATCCATTTACAGAGCAAGTGTGAAAAAGTGGTAAGATTAAAAGCTGACGACGTGTTAAACGTATGTTAAACGTATTTTACCTTGTATGTCTGTATGTTACACGTATATGTAAATTCAAATCCATGCTTATCAATCCTGATAACAGGAGAAATCACTTGAATCATCACTTAAAGCTCAAAGTGTCTCTCATCAAATTAAATAAATCATAAACATCTATGCAAATGAAAACTAGAAAAGTTTAGCACACGTGCGTTTACTATCTACCCGCGAAAATAAGAATTCTGTTTTTCAAAATTGGTAAGGAATTTAAATTTATCGAAGAATTAAAAAAACTCGTAATACTAGATATCATGCAATTTTAGGTATACAGGGCTTACCCTATCTATTCAAATTTAGCTTATCGAAAGCCGATACCCACGCAAGGTCAAGTTTCATGCAGATATTTCGGAAAAATTATTTCTCTGGGACGGAAAATCTCTCGTAAAATCTCTCGCTCTCGTAAACTTTGCGATGTAAATGTGGCCAAATTTCGTCTGTTTCCGTCCCACAGAGATATTTGGTGTGTAATAGACACGTCCAAACCGGCCCAGCACGGACTTTTATACTAGTAATACAATTACACACATCCAACATCAAGCAATTATATGCGATAAAATTGCATATCTGCCAACTTGAGATTATGTAGCTTATCAAACGCTAAATCGAAATCTGACAAAGCCAGAAAACAAGCCTGAGTTGCCTCCACATTTCTGTACATTACATGAGCTTGTCATGTTATACATAACATACAAACATGTTCACATTTATTCATTTAATGATGAATGAGTAAATTATTCATTCAATATTCAAAATTTGAAGGAATATTGCATGAATATTTTATTCTTTTTTATGAATAAATGAATATTGAGTGAATATCTATTCAATTTGTGTGAATGAATATTGAATAAATATTTTTTTTCATCATTCATTTTTATTTAACTCAATGCTTAATACATACGGAAAGTTGAGAAATTCATATAATACCGTGAATTTTGAATAAAATGAATAATGAAGGAATGGTGAATAATGAATAAATGTTGAGTAATTAATGAATATTTTTTTACAAATATTTTTTCAAGGATTTGAATGAATGAACTTTGAATGAATAAATATTTTTTGAACATGTATGCATATGTACACCACAAAATTTACAGCGTGTCTTGTACCTAAAGCTATACACTCAATATTATTTTTATTTCTTTATTAATTATACTCCAGTCCAGCTCTTTTGTCATTATCATTTTGTTAATTTATTATTTTTACTTACAAACTTACTCTGCGTAAAATTAAACTTTTACAAAATACGTTTCCTTAAATTTGTAAAGCAGCATGTCAAACACCAACAGTTTATTTGTCTAACTGGTTGTCGAAAATTCATCCGCATTAAACTTGCAACGCACCGGGTTAATACCTCTGGAATAAATGAAACCCAATTAAATCCAATTAATCAGATTAAATTGATGCATACATGCAAATCCTGAAATGTATAAATAAATATTACTGCGAAATTTTTAACTCACTTCCGCTCTAAATTTAAACTCCTTTCTTTCCTCCTTCCAGTACTTTGGGGGTCATGGGTTTTTAAATGATATTGAAGATGTGTCTTCATCTTGAAACTTTTCGGGCAGTTGGGGCACACATGCGGTCGGACTTGTTCGTGGACACTGCGTAATTAAAAACAATACAAGATTTACAAAAATGTTTTTCATCAAAATAAATTACACCTGTAAACATTAACCAAATTCACGCATTCATTCGTAATTTTTAAAATCTGTCAGTTTTGAAAAATTAAAGTTTCTAAATTTACAGAATTTTGCATTTTACAAACGGCTCATTTTTGCATGAGTGAAAGGTGTGCAAAAAATAGGCGCCATCAGGTGGACAATTGCAATCATAAATTGCAAATAGTAAATGGAGCGAGTCGCCAGATGTGACACAATTATTTTTTGAAGCTTGCATTTTTCACGTTTTTTTGCATAAAGGCACAAAAAATCAGACCCCGCAATTTAAGGTGGACGACAAATATGTTTAAAATAAAATAATCAAATCACTTACTTTAGAACATGTCTTCTCAGCACATCGGGATGTTTAAAGAGCGCCCCACACTGCGGACAGAGCAGTTTGGGTCCTTCACCGTGCACAGCGATTTTATGTTTCTTAAGGCTCACTTGATAGGGAAAGGATTTATGGCACGTGTCACACTCAAATCCTGGTCCGGGGATGTAATTTGCATCGTGAGTTGCCATATGTATCCCGAGATAATACTTGCTTCGATACGATTTTCCACAATTTTGGCACAGGAGCGATTCACAGTTGGGATGTTTCTTCTGTTTACTTGGAGTTTTTAATTTCTTGGTTTTTGGGTTGTCGCGAGGTTTCCGGGTTCTTGGTTTTTTAACCTTTTCTTCTGGAATGTAGTCATCGTCGTCGGAATTTTGCAAATTTAATGGGTCTAGATTGTCGTCCTCGTCCCACTCTAGATTTTTTTCATTGTTGGGATTTATTTTCTGTTTAATTGGAGTTTTTAAGTGGTTCGGTTTTATGTTGGTACGAGATGTCCGTTTTCTTAATTTTGTAATCTTTTCTTCGGGAATGGAGTCTGAGGAGGAGGAATTATGCAAATTTTGTGGGTCGAAATTGTCGTCGTCGGGCTCTAGATTTTTTTCATTGTTGGGATTTCCCTTCCGTTTAATTGGAGTGTTTGATTTGTTCGTTTTTAGGTTGGCACGTGGTGTCCGTTTTCTTAGTTTTGTAATCTTTTCTTCGGGAATGTGATCGTCGGAGGAGGAATTGTTAAGATTTTGCGAGTCGTAATTCTCGTCGTCGTCGTCATCTATCCTGCTGGTCGTTTCTGGCGTATTTTCTGCAAATAGATATGTACGAGTATTTAATAATGATAATGTTTACTAAATGTGGACCATACTCACGTCAACGTTCCCATTTTTATCTGGAAAATTAAGCATGGCAACATAACTTCCATGCTTTGAAAAATTTTACATTATTTCGAAAGTTTACACAGGAAAAATTTCCAAGATTCTGTAAAACGTTTGCTGGAAAACCCTTGGATATTTTTTGCAAATTTACCCATAACATGGTTTTATTCCGAAAGTTATTTAAAAATTTAGCAGCGCGTAAAATTTCAGCGCAATCAATGCAAACAACATCAAAATCGGTATTTCAATGTATAAGTAGCCTTGCAAGACCTGCGAAGTCCTGTTTTGCGAATTTCGTCACCCCATAAGTTTTTATTTTTTTTTAACTTTTGCAAATTTGCAAAGCAAAAGAGTTATTACGCGCCGCCATGAGTACGCCCATTGCATTGTTCCATAAAATTAAAAATGTTTAACCCGTTACATATGTGAAAATGTAAATATTATTTTAACAAAATTTATTACCAAATTCGTCCTCTAGATTATCTGGTTTTTCCAGATTTGGAATAACGATCCAATCGAAAGATTCCTCCATCTCCTCATTTCTTTCATCGTCTTCCTCTGATTTAATGCTAACCTTATCCTCATTTTCTTTATGATAAGATTGGATAAGACCCAACTTATTTTGTATATTTGGGAAGTCGTCGTCAATCAATTGTTGCAAACATTGTCGTAATTGTTCTTCAATTTCTGAAACAACAAAAATATTTATTTTCCATAATATGTAAATTGCGAAATATAGAAATAAAATTAACTATGTTCACTAACCGCAGGTAGATTTTAACAATACATTAATACTTAAAATTAGATGTGCCATGGATGTCGAAAAATCGCCAACGTCAACGACAATTTGCTCCATCTTGGAATTAGTTCATAATTATTTTATTATTTTAAGAAATTAAATCATGTCGATTTTTGTATTTATATTTATTTTGTGTTGACAAAAGAGAAGAAATCATGTGGTGTGTGTAAAATACTTGCCGGGCTCAAGTTGGAACACTTTGTCTGCTTGAGCTGAAGAATGCATATGTTGCTTACATATATGTATGTAATTTACATAGGATCACAATTTAATGCACCATAGATCAAGTTCATGAGTGTTTAGATACATAAGTGTCATTTCGCATACATTCATATATAAAAAGGTAATTTTTGTTGCTTCAAAAACCTCGATAGGATGAATTTCCTGCTATTTTATGTATGTATGTAAATGTAAGCATGTACTTTAAGTACACATCTATGTAATACATATGTAACTGTTTACCAACATTTACATATCTGCATATGTAAATTCTTCATGCAGTACGTATGTACATATGTAATAAGTGCTTTCACCTTACCATGGTGGTACATTTAGCAAATTTATGAGATTTATGGAAATTCCATGCTAATTCGAAACTTGAAAATCAAAGCAATCTATTTAGTAAAAATAGAGTATTTCGAGCGCCCCACTTTCCAAGGCTAAATATTGGGCAACTAAACATGTACAATTTTTCTAAACACCTTTGCGGTCTACTCGACATATTTAAAGTGGCAAACAAATTTTTTATGAATCCCGAGTTACGAATGTCATGAAAATCAGAAAAAATGTACGTATTTCGTATGTTCAGAAAACATACTCATTAGCTGTAACTGAATCTATCCATCCGACGGAACTTTATCTCTTTGTAACACGTCTTTTGTGCTCATTTCTATGTCTTTCTTAATTAGATAAGACTGCACCTATTTACCTCCCGTGCAGTTTGGACTCGCTCACACTCAAATGAGCATAACAATACATCCTTAACTTTATTTTTGTCCTGCCTGTTACACAATTCGCAATTATCCCACATTCATTAAAACCCGAAGAGGTCTCGATCCTTGATTGATGCCAAGTCTTTTCGGTCTGACGAGTCTACACTCTAAGAAAACCCGTATTACATCATTACTGCCCGGAGTACACATACATACATTCAACAATTTTGTGATAGGGGTTTTACCGACGGAAAGACCACGTACATAATTCTACCACTTGGATAAAAATTTATCACCGAGTGGTAAAAAATACAGTGGTTAAATCCTGCTGAGCTCCCAATGGCTACACTTCGGTAATAAAAATATTACCGAAACCTGAGGCTATTCCATACTCTCAGGAGGAGAGTACGCCAACCTGATAATGACAGATCTTGATGTCCTTTGGATATATGGTAGTACCCCCTCTGAAAGTAAAAAGTGTGAAGCGGTTTGATGCCATGGCCAAATTTACGTCCGTCACACCCCTTTGAAGGCGCGCCCGATGCCAAACTAGCTGCACTAAAAAAATTCGCCAAAAATCCAATTTTCTTCGGATTTTCATAATAGTTACATATTTATGATCCCAAATAGTTGCTTTGTCATATCAGATATCAATCTGAACTATTTTGGAATTTTGAATTTTTTCAAGCCATGCCCTTTTCAGGAAATATTCGAAAATATTGAAAATTTCTGAAAAGTTAATTTTGCAACTGAATATGATAAAGGGACTATCTGGGATCACAAATATATAATTATTATGAAAATCCGAACAAAATTGGATTTTTGGCGAATTTTTTAGTGCAGCTAGTTTGGCATCGGGCGCGCCTTCAAAGGGGTGTGACGGGCGTAAATTTGGCCATGGCATCAAACCGCTTCACACTTTTTACTTTCAGAGGGGGTACTACCATATATCCAAAGGACATCAAGATCTGTCATTATCAGGTTGGCGTACTCTCCTCCTCAGACTTATGGATTTAGTGTTACCACGCGGTAGAAGTCAGGTAGTACCTCTGCCGGTAAGAAAGGTACGACAAAATTATTAAGGGTGTATGACTCTACCGACCCTGGTAATAACGGGCATTATGTTTTAGCAATGAAAAATTTACCACTCAGAAACAAACTACGGTTAATCCGGTAAGAATTTATTACCAAATCAGCACCAGTTCTGACTCTACCCGATTTTTAACAGTGTACGAAAGTGATATATTTAGAACACGTCTATCTATCTGTCTCTTGGCAGCAACATGAGTAACGATTTTCACTTCCATTCCCAACTTTACTCGAGACATGACCACAAAACCGCAGCTTAAATGCTTGCTTTACTAACAATGTATTTAACACAACAGTAACATAACATTAATATAATAAAATACATAACCAGATCTTGGTTACATAATATTATCACACACTTTACATCATGTCATCATTTTCATTAGGTCACAAAACATGTCAAGTTTGCAGAATACAGTGTAATTCTTCATGCACAAATTGCAGGCAAGTTTTGCTTCAAATTAAAAAAATCTTAAGTTCTGTAATCCATCAAATTTATTGACAATTCACTCAGTTCTTGGTAATTTTGTAAAAATCGGTAAACTTTGTAAGTTTACGTTTTACAAATATTTTACATATTTATATAAATATAAAAATATTTTTCACAGATTAACAATAAGAATTAGATATTTTTGTAAAACTTACTCAGATCAAGTGCGTATTTTATTTGTTTTAAGTATGTAAAATCATTTAAAAAACTTTAAATATGTGCACATTATACGAAGTTGCAAGTTACAAAGTGTCTCAAGAGCGAAAATTTGCATGCATTTACAATTTTTGAAAAATTTCATGAAATCCTCTTGGAAATGTTGCATTATAAGTTTTAATTAATTTTGATATTTAATATTTAATATTTATTTTATCAATGCTAAATTTGAATTTAATGAGTCTGTGAATGTGAGCATATGTGCATCACTTATTCATTACAAGGATCGCGTTACCAACTATTTTTTAACTTAAAATCCGAAATGCTCGATTACCCGAAATTCTCGAGTTGTGAAAGTGTGAAAATCTGAATTTTTTTAAAGTCGCCAAAATTCATATTGCAAATTCGCCAGGTTTACAAATTTGATATTTTAACACTTAACATGCATACATACAATTATGTAAGCAATGATTTTTTATGTATTTATTTCCTAAAATATTTTCCAACAGAAAAGTTTCCTACTGTTCCCGTGCTCATCAGAAGAAAGACTGGAAATCTCACAAAAGTGATTGCTTCCCATGGGTAATTTCTGAGCACAAATTATTCGGACGTTATTTAACCGCATCTCGTCCCATTACCGGAGGAGAACTTATCTTAAAAGAAAATGCCATATTTTCCGGTCCCGGTGGGTTCGGAGAGCTCAAATTGTGCTTAATTTGTTATGGACTGATTGACGACGAATATTGTGCAAAATGTGGATGGCCAGTGCATGCAAAATGTGAGAAGAGTTCGTCAGTTCATGCGGAAAATGAGTGCCCAATTTTTCAGAGAAACAGTAATAATAATTGATTTTTGAAATAACAACAGCTAACGCATGCATGTAGGACTCGATGAGTCATCGCCAAAATCTTTAAAATCCACACGTTTTCAATCATTTTTCGGGTATGGAAATTTATTTTAAAATTCGGAAGGGCAAACTGGTGGTTAGTAAATGGTTTTTTAAAACAAATTCGACGGGTTCTTCTTTTTCTGAAGAGTAAATTAAAGATCTCCTCCTTCAAAACCTGTCAAAATCTGGAGCACATAATTTCGTCATCCAGAATTTTCAAATAGATTCCCAGAGCGGAAAAATGATTAGAAATGTACTGATTTTGACGATAAGGCATCGAGTACTGCGTTAATTGCTTGGATAAGTAATAGTAAAATAATTACTGTGCTTATTTTAACAGGAATATTGCTGTCCTGCAGGGAAGACAATATTTACGAGAAAATGTTAGTTTTACGCGGTTGCCTAATCAAACTTCGCGACCCGTTTAAATGGTCGCTTCTTGTGCAGCTTGAATCTCATAAGGATGCCCGATTCGAGAACGCCGGTGCTCTAATTAGCAGGAAAAATTGTGATTTTATTCTTAAAAGGTAAGCCAATTTATAAAAAATAGCAAATATGTAAATTAGTTAACGTTCATTTCCATATTTGATAAAGTATTAATCATTCATTTTTCAATAATTTCGTGAAGAATGGGTGAATAAGTTTCCCAAAATTATTGAACGAATGTATTTTTAGTAAACAATTATTCGTTTCATATTTATGAAGAATTAATAATTTTACTCATTATTTAATTTTCGTCCTACGCTTTATTCACGACGTACAAGGAGAAATCAATCTAATAAGGCAAGTTGGAGATGCACTTATTAGCACAAAAAATGAACAATGAAGACCTATTTATTTTTAGAGCCTGAATAATTGAAAGACGGATAATTTTTTATAGTTTTTACCTTAACTGAACTTTGAATGAATAAATATTTTTTGAACAGGTATGACAAGTATATTTCATAGAATGTTGATACATAGCTAATCTTTTCCCCAGGTGCGCCTTATCCCCACAACTCACCGAGGCCGAAGTAGATCACATCCTCGGCGTAATTATTGTCAATGCATACGTCACCGAAGACAACGTTTCGACTAGTCCGGACTTCCAAGTTGGCTGTTTCGTCTTCTCAAAAGGCTCAATGCCGGCCCATTCCTGTCTGCCAAACTGCAAATGGACCATTATCCAGGGCGTCCTAAATCTCCGGGCATTAACCGATATACCGAAGGGAGAATCCTTAACTCACTGCTACTCATACGGCGGCTGCGGAACCCTTGAACGGCAGAAGCACCTGCTCACCTCGAAATTCTTTTTGTGCGGATGTCCCCGATGTTTAGATCCGACCGAAATGGGGTCCTACTTTTCCGCGATAAAATGCCCCTGTGGGGGCAACATTGTTAGCATGGATACAACCAAGTTGGATGCATCGTGGGGGTGTACGAGAAGTAATTGTCAATACAAAACTAATATGACGCCAGATGATGTTACCAGATTAATTGAAACGTTGCGTGCCGCGCATAAAAGCGCAATTGGAGCGGGAATAGAGCAATCAACAGATTTGGAATGGCGAGCAACTTTGCGAAGATTAGAATCTCATGTTACCCCTCTATCGGGGAAAGTGCATCCCAACCATTTTTTACTTCACGAAGTAGAACAAGATATTCTCTGCAGGATTTCATGTTTTCTTGGAGATGCAGAAAGTTATTGATCCAGAATCGTCCTCGTTTGTGTTAAGCGTGGAAGACCAGGTGGCTCTAGCTCAGCGGGAAATTGAACTAAGTCGGAAATCATTGGGAGTTTTGGACTTAATAGCGCGGGGGATGACGTCACATAAGGGTTAGTTGATAAATATGTAGAAAATAGTTAAGATTTGGTTTGTTGCATGTGAAAAATGGGTTACATAGTTACATTGAACACGTGCAGCCTATTCAAAAAATTTCAACAATTCTAGTTCCACTAAATGTATGAAAAAAACTCATAAATAGACCATTTAGTAATTTTTGAGGTATTGCATTTTGAAATTACTCTCAATAAGTGATAAGTGAACCACTTTTATCTCGCCTACACTGCAATTATTTTAAATCACAGCTTCCTAAATCATTTTTCTTCATTTTTTCCCAGGCAGGCAACTATACTACTTGCAGCAAGGTTTAGGCATTTTAATCGCACATCAAATTCAACTACAGGAAAACAATGCGGAGGGGGTTGACAAGGACAAACTTTACAAGAATGTTTCTGAATGGAAAAGTGTCCGGGAAAATGGATGGAAACTTTTGCAATACGAGTCTCCAGCCAGAGAGGAATACCTGATGGGACAATCCATGGCAATAAATCAAGGCGAATAGGAACACAAGGTTAAAGCCTTGTATTTAGAATTCCTTTTTAATCTCACCCCAAGCTGTTAGGAAATCAATCAACATCGTATTCGTTATTGGTTCCAAACTATTAACCACTGCGATTTTTGTATTTACCTTTCCTATGCTTGCATATTGGTACATATGCAAGAGTTAAACATACCTAATTTATACAATTTAGGTAAATTAGTATATTTATTCGCTACATATACAGATATAATACTTGTATTGATAAAGTAATTTTTATCAGTAATAAATAGGTTACTCTAAACACAGCAACTGATATTATACACAGGTTACAACTAAATTTTGAAATATGTACATATTTGTAAGTTATAATTTATACTTTTATCACCCCGCATATTTTGGAATTCTAAATATTCATGTCTTACAATCTACTGAATTTAAAAGCTATAGCACCACAACATTTATAAGTACGTTTCCAAAATTTACGGTACACTATGAAATAGTGCCAGGCAAATAAATGTTTACACTCCAAGTACAAAATGAACCATCCCACACTTAATAAAACGGCACATAGGGCAAATATGTATCTCAGGGCTTTCACCGACACTGGAATGCAGTCATGAAAGTCTTGCTGAAACTGGACATTGCTATTTACTTGTGCAAAATATTTCTTATAAACTTTCCTTCCATATATCCTCATCCTAAACAGCTGTTCCCAAGATAAGTATAAATTCGCCCACTTATCAACTAGTCCGGCCTCCAACATTTTTTTGTACGACGCGTAAATCCCGGGGTATATATAATTTCTGAATCCATACATTACATTAATTGTCTGAAACCCAGTATCATCCCGACTATCTATGACAAACCGCTTACCCAGTACTCTTATCGGATCGGTAAAATATTTCAAATCTTTTTCATGATTCATAATCGCCAGAGTTTCCCTAGTTTCAAAATTTTTTCCTAGAGGTATTGAATTCGAAACATTTTGAACAATTCCTTTAACCGTGCCTTCAACCGGGTTGACATAAGTCAATCTCTCGTCTAAAGAATTGATTGATTTTATATACTCCAAATTACCCCCCATTGCCATTTTCCACTGAGGTATTAACAAGTTCTTCATAGTCGAAGCGTACTTTATAGTGCCACTCGATCTGTTCCGGACAAGGACATAGTATGTAAAGTAGGTCGTGGTTAAAACGGGAATCTTGGACTCTAGCAGCTCACCTATGGTTTCGGGTACTTCGGGAAAATGTGGAACCGTTAAGAAGGAAAAGATTGATCCTTGGTATACATTTTCCATAAGAATGTAACATCCAAACAACCAGACGATCGAGACAATAAGAGCGAGGTGTTTGTTACTGAAGATCTTTGTCATATCACCCTTCCCACTTTGCCCCAGAAGAACAGCGGTAATCTGGAAAAGGTCGTCACAAATATGTTCAATTACACCATTTCGGTAACCAAATCCCGAGTACGAAACCGAAATAGGGACCAAACTTGAAATTGTTAGGGTCGAAATTAATATAAGAATCCAGGTTATTGAATCAAATGGTAGCAGGAAGGTTGCAAAGTTGTTAGCCACGGAAGGAAACGAGGTGACAACGGAAAACTTAAATTTTTCAAAACGCACGTGATACATCCCAAAATTATTTTCTATCATGGATTTCAGAGTTTCGTTTAAAAGAACCGTTGAGAAGCTTATACCTCCGAATATATCTTGGCGTGCAGGTTTGTCGATAACCTTCCAGTGTTGATAAGTGAAATTGAATTGTTGTCGTAAAGTCGAAATTGTACAAAATCTTGGAGAATAAATTTTGTTGAAATGCCATAAGGTTGGACCGCACTTTCCACCCTGCTGGACACCTCGTGGACCAAAAAGTTGTACTATTCTTCTACGAAGATTTAAATTTTGCGCGTCCCACTTCACCCCAATTTGACGAAGGGTCAACGTTGCTGTTACTTTTTCTTCAATGATTGTGTTAGATCGACAGGGCAGGCATGGTATATAAACCGAATCAGGGTCATGGATGTTAAACAAAAGTAATTTTGCAGGGGATTGACCTTTTGCATATTCCTGGTAGGATCTTCGATTGTTTTTGAAGTCATCTATGTGTAGGAATATAAATTCCGCGTGCGGGAAACGTTGTAATATCGATAATAAGAGATGGCTAATTTCAAAATTTTTGAACGATTTGTCAAAAACATCTACAAATATTAAGAGTGTTCTATGTTTTAACAGTTGTTGAGTTGAGGTACCTTCAAAGTCAACAAGCTGTCCGTTTAGGAAGAATGGGCCCAAGATTCGAGGTATGAAATAGTCATAATTGTGCGTCATGAGCTTATGTAGCCCAGAGGAAATTTGTGATCTATTCGCCTCTATGAAAAATTGCAGGTCACACCCGTGAAATAAGTTGTTATTGTGACACATGGTTTTGACTGGTTCGTAAAAACCGATGAGTATAATGCAGATGATGATTATCAGTTTGTAATTAGCGTAAGCTGGCATTTTTAAAGCAGTGTGCATGTATTCCAATATTTTAAATAAATACGTGGCCCCTTTCGTTAATGAGACTTCAGTGGAAACAATTCGATTGAACAACAGACAACTTATTTACATATATCAATTTACCGACATCGAAAACGCGCTGGAACTTGTGCTTTCGCAAAGTGCTGGATTAATAGCTACAATTTATCAGTTTCGAACTTAGGATTCTAGCTTTTTAATTCGATAAGTTTATTGTCTTAGATAAATCTAAGACATGCAAGTTGGTCAACTAGGCTACATATTAAACATCCTGTTTACTTAATTCAGATTGTTGCAAATGCACAACCGTTTAAACCCACGCAACACGAGGAGAAAGTAAATTATCTGAATCGATGGACTACCATTTGCGAAATAACATGGTTACGGTAGGTGTTCCATATGCATAAGAAATTCTAAACGCTACAGCATTCAGAAAAGCGGATGACAGACAGAAGAGCACGCCATGTGGTGAGCGACGATTAAATATGTTTTGGCTCGTGAGAAAATGTGGTGGGTGGGTTTATAGTTACTTTTAATGGCGTATTTGGATAAATACATAACTATATTGGGAACGAAAAGGTTAAAATACTTATTAAAACTGCTAATGGATTTATTGCATAGCAAGTTTGGCACATTGAATATACATGTTTAGTGCTTGCAATATTATTTTTCAGTTTATTGGCAACCAGATAGTTTTATATCATAAATTATTTTTGAGGAGAATTTATGCAATTGTGATTGCAATCCTAATTCCTTCTCATTCGAGACTTTGCAAATCACGATTATATGCAAACTAGCGTATAAGCCCGTCTCCCGCCGGGCGAGCGAGAATTATCAGATGCAAAAGAATGTCGGAAGCCGAAGTGAAAACAAATAAAGTCACCCATGATAACCACCCCCAGATAACCCCCACGATAACTACCCCCAGATAACCCCCCATGATAACCACCCCCAGATAACCACCCATGACAACCCCCCACGATAACTACCCATGATAACCACCCCCAGATAACCCCCACGATAACTACTCCCAGATAACCCCCCACGATAACTACCCATGATAACCACCCCCAGATAACCACCCATGATAACCACTTCCAGATAACACAGCATGATAACCACCCATGATAACCACCCCCAGATAATTCATTGGTAAAGTGTGCACTGGTGAGCACTGCAATTTGTGTCTTGTCAATACTTCCAAAAACTGTGAAGTGAACACAGGTGATCACTTCACACTTTTGGGTCTCGTCACCAATTGCACAAATCTGTGAAGTGAGCACATATGTGCTCACTTCATAGATTTGTAGTGGTTATCTGGGGGTGGTTGTCAGACAGTGGTTATCTGGGGGTGGTTGTCAAACAGTGGTTATCTGGGGGTGGTTGTCAGACAGTGGTTATCTGGGGGTGGTTGTCAAACAGTGGTTATCTGGGGGTGGTTGTCAAACAGTGGTTATCTGGAGGTGATTGTCAGACAGTGGTTATCTGGGGGTGGTTGTCAGACAGTGGTTATCTGGGGGTGGTTGTCAGACAGTGGTTATCTGGGGGTGGTTTTCAGAGAGTGGTTATCTGGGGGTGGTTGTCAGACAGGGTTATCTGGAGGTGGTTGTCAGACAGTGGTTATCTGGAGGTGTTTGTCAGACAGTGATTATCTGGGGGTGGTTGTCAGACTGGTTATCTAGGTAATTTATGTTTTTAAATAAAGAATTTAATTTGAATTTTCGCGCCATTTGAAACTTAGCTTTCTCCACTTTCACTTCCGTCACGGAAAATTCCGTCACGGAAAATTACTTTCACCTCCGTTGCCAAGAGACATTTCCAGCTTATAATATAGATCCCCGACTTTAATTCCAAGTGAGGTGTCGTCCATGTGTCACGTCATCAAAAAACGCCTGGTTTTACATATGCCAGCTTTTTCCTATCCTACTCATGTTAAACGAAATTTATGTAGGCGGCCAGAAACAACCCGTCCACTTTTTAATGACGTCATGTATGGACGTTCCGTGATGTAGAATTTTATTTTATTTAAATTATCCATTACCCACATGCATACCTCTTCAAAAATTTTGAAATTCATTTAAAAGTTCGTCATCTCAACTTCTGACTGAAGATTTTCATTCACATTTAATCAGTTTTTCAAATTCATTTCATTTCACTTCACTTCATCTGACTTCATTTCTTATTTCACCAAATGTATTAAGCATATAGTAAAAAATGAAAGGAAGGTGGGAAATCCTTTCATTAATTGATATCAGGAAATTCATTTTCAATTACCCTTGTTCAATATCATAATCAGTCAAATGAATGAAGATGAACAGGTATGTAACCATATGTTTTTTATAGGATATCCCAACTATGATGTCGGATATTATATGCACTTTTATCCGGATGACGCGACGACCAGGGTTGCAGAAATCTCATCTCACCCTCGTAAATCTCATCTCACTGAGATATAATGAGAAATAGTGAGACATGAGAAATATGAGATTTAGTGAGATTTATGAGCCATGCACTAGCGCCACCTAGCGGACGTACAATCGAGTGGCTGCAACCGTAAAGGTATACGCGAAATCTCTACTATTGGACGGCCAAGATTGGTATGACTACGACAGAGCTACTGGACTTATCGAAAAACGACAATCTGTCAACAACAAACCCCGCCCCACTCCACGCCAATGAGAACTCAGCCCGCCTTTTGCACATTCACACCTAAAAAATAACTTGACAATGAACATAACTGCGTGGAATGTTGACGGATTAATTAATAAGGATAACGATTTTTTTGAATATATGACGAAGGAAACCCCGGATATTTTTGTTTTTCTCGAGACTTGGTGCTCCGAAGAGGAAGCATGCGCTAAGCTCTCGAGCTTTAATTCTACGCACACACTGGTGTGCCAAAACGCGGAAAATTCACTGAGAGGAAGAAGAAAAGGAGGAATTATTATTGGAATATTGAATAAATTAGAACATACAGTTATTACTAAGCGAAGCGGATGGGTCGAAATTACTATACAAAACGTAATGCAAAATGAAGCACTCACAATTATTGGATCTTATCTCGCACCTAATACTAATGGAGAAACTGAATTCAGCGACCTTCTAGAGAAAATTGGAAACACTACAGAACATACACTAATAATCGGTGACCTAAATGCGCGGATCGGTCTTCTCCCCAACCTCATTGAAGGAGAATTTTATTCCCGACAATCACAAGACATGCAAATGAATGACCGCGGAAGCATTTAATGACAGCCGTCAGATCTGCCAACTTAGTTGTCCTTAACGGATTTTGGAAGGGAGACTTAAACGGAGATATTACTTTTCAAAATGCCAATGGTCGTAGCTCAATTGATCTATGCATATCATCGGATTCCGTACTTCAGCATATCAATCACTTCCGTGTTAAACAATCAATTGTCTCAACCCACCAACCAATTAATATCAACCTTTCCACCAAAACCCAATCAACATCGCCATCCAGTAATGAGGGCATTGAAACTAGTGTTATAAATAAGACCAAATGGAAACCCGAGAAGTGCGAAGAATTTAGAAAGACGCTAAATAAGAAGTGTGCTGAGACCACTGATATCTTATCAAATGTGATCAATACCCTAGATTCCCTCGGAATGACTCAGAACACCCAACTCCCATCAACATACCGACAAAAGCCGAAGTGGTTCGACGACGAGTGCAAACGAAGCAAATCCACGGTGAGCAGAATGCTGCGAGTAGCACGGAATTCAAACAAACAACGAGATCATCAACTTTATCAATCACTGCGTGCCGAGTACACCAAGTTAAAGAGGGAGAAAAAATAGTTGACAAAGCAGGAACAGATCAAGAATTTACTACATCATAAAAATTCCTCAACATTCTGGGCAGCTATTCGTGAATTCAGACCACACTGCTTAGGCAGTTATCCAATTTCAGCGACAGAAAGTCACTCGTTCTACTCTACGTTATTTCAAGGTAGCAGATACCCCATTGAAATCACGCCACGGGAAGTCCAAGAACTTGATCACGAAATCTCCACATTTGAAGTCTCCCTCACCATTAAGAAACTGAAGTTAAAGAAAGCAGCAGGAAAGGACGGTATACCAAACGAAGTATGGAGGGCGTTAACACCGGCAGCAATTAATCAACTATCAGCAAAATTTAATGACATCTACAACAGTGGTGTCGTTCCGGATGAGTGGACTCTCATCATGCTGCGACCAATATTCAAAAAAGGTGACCCGCATTCTCCCTCCAACTATCGTCCCATTGCTTTGGCCACTACGATCCTAAAGATCTTTACCACCATTCTGTCAAATCGTCTACAGACTTGGGCAGAATGGCATGGACACTTCTCACCATTTCAAGCTGGGTTCAGGAAAAAGATGGACACTCTAGAGCAAATATTCTGCCTCCTAACCCTTATTCAATCCAAACTTCGTAATCCATGTGGGAAGTTATTCGCTATATTCATCGACGCACGAATGGCTTTTGATTCCTGCCTTCATGACAGAATGTGGAAAGTTTTGAGTAAGCGGGGAGTGAGCTCTAAGTACCTGAAAGTCCTGATGTCACTTTACAGCAAAGCTAGTGGGCAGATTCTCACCCCAAATGGATTAACAGCGTCCTTTCAATTCCAAAAAGGCGTCTTACAAGGAGAACCGCAATCATCATGCCTCTTCAACTTTTTCATAGATGGCCTTGCACGCCGACTGCAAAGAAGTGGCATCTCACCAGTCAAAATTGGATCAACCGACTTCCACATTCTAATGTTTGCTGATGATGTCGTTATCGTCGCTAATTCTGCGGATGCTCTCCAGGGAGAAATCAATGTTGCTGCTAAGTTTTTTAAGGACCGCGGTCTGCTATGCAATATTTCAAAAACGAAAATTGTCATCTTCATCAAGAGAAGATCACGTGACCTCACATCTTTCAAATGGAATGAAGATGCTGTTGACATTGTAGATTCATATACCTATCTAGGAGTGACTATGCATAGAAACGGGACTTTCAATCTAGCCCATAAAGAGTTCAAAGAAAAAGCAACTGTGAAAAAGCGTAGTGAAAGTCCTTCACATTACGAGAAGATCTGGTGTTCCACCCTTATCAACGCAATTTAAACTATTCAACTTCATTGCGCGGGCTACTCTACTTTACGGCTCATCAATCTGGGCCATGAAGTTTATAGATGACATTGACAAAATACAAATCCGTTTCCTAAAAAAGCTACTCAGACTTCCCCCATCGACTCCTAATTACTTTCTGCGATTGGAAACTGGTGCACGGGACACAAGAGTACAACATCTTGCCGACACCTTGGGTTTCTGGGAGCGAATATTTAGAAAAAAAGAAGACTCCCCCGTAAGACAATGTATGATTACGCAAATGAAGTGGACACGGCTCAACTCGTCAACAATGCAAAGGAACCATTGCTGGGGAGAAGACTTCCTTAATCTACTCAAGATCGCAAGATGTGAAAAGCTTCCACTAACTCTGACTTCCCTAGTGACCATGAGGAAAACTCTCCTAACAAACTATGAGCTACATCTTAGGAATCAGGACGTCGTGAGGATGCAAAAATCCAACTTCATCCCACATTACCAACTCATCAAACCGAAAACTGACACAGAAGGATACTTCAATATGAACCACCCCATGCAGAAATGCAGTTTGATGACCCAATTGCGCCTCAATAAATTTAGTGTTAAAATCGGACAATTCTACATCCCTCTAAATTCAAGTTGTCCCTTATGCAGTGATAATTGTTCTGTTGAACATCTTATGTTTACATGTACTTCATTAAAATCTGAGCGCCAATCACTAATTTACCCATTAATTCCTAATTATAATCCAACTGAATTTAACAATATGCAACTTTTTGTTGCTCTTTTTTCTGCTTCATATAGTGATAAATTAATGAATAACTTATTTCTCTTTTGGCACAAAGTCGCCAAATATTTTGACTTATGTTCTGACCAATAATTACTTTTACTTTTTTTACGATTTTATGATATCAATATTATGTAACCATTCATGATGTGCAAAGGCTGTTGGCTATGATGCAATAAATTATTATTATTAACCGGTGCGATTTTCGAAGGACAGGATTTCGTCGATGACATCTGGCTTGGCGCAACCTTTGACGAGGCGGCGGACGACTTTGTTTGGAGTGACGGAAACAATTTGACCTACACAAATTGGGCGACTGGATACCCGAGAAATTCCACGGATGTAGATCGTTGCTTAGTAATTAGACCACCGGGAGCTTTAAAAAGTGTTGATGACGAGGTTTCCACTACCACTGGTCCTGTGGTACCCTTAAATGCTCAGTGGTGAGTGGAGTGATTTTGGCTACGTTATTCATGCAATGTTGCAAATTATGTAAATGATAAGAACTGTTTAACTGTGAATAACGGTTCAACGAAATATAATTATCAGGGTAAGGAAAACCCCGGGGTTTTGCTATTGAAAAGCAATACCCAGGGGTTTTACCGGGGTAGCTAGGGTAGTCGAGGTCTTGGGGGTAAACTGAGTCAGTGTCTCATACATATTTTAAGTTGTGAAAATAATCGGCTTTCTCACCAATTTCTTAAAAAACGGGCATATTATTTCAATTTTAATAACTTATTAAATTGTAGAAATGTTAATAAAGCCTTATCACCGTACTTTAAAAAATTTGAAAACCCCGACTACCCGTGGGTATTGGTGAAATTTGCTACTGTAAGACCCAGCAAAACCCCCAATGCCTCAAAAACCTGGGGTAGCATATCCTGGTAATTATAAAGGGGAAATAGTAGAAAATTCAGATTCTTTTTCGTTTTTATGACTACACATGAATTTAATTATTTTTTACTTTTAGGGCCGACGTATCCTGCAGGAGAAGCAGTATCATCGCTTGTCAAAAAAGACCGAGCTGGACGATGGAGGAGATTGTGGTGGAGGTAATTAAACTGCGACACGATCTGGACGGCACGAACTGATATTAAACAGTGGAAATGCCATTAAATAGAGTAGAAATTCATTCACTATTCGGAAGCAGATACCATTTAAATTAGCATGTTAACTTATTTGGAGACTTGTACTTATAAAATGTTCAAAATTCATGCATCGCTCGAAATATTTTTATTGGAACCAAACTCTTAAATAAATCAGACTTCTACATATATATCTATGTGTATATATTTACATAACTGCATTGTAACCTGACATTTAAACCACCCTGCATACATTCGGCGAACACGTATTTATAACCTTAAATCTTTAGTCAAGCGACAAGTTGCTTGCTGAAAGGAAACCCTATCTAAAAAATCGAACCCTAAAAATAACTTCTTCCCAGTGAAAAACCTCAAATTGCCGAAGTGAAATTAAACTCTAAAGCTAAGTATCCAAGTGAGCTTTTCACGCGTGAAATCGACTTCTGTGAAAATTCCACCGGAATTTCACTCGAACGTATCCAGGTCAGCGATGAAAAAGTGATGGAATTTTACGCGCGTGAAATTTTCACAGAATTGCGAGTGAAAAAGCGATGAAACGGAGGGGTATTATTCCACGCGAATGAAATGAAATTGCCGTGAAAAGTCATACCGCGAGGTTCAATTTTTTAGCAAATTGCCCCTGCTGATTGAGTTTATCTGAACCAACAATATTTACAGTAATTAAACAATTAAATAATGTCTGTACGAGTACAGACATTATTTACATTTGTATTTAGTGAAAATTTGAAGAAAAAGTTGTGATTTATTTTCTATTTATAACATTTATAAATGGTTTCTTGATCAATATTGATGGAGCTGCCAGCACAATAATTTATTCCTCTATTTCAAATTACATTAAATACACTTGATACAAAATAAATTTTGACTGATTACTTACTGGATTTTGAGATTTTTGGAATTTGGAAAAAGTTGTAGATTTTATGATACAAAACGAAATCAACTAATTATTAATTTGGAATTTAATAACTGTTGGTGGTGATTTTTTTAATAACAAATATGATTTTCGCGGACTGTAAGTCTACTTTGAGACATTTTCATCGCACTTTGACCTGGATATGCCGAGATGAAAATGAAGTGGAATTCTCCCTTTCACCGTTGTTTAACTCGTGTGGAATTTCGCATGAATGAAATAATTTCACTCGAATTTCACTTCTGTGAAATCTCTCACTTGGATACTAGGCTTAACAGTCACTCATTTTCTCACTCGGCCCAGCCCACGAACAGTTCACTCGGCATCAACAAATTAATTACGTATTCCATTCTCCAGAATACATGTTAATATGCACAAGTATTAATCCTCTGTAAGGGAATTAGTTCAACCCAACAGTTACATATGTACTGGTCGTCATAAACTAAATAAGTAAGTGCTTACATACATCAGGATAAGACACGGATCAATTTTTTAAGGTATTTGGTTAAAATTGCAACCATATTTAAGTATGAGTAATTATGAAATTTCGTAAAATTAGTAATCTAACAATGCATGAAGTATAACCCTCGGATTAGGTTGAAATTTCGAAATTATGTGGTCCATGACAATACAACCAATGTTTCTTCAGGCAGTTTGTGCGATGGTCAAAATTTGCCAAAATATTTTAGGTCAAAGTTGAAAAAGGGGCAATTTTTACCAGGCGGAGGAAGAAAATTCAACTTCCATTCTCTTCCCGTGCCAAAAATTGCATATTTTTCAACTTTGACCCCAAATATTTTGCCAAATTCTGACCATCGCACAAACTGCCTGAAGAAACGTTGGTTGTATTGACATGGACCACATAATTTCAAAATTTCAACCAAATCGGAGGGTTACACTTCACACCATCGCATTGTAAGTCGTATAATAATGGATTTTAATCTCTTATTTTACCACAACATAAAATAATACTAAACAATTATTATATTTACAAAAAATAAAATTTAATCTCCCATAGTACCAGAGCCTAACGATCGCTAAACTATGGATTGCCCCACTTGCCAAAAAACTTTCAAATCAAAATCCTATCTGAACGACCATATGGTTACACATGATAGCAATGCGCAAGTCAAATGCGAGGTTTGCAACTGGCAATAAATTTCGCAATAAGAAAAAAACTTACCACAAAAATTGATCTTTAAAATTACAGATTTGTGGGATAATCTCCAAAAACCGGGTCAGTCTAAAAGGCCATGTCCGTTATATTCACGGCATCAAGAAATATTCATGCAACATTTGCAACAGGAAGTTTGGAAGGCCCTACGCCTTACGCCAACACGTGGAGAACTCTCACGGCACGACGCCCCGTTCTCGCTACCCGTGCAAGTTCCCCGGTTGTGGAAAATCATTTCTTAACAAGTCCACCGAATGCACACATTTTAGGAGGGAACATGTTCAAAATCCCGTCCGATTTTTGTGCCAACTTTGTGGCATAGAATTTAAAAGAAAAGAACACCTGACCAACCACGTTTCCACTCATACGACCGAAAAGACGTATAAATGTGCCCATTGTGGGAAAGGTTTCATTCAACGGGGCGCTTTAAAAATTCATGTGGTAAATAAGTCGGTTTTTATTTTATAAAAATTTCTGTCTAGATTTGGCATACACAAAAAACTACGCAATAATAATTCCTTACCACATGGAAGTACTTAAGATTAACCACTTCACCCCTATAACGACTATGTGGCGTATTTGACCTTTACGCCGAGTACGACCATGTGGCGTAAGTTCCCTTGGCACCGGAATACGACGATGTGTCGTATTGACCCTTGACAACGGATACGACTATGTAGCGTATTTTCCGTTCACACCGGCCTACGACTATGTGTCGTATCCGGAAAAAATTAGGTCATTGCCTCTCCAAGCAAAGTAAAGCAAGAGTTATGAGTCAACAACCCGCCCTTTAGGCGGGAAGATAAATTGTCTCTTAGGAAATAATATTAGAAATGGATGCAAAATAAATTTATAGCCAAGTGGCTATATCTAGCCAACACGCCGAGTTGTGAAAACTGTTTTTTGCAAGGAAATTTCGACACCGATTTATTTCAACAACGGTTTACGATAAGATTAGAGAAATTGTTTTGCTCACATGTAGCACAAACGGGCGTTTTGGGCGAGAAAACTAAAAGTTTGATGAATTGCATCATTGCATGGATTTAATTATATACCACAAATAATCTTGCCGGTAGGGTAAACTACGTCAAAATTAATCATTACGTATCGGGTGCCGCTGAAATATCTTTTGGGCGGGAAAATTAAAAATTGAGAGATTGCCAGGAATTAGTAGAATTTAATTTTCCCGCTTAAAATTGATTTCTATTCACCAGATGCGCCATAGTCTATGTTCGAGCAATTTCCTCTCACGGGATAATTATTCATTGTCATTGCTGTCTATTTAAAGTCATTGTAAGGATTTTTGGTTTTCCCGCCCAAAATCGGCTCCTAAGGCACTTTATGCGCTATAATCAATATTTGCGAGTTTACGTACTATTATGCAAGTATTACTCCATGCTTGTCTAACTTTTCATGCAATTACAATCATTTTTAAAATTCGGCGTGTTGGCTATTTTCGGCTATAAACATTGGTGGTTCGCCACAACTCAAAAATGCAAATTACAACTCAAAATCCCTTCTTGAAAGGTTATTCACATAAATTTTCATAAAAAAGTGTCCAGAATAATTCCGGTGGGAACACCATTTTTTAATTCATGGCCCAGGAATTAACGTCATGCAGTAGATAAAAATTTCGGGGTCAAGGGAGGTAAAAATTCGCGGTTACTAGGGGTGAAAGGTATGAAAAAACTCGTCTCCTAGGGTTGAAGTGGTTAATTACTATTCAGTAGTGTACATATATACAGGGTGGTTTAAATGTCAGGTTATAATGGCAATGGTTATAATGTTCAATGGGAAAATTCGCAAATCTCCATTAGTTATCGAATTTTTGCCTCCCAAATTTAATATTTTAAGAATTTTGTCATCAGTGTTCCATAAGTTTTGATAAAAATTAATAAAAATCTCAATGCCAAATCCGTAACTAATGGAAATTTACGAATTTTTCCCATTGAAAAATTTTCCATTGTAACCTGACATTTAAACCACCCTGTACAAAATAAATACCTGAAGTGAATGATGTGAACTTTTTTCGCATTTTTTTAAAACTTTTTGGTAATAAATCCTAACCAACGTGATTGAACATATTATTCCATGCGGTAAGGAATCATTACCAGATTATTTTAAGTGTACAAGGATAGAACATAACCCTCGTTTTTTACCCGTTTTACAGAAAACCCACATAGATCGGTGTAGCCGCCCAGTTTTGACGTGCCACCTTTGCCCTTAAACATTTCTCTATAAGCGATGCCTGACGGGTCATTTACAAAGTGTGCATGGGAAGGAGAAGAATTACGAGTGAAAATTTTGCGGTAGAAAATTTTCGCAGAAACATAGTGTCAAAAGTCATGTCGCAGCGATCCACGAAAAAAATAAGGATTCCTTTCTTTCTTGTGATTCGTGCGAATTTAAAATATACTTCAAAGGAAATTTACTCCAACACCAGAAAACGCACGATATTGGGAGGGTACGTCAAGTGTGTTACTTTTGTGCTAAAACATTTACCACATTCTACCAATTGAATATTCACTGCCGTAAATTACATATTATGGAAAAGTAATGATATGTATGTAAAGTATATAATTCAGTTATTTGTCAATAATAAATATCAGATAACAATTATCCGGGATTTTGTTGGTCTTTAGAAGTAAAGTATTTAATGAATTTTTTTGCTGCATATCCAAGTATTTTTATACGACGACCTACAGTATGTAACTTATTTAATGCAACGATTTTTAATTTCATATTCAATTTAAATTTTCTCAAGAAAAGTTATGTATGTAGATATTTCAAAATTTTTTGCATACTAGTTTTTAACCTTATATCGGACTACATGATGGCAAATTTTCGAAGGAATGGGGAAAAAATTGCTGAATCCACAAATATTTATAAACAAGAAAAATTACAAATTTGCACTAGTTTCGTATCGTAGCATTTTTTATGAATAGAGCAATTCGCAATATTATAACATCGGATTTAGGGACCACTGGAAAAAGCTTTATTCCCCATTTAAATTAATTAAAATTACAATTGGCTACTTTCACCACCAAATATGCTTGGATTTCCATTTAAATAACTCATGTTGTCCATTTAAATGATTTAACATTTTGCAGCAGGGGTTTGCTCATTGAGTGAAATTAAGTGGCTATGTGGAAATTTAGATGGGTCCGAAAATATTAAAACATAGATTCAGGAATTTTATCCATTTAAGTTGGAAAAAAATCCTCTTTAGACGGCCACAAAATATGGTCCCTTAAATAATTATAATCCGGACCACGTAAGAGCAGGACAGAGAGCAGACAAATGTGCAGTAGAAACCGCTTACCGCCCGTGAGAAATACATGGGAGGAGGTTGGCGGTGGTGCACCACAGGCCTCCAATGTATTTCTTACGGGCGGTAAGCGGTTTCTACTGCACATTTGTCAGATTTTGTGCTGGTCTTATGAGGACCGAATAATAAGGGCACACAAAATGTTTGGTGTGCCACTTATGCTACATAATCCCTAACATGGCTCACTATTTCAAAATGAACTTTTCACTACATATTCACCATGTATTTGTGCAAATATATGTATGGATTCTTCACTCCTTTCATTTTTCACCCTATGCTTAATACATTTTACGGGTATACTTTAGAATAGGGGCGGATCGTTAGGGGGTCGAGTGATACGTCATTTTGTTCAGTTCGACGAGCTGAACAAGAATATCGAAACCCGAATGCGCGGAAACGCTCCGTTCAAAAGTTATGGCGGGGCAAACTTTGAAATTTTTATTGCATTTTTGGACGTTTCAAAGAATTCTAAGACTTTGTCTCACTTTGCCCCAAAGCGGGAAATTTTTTGGGGTATATTGAGATTTTGGGGTAAGGTGAGATTATGTCCCATATTGGGGTATTGTTCGTGTTTAAGCGAGCGAAGCGAGCAGGTTAGGTTAGATATACTAGGTAGGCGGAAAGCGTGAAATGGTGTGACTATAATCCTAGCTAGAGAGGCAGCAGAACTAGCTACCTAGAAGTGTTACCTAGGAGTGCTACCTAGAAGTTCTCCCTACAAGTGCTACCTAGAAGTGCTACCTCGAAGTGCTACCTAGAAGTGCTACCTAGATGTGCTACCTAGAAAAGGTATCTAGAAGTGCTACCTAGAGTTTTTTGGTGCATGCAAGATGATTGAGGCAGGGTGTGCAAACGATTATCGTAATTATGGCCCATATTGGGGTATAGTTCGTATTGAAGCGAGCGAAGCGAGCAGGTTAGGTTAGATATACTAGGTAGGGGGAAAGGGTGAAATGGTGTGACTATAATCCTAGCTAGAGAGGCAGCAGAACTAGCTACCTAGAAGTGCTACCTAGAAGAGCTACCTAGAAGTTCTCCCTAGAAGTACTACCTAGAAGTGCTAGCTAGAAGTTTTCCCTAGAAGTGCTACCTAGAAGTGCTACCTAGAAGTGCTACCTAGAAGTGCTACCTAGAAGTTCTCCCTAGAAGTGCTACCTAGAAATACTACCTAGAAGTGCTACCAAGTACCCCGAAAACTAATAATCTCACCTTACCCCCAAAATCTCAATATACCCCAAAAAATTTCCCGCTTTGGGGCAAAGTGAGACAAAGTCTTAGAATTCTTTGAAACGTCCAAAAATGCAATAAAAATTTCAAACTTTGACCCGCCATAACTTTTGAACGGAGCGTTTCCGCGCATTCGGGTTGCGATATTCTTGTTCAGCTCGTCGAACTGAACAAAATGACGTATCACTCGACCTCCTAACGATCCGCCCCTATTCTAAAATTTTTCCCATTTTATGAGTTAAGAAATAAGCTCCAATGAAGTGAAATAAAACGAGAATGAAAATAAATGACTGAATACGAATGGAAAATCATTTGAATGATTTTTAAATGAATTTTTTTTGTTTGAACAGGTATGACACAAATACGTAAGGTCAGCTCACCAGACCGGTATTAAATTCTGCACGAAATCATATAATTCAAGAGCTACAGTGGTGTCACATGTTTGCAGTATACTCTATAAATAGTTAAATTAAGTTTCAGAATTATTAACAATTTTATTTTACAAATGAAGTAAAATCAAATGAAAAGTTGGCTTTGTAAGTATCTAGTTTCTTTAATTTTTTTAATTGAATGATTCTTTTGCATGCATTTGTATTAATGACGGTCTGGCAAATATATTTAATTGGTGAGGTGGAATTTTATTAAAAAACACGAATTGTATTTGAATCAAACTTTTTTTCAAAAATTACAGTACATAAATATGTATAATTTGTGTTGATTTAGTTACTGGCAAATATTTTGTCCTTTTTTGTCCCCGCAGGCGTCCACAATGCAGGGGGCACAAAAGAGACGTCCGCTACACTCTCCTGAAGACAAGGGATTCCAACTAATCGAACACAGCTCCCCCGCCCCCTTTCCCCCTGCGGAAAAATTAATTAAATTTATTAACGCCAAAATAAATTAAGTTTACTTATCAACACCAAAATCAATATATTTTGTAAAAGCACATTTACTCACCAGCCCTGACCATCCCGAATAAGGCCAACAAGGCGAAGAAAAACCACGTCAATTTCATGTTGAAGGTGGGGAGGAAAGTTTTCAAAGAGTTTTCAAAGAGATATGTTCCTCCGTCAAAGGGTAAAACTGGAATGGTCCAGGGAGACAGAGTAGGATGACTTATATACTCGCATCCTGGGACATGAACCCTTTCGAGACCTAAATACATACACAGCCAACTATACGACTGATAACGAGGGAAGGAATGTTGAAAAGTTTTTGGAAGGTGAAATTTTGTTAACCCTTTGACCTTTTTCATGGCCACATGCACAACACAGTAAAAAATTTATGGTTTAAGAATTTTGCATTTTATGTGTGTATGGAAAAGGTAAAGGATTAAGGCATAAAGCCAGGAAAGTTGACCTCAATTTCTGAAAATTCAGGAAAGGTTTTTGTTATTTATGTATTTATAATCTAAATACATAAATGAGGGAAATATGCAGGGTTTGCATATTAACCTCTGTGATTAATATCGTTTGGAATCAAACCTTTCGAACCCTTGAACTGAATTACATATAATTATTACTCTATCTGCTTTTCAGAATTTATTTGCAAACAAAACCCTTGAAATTTTTTTGTCAGTTGTTACAAAAATATTGAACAAGTTGAGGATGTAATTTTCCATATAATTTCAAAAAATACAAACTCTAAAACCAAACTAGCCACGGCCTTCATTTGCATAATTTGAGCTGCACAAAATGAGACTTTGGGCGGCTCAAATTATGCAAATGAAGGCCGTGGCTAGTCTGTTTTTAGCATACCTAATGTTCATGAGTATGTATGTACGTAAATAACAGAAAAGTTTCCTGAATTTCCAGAAATCTTAGTCAACTTTCTAAATAAAATTGTATGTCCTCAATCGTATAGCCTTTCCATGTGCAGGTCGAATATATGTATATTCTCTGCAGGGAACTTCAAACTTCCTTCTCAACATTTTATTTTTGATTTTAAGAATTTCAAAAATTCAAACAATTTGCGAAAAACCTGGCATATTTTTTATGCATGGGGCGCTCACTTTTTGAATTTGAGTGAATTGTGTATACAATTTCTTTGAAATTCTACACGTTTTCATAATTTTACACAAAGTTTTGCGTAGTTGGTTATAGTATCTTGCCCCATGGCAATACACACTCATTTTGGGACATGGATCGTTTTAAGACCTACATATCTGTGCAACCGATAATGGGGAAAGAATGTTGAAACGCAGAAGTTTCTGGAAAGGTGAGATTCTGTTAAACTTTTGACATTTTTCTTCGGCCACATGAACAACACATTCCAAAATTTATGGTTTTAAAATTTTGCATTTTATGATGGAAAAGGTAAAGGATTAGGGCATAAAGGCAGGAAAGTTGACTACGATGTCTGCAAATTCAGGAAACTTTTTGCTTACTTACGTACATACTCATGTACATTAACATGCACTCATGTGCACCCTAAGTACATAATTAACTCAAACGTTTCCTGAATTTTCAGAAATTTAAGGTAACTTTCCGTCCTTTATGCCCTAATCCTTTACCCTTTCCACCCTAAAAAGCAAAAATACATTAAGCATAAATTTTTTACTACATATGTTGTGCCAGTGGCCATGAAAAAGGTCAAAAGGTTAACAAAATCTCACCTTTCCAGGAAATTTTCAACATTCCTTTCGGGTATGTAAATGTGTACGTATGCATGTCTTAATTTTAAGACCCTTCTAATGGTTCATGTCCCAAGATGCGAGTACAAAAGGCACCCCATTTTGTTGCCATGCATCATTC